CATTTCCCAGCGCGATACCAGCCAGCCCCCAGAAGCCCAAGTACAGCCACGAGTCATAGTAATGCACATTCTCAAGCTTCACCGGCGTAATCCAGTGATTATCATGCAAATGGATCGTGATAACGCCGTAGACAACCCCAAAGCCAAAGAGCAACGCACTGCTCAAGGCCTGCGGCAGAATAACACCACGGAGCAAGCCATGGCTGAGCCGCGAGCGCGTGCGCCGCAGCGCGAACTGGCGCGGCTCCGTGGCCGACTTGACCGCGGCGCGCTGCGAGGGCTCTGGCGGAAATTCGGCGGTGGGCGTGTTCAGTGCTTCCGTGCCCCAGGGGCTGTCCTCGCCGCGGAACCCGCTGAATGCCGTCGGCGAGTAGATTCCATACAGCGTCGAGGAGGTTAGGTTCATGATCGAGCCTGTGCGGCTCACACTCGCCGATGTCGACCCCATGTCCTGGTTGGGGCTTAGCAGGTCGGCGCTGTTGGCGGGCTCGGCGGGCGTGGGAGGTTCGGATGACTCGGTCGAGGCTGGTGTGACGTCGAAGATCCGGCGCGGGCGTGGACGCAAAATGCGAGGTTGCTCGGCCATGGCTGGTCGGGGGTTATTTTGGGGGTTTGGTTGGTTGGTTGACGTGAGTGGGTTAGGAAGCTCTTTCGGCGTGGTGCCTATCGAGTTTCCAGATCACTGGTTATCGAAAAAACAAATACAAGACTCCAGCCGTGTCAAGAAAGAGGGGCTTCTAATCGTGCAGTATGTGTTGTTGAGGAGGAATGAAGACGGACGGAGCGCGGACGAAGCGAGCAGCAGAAAATGCCGGCGCGGGAAGTGAAAGCGCGACACGGGACAGATGCACGAGCGGGTGAGCTGTCCAACGGAGGTCTAGGCCAGGCAAACCAAATAAGTTGTTGGGGAGGAGAAGGAGATAGGAGATGAAGAAGGAAAGAAAAGAGAGAAGGAAAGACGTCAGGGCTAATCGGGGGAATGGCTAGTCTTGGGAATCCACTTGCTGCGGTTTGTCGGCAGGCTGCACGTATCCACCTGATGGACAACACATTGTTCAGCTAGGAGGTTACACATGACTACTTTCACATGGCATGGTGGATTCATATCCCTGTCTCGGTTTGTCTCGGATACATGTCTACGATGGGCACAGTACATGTAGGAGGGAGTAGTAGGTGGTGGAATGTGGAACAGCCAGAATAAGTAAACCCCGCCAAACAGAAGTAGTACACAGATGATCATACACAGAAAAGAAAATATCCTCCGCCCTCACTCACGGGCACTAGCAGCAGCAGCCTCTGGAACAGGAGACGAGCTCTCGTGCCGCGCGTAGCCATTAGGCCCATCGTAGGTAGACGAGTTCTCGTCGTCGACTTCATCCTCCTCCTCGTCCGACGAATCTCCTCCTTCTCCCACATAGTCCTCGGGACCGGCGCCCTGTTGCGCTCCTTCGTCGCCGGAGCCCTCGCCCAGTAGCTCACGGTCGAGATCATCCAACTCGCCTTCCATGTAGTCGTCCCCGGCTGCATGCTCGGCCTCCCAGGCCCCAGCAGGGCCATTGGAGGGACGGCTGCGGCCGCCCTTCGAGCTTGCACCACCCGAGGGCTTTTTGGCCAAGCCGGAGGCAAGTACAGCGCCGCCAGACTTGCGTTTGGCGGCTGCACCACCGCGCGACGGACGCGCACGCGACCGGTTCCCTGCTCGTGCTTCTGCCTCCATGGCGGCCTTGGCCCGCTGTCGCTCTTGGCGCTCCTTCTTGCGGTCTCTTTTGGGCCCGTTGGCGCCCTCGTAGTCCCAACGGTCTAGTCGCCGAGACGCCTTTCGCGCCACGGACAGGAAGAAGCTGGCGCACTCACCAAAGTCATCTTCTTCCTCCGGGTTGGAGAAGAGACCGCCCTTTCCCCAGGAATTCTCTCCATCCTCTGAATCGTAGCCATCCGGCAGACTTTGCAGCTGGCGGCCATACCGTGTGAAGGGGATCTCGCTCTCCCGCTTGGCCCGGAGAACGCGATATGCGTTGGCCTTGCGCTTGGCAAGTAGATACTCAATCCGCTGTCGACGGTTGTGCTCAACGGCAAGCTGGTGCTGAGTCAATGGCCGCGGCCGACGTCCACTCCCAGATGGTTGGGAAAGTGATGGCTCCTGGATGAACCGGTTGAGAACGGGATGATTAGACCCCGGAGGCGCAGGGGAGGCATCCGGAGTACGATCAAGATCCATTCTGGTTTTGAGAATGAGGCGCTGATGGCCCGCGGCTCGGTTGAGAGAGGACTCTCGTTTCATCTGCTTGCTGCGCGGTCGATATTGACCCATGGCGCTGTCATCATCTTCATCATCCAGGGTGCGTTTGGCGGAAGGATGGAGAGGAGTGGAAACAGCAGAGCTGCGTCCTCCGAACCCAGAGTAGTCGCCCGCGAATGAGTCTTCCTCGAAACCATAGTCTATGACAAGGGATTAGAAAAAACAAGAATCTTGAAAGAAGAAAACCCACCTTTCTTGGGACGCTTGGGAACACGAGGTAGTGGCTCTTCTTCCTCCAGAATGCCTGCACCAGAAGTCAGTATAGTTCTCAGCGAAAGAAATGATAAGACACATACGCTTGCGCTCCAGCCTCTTCGCCTCTCCATACTCCAACTCCTCCGGCGAATCCACATTCTCCTCATTGGCTTGCTCCTCCGTCAAAATCTCGAAAGCAGGCACTTTCAGAGGCAAACCCTCCGACCCATCGCCATCCAGACCCGGACCGAACGGATTGTTGAGCGCAGCCTCGCGGCTGAAGTCACTCTCCAAGTACCACCACATCAGCCACAGGAACGCTCGAGCGCGACTCTGACTGCTCAGCGTGGACCTCATGACCAGGTCGAAGAAGTCCCGGGGCGGGAAGAAATGCGTCTCCGAAACTTTGGGCGCGTACTGCGCCAGGACGAAGATGAGGTTGACCGGGTTCGTCCGCGGCACATTCTGCCGCTTGATCTTGTCCAGAGTGTTGGGCTGGTCGACGTCCTCTGACGCGCCCTTGAGAATCGACTTGAGACGCGGAGCATCCTGGAGCTGTTTGTAGGCGTTCGAGTCCTGGTGTGCTTGGAGCGAGGGGATGGAGTGGTAGGTTCGCAGCTGGGCACGCATTTCGGGGAAGACTAGCAGGGACAAAACGCGTTAGCCAGTATTCTTCAACAGAAGAAAGAGAAAGAACATCCAGACATACAGTTGAGAGTGGTATTCATGCGTCCGAAATTCACCAGCAAACAAACCATCGCCATGCTAATAGCAGCGGGCTTATCATTCTGCAACTTGTCCTTGAGAATCTTGCTCGTCTTACTACTCCTGGCCATAGCATCGATGTAGATATCGGCAAAGTCGCACTTCTTCTGACCATCCGGATACCGCGTGAAGACCGGCGTCTTGTCCTCGAAAACGAGCTTCAGGAACTGATACTGGATATCCTTGCGCCAGAGGGGGATGCCGTCTTCTTTCTTGAGATGCCGGATCTTGTTGCCTGAGTAGACGGAGCCAATCGTGCCGTTGGCCTGTCGTCTTGTCCCGACCGTCGCGCTCGCCGTGTTGCCGTGGGAGGCATTGTCGTCGGCGGCTTCGGACGCCGGGAAGGACTCGTCCATCGGGGGGTTGTCGACTTCAGCCATCTTGGATTGTGCCAATCGTGGGTGGATTGGGAAGGTCTGGGGTTGCGGTGACGGCCCCCTGGGATCGGGGAATTTGAGAGTGTGGCTGGCCTTTGTAGGGACTGGAGGCGTGGTCGCCCCGTCGAAGTAAGAGGCTCGAGGAAGGAAGGCAGGGTCAGGAGATGAGCTCAGGAACTGCGCGGGAAGCAGAGGCGAGGGAAGGGAATAAAGAGGGGTGAAGATTAATGGTAGGATGATGATTGATGGGAACAATAATGAAAAGGAGGGAAATCGAAGCCAGGGTGTGTGACCGCAGATTCCTTGCCGCGATTGGACGGGGCATCGCGATAGCTGACGCGGCGCCTGAGAAGTCAGGCATCAACCCTAATTTACGTCTACCAAAACTACGCAATTGGGAACGTTTTTTTGAATCAAACACTTTTCCTGCATTAAAAAGGCTTTCCTTCTCGCGAGGCCTCGACGTCTCGCGCCCATCTGTGGTCTCCCTTCGACAGATCCTCCACGGATCCGAGACTGGAAACAGACAAGGAAAATAACATAGGAAGAGATCCCATTCGGCAACCATTCCTCTCTGCACGGGGGGGATAGGTCAAGCCAACGCCGTACAGAATGCAAACAATTCCCACTCGAAATCCTCCACAACAGCCCAGGAGAAAGAAAGCGCGATTTTCGTTTTCGAAAAAATAAAATCGACGGTAGAACGCATACACACAAGCAAGTAAAAAGGCCCGCCATGAGATACCGAGAGACGCTGGACAAGAAGTCTATGCTGCAAGGGCACACGCCGTTGCAGCCACAACAAGCACCGAAAGGAGATGCGATGCGAAAAAAACACCATAACATGCCACTTTTTTTCGCCGGCACACTCCGCTCGGCAAGCGTCATTCGAACGTCGTCCACCATTTTTTGGGACGCTCGAACATGAAGGGGTATCTGATGACAGCGGACAAAAAAAAAAGACAAAAGACAACGCATTCTATCATGTTCATGCAGGTCCGATCGCGGATTGCTCCATCAGGAGCAACGGAAAAAAGGAAATCGGGCTGCTCGAACAGGGGGCCCGCAAGGGAAAACGGGGCCAATACCGAGAGAAGCCAGTCCAGCGCACGAAATGGGGAGCAAATAAGACAAGTACAGGAAAAGGAAAAGGTCAGAGGCACAAAGGCAGCAAGACATAACTCTAGACAGAAAAAACGCATAGGAAAGTCGTGGAAGTCATGACAAAGCCGTCCCTGGAGAAACAGCAAAAGAGGAAAAGAAACCCAGGGCTTCGTTCTGATCGTGTCCGTCAAGAGAGAAAAGGAAAAATAAATGGGAGCCAATCAGACCTGACGGCCTCGTCATAAGACCACACAACTGATTTACCACCAGGAGGATGGGCCAGTAGGGCCGGACGGGTTGCCGTAGCCACCGCCGCCGCCGTAGCCGCCGCCGTACGAGGGAGCACCGCCGCCGTAGCCACCATACGAGGGAGGAGCACCGTAGCCGGCACCACCACCGCCCATGCCACCGAAGGAAGAGGGCGGGCCACCACCCATGCCGCCGCCGAAGCGACGAACGTCACGGGTAGCATTGGAAGAACCACGGCCACGGCCACGACCACCGCCGCGACCACCGAAGCCACTGCCCTCGCGGGCAATGCTCTCCAAGAAGGAGGGGACTTCCTGATGAGCCTCCTTCAGGAGGTCGATCAGGTCACGAACGACACCACGGTTGCCGCGGTTGAAGAAGGCGGTAGCGATACCAGTGTTACCAGCACGGCCGGTACGACCGATCCGGTGGACGTAGTCATCGATGTCGGTGGGCAGGTCGTAGTTGATGACGTGGGTCACGTTGGGGATATCCAGACCACGGGCAGCAACAGCAGTGGCCACCAGGATGGGGCAGCGGCCGTTGCGGAAGAACTCCAGAGCACGTTCACGCTCGCGTTGGGTGCGGTCACCGTGAATGGCAGTAGCGGGGAAGCGCTGGTTGATGAGGAAGTCCGACAGGGAGTCGGCCATGCGCTTGGTCTCGACGAAAATCAGAGTCAGACCGGTGCTGCCGTGGGTGTGCAGGATATCCAACAGCACCGAGCGCTTGTCGTTGTCCTCGACGTACTCCACCTTCTGAGTGATGTTCTCCGAGGTGGAACCAACACGACCAACCGACAGGAAGACGTAGTCCTTCAGGAAGTCACGGGCAAGCATCTGGATGTCGCGGGGGAAGGTGGCCGAAAACATGAGGGTCTGACGTTGGTCCACGGCGGGCATGTCCTCGCCCTCCACAATGCGGCGGATCTGCGGCTCGAAACCCATGTCCAACATGCGGTCAGCCTCATCAAGAACCAGGTACTTGATGTTCATCAGCGAGATACGACCACGCTCAATCAGATCGACCAGACGACCGGGGGTGGCAACCAGAAGGTCACAGCCACGCTCGATCTGGCGCAGCTGGGAGCCGATGTCCGCACCACCGTACACCACGCAGGGGCGCACCCACGAGCGGTAGGCGAACTTGCGGGCCTCGTCGAAGATCTGAGAGACCAGCTCACGGGTGGGAGCAAGAATGAGAGAGGTGGGGTAAGCCTTGCGCTGACGGCCGTAGCTGAACTGGCCAGCAGCCTGGGCAGGAGCTGCAGACGGGCCGTTCTGGAACGCCTGAGACAGGATGGGGAAGAGGAAACCACCAGTCTTACCCGAACCGGTCTGGGCACAGGCCATCAAGTCGCGACCGTTCATGACAATGGGAATAGAGTACTTCTGAACCGGGGTCGGGGTCAGATAGCTAGCCAACTTGATGTTTGAGAGAAGGTGATCGTCGAGCGGGGGGTTTTCGAAGGTGTTGACGGGTTCCGGGACGTCGTTACCGCTCGCCTCGACGGGGATGTCATCGTAGTTGGCGAAGTTGATACCGGTCTGCTGCTTCGTGGGGTCGTTGGGAACGCCAAAAAGCTCACGCTCCAGACGAGCGTTGGCAGGGCCGGGGACGTGTTTGCCATCGCGCCACTGTCCATCTCCGGAGCCGCGGGCAGAACCGCCGCCGCCGTGACCGCCACCGTAAGAACCTCCGTGACCTGGGTGTCCGTAAGCATAGGGATCGAAGGGCCGGCGTTGACCGTCAGAGTTCCAGTTTAGGTTACCATTGGGGGGACCGCGGGGGCTGAAGTCGTTGGCATTGGCCCAGTTACCACGAGGGGCGTTCCTGGGACCACCGAAGCCAGGGCCTGGGGGAGGAGCAGCGTCCATGCTGGGAGCAGCGTTCATGCCGCGCTGGCGGAGGTGAGGGGGGATGTAGGCAGACCGGCCAGTGGGAGCGGGCGGGCCAGCGTGCTGAGAGTCGTTGATGGACAGGTTGCCCATTTGGAGACCGTCGGCCATTTTTGCGGGTGAAGGTGAAAAAACGGCTGGGAGGTGTGTGGTCAGCGGGCGTGTGTCTGGGAGGAGGATCAGGAGGTGGACGAACTTTTTTGTTATCGGTGGTTGGTTTCTCGAGACAAAGTTGCAAGCGATCTAGCAGAGATACTTGCAGCAGGGAAGAAGAAACAGGTCTCTGAGACTGACTGTCGGGTTCCACTCGAAACGAAGTCAAGTGGCAAACGACAGAAGGAAAGAAGGCAGAGCAGCAGAGCACACACAAAAAGGGGGTAGACGAAAATGCAAATCTCCCAACTCTAAGAACTCTATGAAGGAGGAGAGAAGGAAAGAGAAAGATGGATGATGGAGGGAAAAAAGGGATGATGGTTAAATTCAGATGGCGATGGAAATCTGTGGGAGGCGGAAGGAGGCAAAAACCGGTGTGGGGCGGCAGTACAGGGGCTCGCCCTAATCATGGCCGTAAGTTACCAGCCCGAACACAGTGTGTACAGTATTAAAGTGTAGCCAGAGTTTTCGCTGAGCCACCTAGTGCATGACTAAGAGGAGCACACCGCATGTTAGCTTCAAAAGGCTGCTTTTGGTATATACTACATGGAGTATATCATAAACTACGCCTCAAATTTCTTCTCCTCCATCTCCTCGGACTGAGCGCGGCGGCGTCGCTTGAGCAGGAACACCACCACAGCCACCAGCACCACGAAGATAACAAATGGCTGGAGCGACGAGTAGGACGAGGATGTCGGGTCGGTGACCGTCAGCGCGGGCGCTGGGGTTTCGATGGGTTCTTGAGCATCATCAGCCCCGCCAGAAAATCGAAGCAGCTACAGCTCGTCGCGGCTACCTTGGTCCTCGGCCTCCGCCTCCGCCGGCACCTCGAGCTCTCCGCTCTTCACGATCTTGACATCCACATCCGGCTTGTTGGCGCGGTTCTGGGGGAAGTGCTGGATCTTGTCGACGATATCGTAGCCTTCGAGGACTTCGCCAAAGACAACGTGCCTCCCATCGAGCCAGCTGGACGTCCATTAGCTTGGGTATAGGGATAGGGGAGGGCACGACAGGACGTACCTGGTAATGACAGTGGTGATGAAGAACTGCGAGCCGTTGGTGTCCTTGCCGGCATTCGCCATGCCTAGAGACTAATTAGAGACACCACAAGCTGAGACTCAAAAGGAGGGAAAACGTACTCAGGAGACCCTTCTTGGTGTGGCGCAGCTTGAAGTTCTCATCGGCGAACTTGTTGCCGTAGATCGACTTTCCGCCGGTACCTGCATATCGACGTCAGGGCTAGCCAGCCAACAGAGGAACCCACGAACCATCGCCATTGGTGAAGTCACCACCCTGGATCATAAAGTCATTGATGACCCGGTGGAAGATCGAGCCCTCGTAGCCGAAGCCCTTCTCGCCGGTGCACAGAGCGCTGGAACCGTGTCAATAACTCGTCCACTACGAGTATTTGTGATAATGATCATACCGGAAGTTTTCCACAGTCTGAAATAGAAAAAGAAAAGTTAATGCTGCTCTCAATGGCACTGGTCAGGACTGCACTCACCTTGGGGACAGTCTTGCCGTACAAGCCCATCACGACCCGACCCAGGGGCTCGTCTCCATGCTGAATCTCAAAATAGACCTAAAGGTGTCATCAGCATTGAGATTGACATGCTGAGAGACCACAAATCACCTTGTGGGTAATCTTGGGGCCGCGAGGCTCCTTTGCCTCCTCGGCTTGGACCAGCGCGAAGCCGACCGCGAAGACGAGGAAGAGCGACAGGAAGAGGTTTCGGAATTGCATGATTGATAGCAATGGACACTGCTTTCGGGGAAAGGGGGAAGGCAGTGGGTGAAGGAGAAAGAGAGGAGAAGGAGCGACAAGGCCAGCTTGCACGTTGATGCGGAGAAGCATGTATGGCCTAGTGTTTCAGGCATCAATACGGAACAACTTTGTTGCCGTAGGATTTCTCCCGACAATCGAGGGTCGGAACTGAATACTGAACAGCATCGATCACATCACACAATGGTAGATACACTCCCCTTCCGACACATCTTCCAGTTCATTATTACTAACCCCAATTCCGCAGGTCTTCATCCTAGGTGTCAATTTCCCCGAGCGGAACCTGCTCAAGGTGCGCATCCTCCCCCAGTTGCAGTCTGTCCCATCACACCCATTTGCAATTCAATTAACACCACGATCCAGAAATCCCTCGAAAACTTCTTCGGCATAGGCAGCAACACCTCCTCTCGCCTCCTCGCCCGCTTCCACATCCACCCAACCTGCCGCGTCAGCGAGCTAGCCAACAAGCAAGTCCTGGACCTGACCGCCGCGCTGTCGGACATGAAGATCGAGAATGACCTGCGCCGAGAAGTCCTGAACGATATCAAGCGCTTGAAGGAGACGGGCACGTACCGTGGTCGGAGACATGCGTTGGGCTTGCCCGTGCGAGGCCAGAGGACGCGCACTCAAGTGAGTTTTTGTTGGATGCTTTGCTCTGGGTTGGAGGGATCAAATCAAGCTGACCATGTCGAATTGCAGATTAAAACGCCGGTTAAGTTGAACCGCATGGAGCGTAAGCTCTAGTGTGACCTTGGAGGACTTTGGGGTCTACGTACCTCGTTGTTGTGAGAAGCATGGGAATGGCGTTTTTTCTTTGTCAGTGTCTGAACCCGATTGAAGGGCCAGCTGTTTGTATCTACTACTGGATTGTATTATACGCTAGAGCCCAATAATGACATTGAGGCATGAATTGAATTAGCATATGACACAAGATATAGCGAACCAATCAGTATATTCTAACATCCATCAACGCTCCAACAAAATTGAATACATGCGTACTTTTGACTGCAAAATCAACGCCAAACCCTATATGTGCAGCTCTATTCCTTGGACGACAACACCCCTTCGCCGCGATTGATCTGGATCCGCTTATCCTCACCCGCGCTGACAATGCCCACCGTCTGATCCCAGCACACGCTGAACACCTTGACACCCTCGCCGCCAACCCGCTTGCTGTCAGACTTGCCTTCCTCCTCGAGACTCTTCCGCGAGATCGTGTAGACACTCTCACCCACCACGCCGTCCTTGTCCGTCTTGGTAGATCGGATATCCCAGATCCGGCAGGTGCCGTCGTGGCTGCCGCTGATCAGGCCGTATGTGCTATGCGGATCCCGCGCCAGGCTCACCACGGCGTTCGTGTGGCCCCGTAGCGTCATTGCTGACAGGGTCGTTGCAGACGTGCGAGGGTCAATTAGGGTGATGTGGCGGGCAGAGGTACCCGCGGCCAAGAGGTGAAGATCGGGGAGGTGCTCCAGAGAAAGGAGCGAGTGGGATGTGGTGCGTGTGTCGACCAGAGATGCAGTCACCAGATCCCAGGTCCGCAGTGAGTGGTCCCACGAAGTCGAGTATCCAACCGTCGAGTCTCGTGTATCGAAGATGGCCGCAGAGACCGGTCCTGTGTGGGCCGACAAGAGGGCCAGCGGCCCACGCTGGGGCGTGCTGACGGACGAGTTCAGCTTCCGCCGCTTCGATGTACGGCTGACGCTTGATGGAAGCAAGTTCTCCGGTGCGGTGGGGGATTCAGTCTTCTTGCTCGACCAGAACCCGACGGTGTGATCCGACGAAGCCGTTAGAATACGGCTGGACGGGGCATGCACAGCGAGCGAGTCGATCCCCGACTTGTGGCCGTACAGCTCCAGCTGGGGAGAAATCTTCCCTGAGAACCCATCCTCTTCCTCCGAGTACTTCCACAACCGGACCGTGCGGTCCAGACCCGCTGAGACGATCTGGTGCGGAGAAACGAACTTGGCGGCTTTGATGGATGCACTGTGGCCACCTTCGAGGGCAGCGGGGGAGGTCGCGATAGTCTCCGAAGACATATTCCATATCCTAAGTAGTCCGTCATAGCTTGCAGACAAGATTCTCTCCTGACCCTTTGCGACAGTGGCTCCCGAGGCCCACGAGGCAGCGGGGGAGGTTGTAGAGAGGACGTCGGCCGAGCTGACCCAGTCGTCATGCTGGAACGACGCAATGTGCAGCGGCGGAATCAGTGCTCTCACATATTCGATCTCAAGAGTCGTCTCAGAGGAGATGCCATTCGCTGTCAGGTATTCGTCGATCGAGGTACGTAGGAATGTTCCATTGATCAAAAATTCGAACGGGACCGGCTTTTCCGTTGAAAGAAGGTTGTTCACCAGTGTCGACAGCGCATAACGTCGTAATCCTTTCCAGGCATTAATAAGAGACTTAGAACAAAAAGCGATAAATCATTCATACCTGTGGGAACGAGGATCGGGCCGGTGCTTTCAGGCAAAGCAATCTCTTCTTGCTTGCTGGTGAGATGCACACGGACCTGCCTCTGCGCAGGCGCTTCCGCTGCAAAATCAGCCGTCTGGTCTCCGTTCATAATGGCGTGACTGAGCGACCGCTGTCACAGTATGTGGATGGTTGTTCCTTGTGGCTGTCGCAAGTCGAAGAAACTGCGCGGGTTGAGGAAAAAAAATACGGCAGGCGGTGCGGCCACTTGCGCAACTCCCGGAGGTTTTTCATTATGGACCACTCTATGAACAAAGTTAAATTCAACTATACAATGTATTTTCACTATGCCTACAACGACCTCCGAATCTCAGCAATGGCCCGTCGCCGGTAGTCTGATTCGGCAAAGAGCGCCTCGATCAGGTCTACCACTTCCTCCACGGAGAATTCCAGGCGCAGTTCGCCCTCCAGCCAAAGGAACTTGATATCGGCCAGCGAACTCTCTAGGATGTTGATCAGATACTGGAATCGGAGCCAGTTCGGCACGTACACAGCAGTGACCGGGACGGCTTCGCTGTTATCGTTGCTCTCTGCCATGAACAGGTCCTGGAGCTGAGACACCTGATTGCAGAGAGAGACCAGTTCCTGCGACTGGTCCTCCGAGATATCCCCCAGATCTTCGACGTCTATGATGATCTTGTTGATCACCGTAGACAACAAAGACCCGACAGACTGAAGAAGTGCAGAGCGCGACAAGATCGGATGCCATTCCTTGTAGACGTCGCGGATTCGATCGACAGTGGCGCTGACGGCGTTCTCGCACTCTGCGCGGAAGGGTTGCTCCGAGCACTGTCCAAATCCTTGGGCACCGTCAAGCAGATCGGTGACGACGGTGCTTTGAGTCTGCATCTCCTTGCTGTAGGCCAGCTTGCCGAATTTTTCAAGTGCTTCCACATCGGAGTTGAGCCGCGAAAGGTCATGCTCCTTCGCAATATGACGAACCTGCTCGGCGAGGTACAAACTGTCGTTGTAGAGATACATCTGACCTGATGCAAGCTTCAACGAGTAGAAAGAAGACGAAGTGGCTTTGAACATCGCCAAGATCAATGTAGGCAATGCGAGCAGGCCAGCGCCAGATGAGATGACCCGGGAGTGAGAGTGACTGAGCGTTCGTTAGCTTGCCCAGGACCAAAATATGAAGTTAATACTTACACTGGCTGCGATATATTCTTTGAATCGTCGATTTGTTGCCGAATAACTTTAATAATCGAGTCCGGGATATCCGTCACGGTGTATACCTCTTTCAGTGTGACCTCTCTCGGAGAAGAGGACGGTACGGTACGCTCTCCATTCGCAGATCTCGACGGAGCAGCAGCAGGTTTAGGCTGCAGTGGCTCAGTAGGGCTCTTCTGAGCGTCTTCGTCCTCATCACCCCAACCCCAGGCATCGTCAGCGTCATCATCTTCCGCTTCAGCGGGCGCTTCTGGCTTCGTTTCCTCCGGAATTTCCTCGTCCTCATCAAGACCCCAAGCGCTGACATCTTCCTCCTCTTCCTCAGGCAGTGGCGCTGCGGGCTTATCGGCTGTATCTTCTTCCTTGTCGTCATCCCAGCCAGCATCCCAGTCATCAGTAGGAGCATTTTCCAGTAGAGCCCCATCCGCTTGAGAAACCTGCTCCTTTTCAATCCGCTCAACCTGCTTGGTAGTCCCTTGGCTAGCCGCAATCACCTTGCGGACACTGTCAAGGGAGTCGACACGGCGCCGAGTCAACCACAAGCGAGGAGCTTGATTGACCCATGAGACGAGCTCTTCTTGACCACTCCAGCCCCAGGACTCAATCGTTTTGGTGAGTTGTAGAACATGATCTAAGGTTTCCTCAAAATCACCGAGACCATCCAAATCTGTGGGGATCGCAGATGATAGCCACGTCGCTATAATCTTAGAGGCGACAGTGGGAATGAACGAATCAGGAACAGCAGCCGAGACGGATGACGGCAGATTCTGTCGAAGGTAGTCCAGGACTTTCGTGATGCGGTCCAGTGTTTCGGAAACACTCGCCTTGGAAGGCTTAGGTTCGATGCGGATGCCCGAATCCGCCACTATCACTTCGCGACCGAGTTGGTCGGTACCGGGAAGCAATACCGGGTCGACAACTGCAGAAAGGAGATCCTTTTGGAGTTTCGCATTTGCGGACTCGAGTATGCCCACCCGGGAAAGAGACGCAATCGTTTTCTCCAGTGAGTCAGTACCCTCACCCTTGTAGACCCGAAATTCGCCTTTCTGCCGGTCGATTTTCAATTGATCATCCCAACGAGAACGCAGAGCTTCCACTACTTCCTGTCGCAATTGTGCCACCTCGAAGGAGAGTATGTCCATCACATTGGTATTGGCGAAGGAGGAGCCATTTTGGAGATCAGATTCGGTAGACTCCAACTGCTCAATAGCGAGGGTAATCTGGCCATTTCCCAAAGCCGCCCTCCCCGCCTCGATCTGCTCACACAGTCGCTGCACCCCTCCAGGGTGTCGGTAACAGCCTGGTTGAAGGCGATCTCGGTCTCGATCAACCCAACCTTGGCACTGGCATCTTCCACCTTTGCCTGTAGAGGCTTGGTATGTTCATGCTGGGCGACAATCTCGCGTGCGGTGACTCTGGAGCGCTCAATATCGGCGTGTAGTTGTTTTGCCTGGTCAATCCAATCATCGGCGTCGAAGGCGCTCGCGCGGCTGAGGGAGCTGATCTCATTCTACTCGAGAGATTCTATATGTCAGTACTGACCACCACAGGGAAGTTCAACGGGTTCTCAGTCTCACCTCGACCTGCTCTGTGGCCTGCGCGATGAGCTCCAATTCGCGCGCAAGAGCCGTCGTGGGGAATTCTCCCGCGACCACCTTCTCCTCGGGATAGGCGCCCTCGGTCACGAAGCCCAGCACCGCCTGGCAGACTTGCTCCTCGGACGGGGGCATTGCTGGAGCGGGAGCAGGAGTGTTGTTGACAGAACAATGCCCGGAGCCGGACACCTAAAGCTGTCCACATCGATTACATAAGCCCCATAGTCCAATCCGTCCAAATTGTTACTACTGGAGCATGTTGTACTGTAGACTTGGGGTTATGATAACTAAATAACTGACATTCATATTATCAAATAGCAAGCCAATTAGAATATTTCGGAGGCGAGGGTCGAACTAGATATCAATACGGAGAGGATGGTGATTGTTCAAAGTCTGGCCAACATTACTAGGAAGACGGAGACCGGATATTTAATAGATGATATACACCTACAAATGTAGCGAATAGGTAGCGAAATAGCATTAACAAAGGTCCTTGTGTATGGTTTGGCTTAATCCAATTGCAATTTATTTTCATTCAAACACTTGGCTAACCAAAAAGCCGACTCCTTTGCACCTTGATCTAAAGCTTCGGACTGTTTTCCAACTCCTCATTCGTCACGAACAGAGGCATGCTGTCCTCCCAAATAGAATCCGACAGTGGTTTCTTCTTAGACCCGTCGGCGTCCATCTGCATGATCATTCCGTAGGGCTGGAAAGTCTGATCATACAGAGCGCACTCGTACTGGAATCCGTACATTCCTGACGAGTAGAGGATGTTTCCATTTCGATGATCCCAAACGGCATGCGCGTCGTTGGCGCCACTGGTGGTTAGAAGCTTGATATTGGTGCCATCTGGGTTCATTGTGCACACGTCGTAGTTGCTCGGGCTGGTCTTGCGGGTAAACAAGATTTTACTATCATCCAGATTGAAAGATGGGAGGTTGTCCCATTCGTTGGTCAGGGCGGTAATCTTGCGCGTCTCGAGGTCGAGCAAGCGCAGGCCAAGTTGGGATTCCTGGCCTTGGGTCGAGTTCCATCCCCACACGCGGTAGACAACCTTCTTGCCATCGTGCGAAAAACTAGGGAAGCCCGAATTTAGGGCGGTGCTATTGGCACTGAGGTCTTGTTTGCTTTCTGTGAGAACTTCATAGGACGAACCATCGGCCGCAGCCTTGATAAGCCAGCCACCGTTCGTACCACGAGTTTGGAACCAAAACCCAACGCCAACTACGATCGACTCTCCGTCTGTCGACCACCCGGGCGAGAAGGCACCGGCCAGTCCTTCGCCTACGAAAGTAGGATCGAGGAAATTGGTTTTCATATCGTTGAAGACCATTTCGGTGTTGGTGCCGTTTGCGTTCATCTTGACCACCGAGGAGTTTCCAAGCTGTTTCTGGGTCATGGCGAACATGTTCTGCCTTGACAGTGTAGGGAACACATCTGTGAAGCGGTACTCCCACTCAGGGTCCCAGCTATACAGCGGCGTGTCCATGGGGCGAATGTTCCACTCGGTCTTCTCATATACCACTTTCTTTCCGTCCGGACTCCAGCATGGAGAACGCAGGGTGACTGACGAAGTGTTGACGTAAAGTCCCTGAGTGTTGTACATGCCCTCATTGACGCCCTTCAAGAAATAGGCGACGTTGTTTTCGCTGATATATTGAGGGAAGATCTTGACACCGGCGCCTTGAGCCTCCACGCGACGATCAGTACACGTGGCGAAATCAATTGAGACAATGCTGGAGTTGGCAGAGTCAATGGACCCGGGGCGGTGCGAGTTCCAGGTGTTTTCAAGAGTCATTTCATAATAGATAATTCTTTTGCCATCAGGGGACCATTTGGGCGAGCCCAAGGACCAGCCATCTTTCCCAACAATCTTGCGGAAGTCCGACCCATCGGGTCGGGAAGCGTAAATAGAAAGGGTCTGAGTGTGCTCCCAGCCAGCGACGCCCAAAAAAGTCTGAGCTCCATGGCCAGTCCATCCAGTATTGCGATCAGAGCTGTATGCAATCCATTGACCGTCTGGGGACCATGCCGGCTTGAAATAGCCATTGGGTGAATCGGGGTCAGCAAGAGCTGAAGCAGTGCCGGTGACATTCCATTTCTTGCCAGTCTCCAGATCCACCACCCAGACATTCGCTTTATAACCATTGGTGGTACTGATGTAGGCAGCAAATTTCCCGTTTGGCGAGATCACCGCACCGTCTTCGACCGCAGGGGATGCAACCAGCTCCTGAAGACCGGATCCATCTGTTCGAACACGGTAGATGTCCGAGTTTCCATCTCCGTTGCGCTCAGATGTGAAAGAGATCCATTTTCCATCAGGCGAAAAAGAGCCGTGATATTCGAACACAGACTTGTCTCCGAGCAGTAGACGCTCGTCGGAGCCATCGGTGTTGGCAATGTACAGCTTCGACGTGCCTGGGGCAATGCGATTCATATAAAATACTCCCTTTTTGCTGCCCGAGCATGATATATTTCCGGGGGGATGGTCGTGCGGCATGGGCACGGATGTCCTCTTAGTGTCTGCCAGCTGCTGTGCATAAGGACACAGCGCCAGGGCTGCCGGGAGGGCCACGCCCAGTAAGAAGATGGATGAGCGCATGGGGATACTAGATTGAGGGACGAGGGGAGCTGTGCTCACTTGAACTAACCCTAAGCCAGATGGGAATTCCCACCATACTTATAACGAGATTACGATTGCTCCCATGGAGTTTCTCATCACGTACTGATCATTTCCTGTCAAGGATGCGGGCATTCTAGGCATCGTCCCACTGCCAATCGAAGTCCATCGTCACGAATCAAGAGCGGAGCATCGGCCGAAGCGTGCGAAGGATTCAGGTCTAATCAGATTGAATGGGAACATAGCCGGTGCATTTGGTATGGACCGCTGCCTAGATCCGTCATCAGCACTTGGCCACCCAATTGCGCGTAGTGTATGCATAGGCGACTTTGGGATCATCACTCTACCAGTAGCTTGGCCTCGGGATTTCCGCACAAGGCGCCGAAGCCACTTTCTACATAGCATGTCGGACTTAAATCAATCCAAGGTTATAGTTTTATCCAGCAGTCTTGGCAGGCTTCAGGTATTACATACAACTCTTGCAAGACACCCTCTTGGATCGGTTTTCCTCAAAAATTCCCAAGATTCCTATCAATCCGGGTTTCTGATTATACAGACCTGTTTCAGGGAGCTTGTGAAGACGACCAGGCAACTAGGCGGCGCAGAAGTTGCGTCTGTTTCGGCTTGATAGTCCGTGGCAGTGTTTCCCGCAGGTTGACAACTATTAATACTTGGAAAGTCACTCAGCTGCCGTTTATTTCAAACGATGTGGGACATACCGACCTGGACCAATGAGTTCCCGATGCTTTTTCATGAAAAGGGTGCTTGTGAGGGAAATTTGATACGACGTCGGACGAAGTGCCTAGACACGGTAATGATCTGCCAATACTAACTCCGACTGACCAGGTACAGATTGAACGAATAAGAAATTTCAGGAAAAGCAGGGTACCAGTGGTTGCAGATGAGGCGCAGCAAAGGCTCGTCAGGGATCTAACAATGATTTTACAAGCGGTGCAATTGCGTCCGAGATGATCGACATAGCGGATCTCGGTTTGTCCTTCGCCTGGAAAACATTGCTCAAGAACGGTTCCTGAACGTATGTAATCTGAAAATCTCCCTGTTGTCCACCATCTTTCGCTTCTTCCTTGGTCAGCGAATTCTTAAGCGATCGCAGCCCTTGATCGACACAGTTCTTGGAACCTTTTTGAGGAACTCCATCGTCTCGGTTGAGCTCGGTCGACGTAACCGATTGGTGCCAGGTTACTCGTTTGCTGGGACTATCTTGATTAAATTAGAAACGACGCAGGGTACAAAATAATTCCTGAAATGTCCCGATACGATCGACTTTATCGGGTTCGAGCACTTGTACTGGATCACCTGTTAAAATGTGTCCCTCACACAAACAGCCCTTCTTTATATTCAGGGTAAAGACGAAGGAAGACACCCTGTCAACCAATCAATCTATAGACAAAAAACTCCGACCCAATGCAACAACGCCCCCAGATCCGACCAGACAGATATAGATAGACACAGACAACAAGACAAGACAAAAAAGATCACTCAACACCCTTAATTATCTGCCTTAGCCCTCTTCTCCAGAGCCCTCCGCTCCTTCTTCCTCCTCTTCCTCTCCTCCTTATCAACAACATCCTGCCTCGCCTCCTGCTCCGCAAACGCCTCCGCCTCCGTCTCCATAGCCGGCTCCTCCCACGTCAAATCTTCCTCCTCCTCCCCATTCTCACCCTCTTTCTGCTGTGTAGATGCAGTAGTTGGATCCACCGCCCCCGCCGCAATATCCAGGTACTCCTCGCCAGGATTCTGTTTCGCAACCGTCAAATCCCGGCCTAGGATCTCGCCCGCCAGCCCGGCTTGCACGCGCTTCAGGTTGTGCAGGATCAGATTCGGCGCTGCGGCTGTTGTGCGCGAGACGGGGCCGTGCTCGCTGATGCTGGCGTTTGGTTGCAGGGCCGGGTCGGTTGTTGCGCGGTCTAGGTAGGCCGCTAGGAAGTCGGCTGCGGCGGATTGGGGGATGGCGTGGGTGCTGTGCACTGTTGTTGGAGGGAGGGGGGATGGGCCTTGGGTTGCCATTGTGGTGGTATTCTTGTTCCCAAGAAGATTGTAGAGGTTGTAGATAGAGAATGTGAAGGTGAAGAAGTGTAGAAGAGTAAATGAATGCGCGACCCAAAAAAAAAGTTCCAACTTACGCTAGTCCCGATGGGGCAAGAAGCACTGATTTCTCCCCGTCCGTCTCTTCTGTCTCCTTCACCTCGACCTCCGACACTCGCTCTTCATCACACCCACCACACCCAATCTCCCACCATGCTCTGCCTCCGCTGCAGGGCCCTGCCCGCGGTCCGGCCATCAATGCCTTCCCGCTCGTTGAACAGGTATGTTTACACTCAACACCTTCCCTTCAACGTATCAACCACCACTAACACACCACCACAGGACCACGCAAGGCGCATCTCAAAACTCACCAATCACCCCAATCATCTCGTCCCGCTCCTTCTCCTCAACCCTCTTCTCAACCCCAACCCACCTGCTGCAGCCAACACCACAGATCAGCACCAGCAGCCACATCATGTCTTCCCGACTCCCATCCACAGCAATCCCATCCGTGTCTTCATCGTTGTCACTATCGCCAGTGACATCTCTCCTCCAGTCCCAATCCCGCGCCTTCTCCTCAACGCCCACCCCTCGGCGTGCGCCGCTCTACCTACAATCCTTCACGCCGGGTGCAGAAACGACGGCATGGATTCCTGTCGCGGTCCAAGACGAAGAATGGGCGGAAGGTTATCCAGCGCCGGAGGTTGAAGGGGAGGAAAAATATGAGTTGGTGAATTGTGAATTGTTTATAGAGAGAGGGATTGTGGATGTGGATGCGGAGGTTTTGTCTTAAAAACTTGTGCATGTGTATTTTAAGATGGAAGAGAGTGACAAGAGAGACTTGAGAGTCTTGAGAGTCTTGAGAGTTGGAATTTAAGGTGGTATAGAGGATTTTTTTTGCTTTTGTCGTGGTTCTCTGTGGTGGACTGTACCTTTACCTATTGGGGGATTGGGTTTGTCCCTGTGGACGTGTATCATATCCTGGAGTTTATTCTCTTCCACCACAACAAAACGCTCATCAATGTTTTATATGTATGTACGGAACTGCGGTGTATACAGTTTACTCAAGTACCCAGAGTCGTAGACCGCATCACTCATCATCATCCTCATCACTCTCCTCCGAACCAGTTTCCTCATCATCGTCGTCGTCATCGTCATCATCATCTTCATCATCTTCTTCTTCATCACCATCCAGCTTGAAGCCATAATCATCCTCGAAGTCTTTGAGGGGCTGGACCTTAGGCGTGAACCCGGAGGCCTCGAAGCTCTTCTTGATAGTCTATTGAGAAAACAATCAGTATGCAAACGCGTAACGAAATAAAACGAGAAAAAGAGCTCACCTCCTCCAAGACCGTGCCACAGGTCACAACCACATTAGCAGTATCCGGCGCAAACAGGGGCAAGATAATATCCCGCAAAGCACCTTTCACCTCATCGACACTGATATCGCGCACCTTCTTGAGCATCCGCTCCTTGTAATCAGCGGGAAGATTGCGCACGACCTGGCGGATGAAACTTCCCTGCGCAGCGCTGGCAGCGGTTGTCTGCTCATTGGCGAAGCTGACCACAATACTGCTGATAGCACCCTCCAGCATCAGCGGGTCAAAGGGCATGGCGCCGGACAGATGGTTGTCGACGAGTTGTTTGCTGGACTCGAACGCCTTGTAGGCGTTTGGAGAGCGGTACACGTCGAAATTCACAAAGCCCGTGTCGATGTTGTACGCGAAGCTGGTGCCGTAGGCCAGACCGGTGCCGCGCACGGCGACCCACAGGGGACCTTCGACGGCGTTCATGTAGGCGATTGCGACGAGCAGCGCCGGCAGCTTCGGGTGGTCGTAAGAGTCGAGGCCGCGGCCTGTGGCGTAGAGGTAGGACGAGTCCACTGTCGGCATGGGGACGATGTACGACTCGCCGCCGATCTGCTTGCCGGCATCGCTGAGCAAGGCGCGTCGGTTGGTGATGGGCTGCAGGGTGGTGCTGGTTCCCAGACGATCGGCGAATGGCTTCCACGAGGACACAGGACGAGGGAGCTTCTCGAGGTCGGCGATCACAATCACCCTCACGTTCTCGGGTTGGAAGAGTGACTTGCGGATCTCCTCCATGCGGTTCACAATCGAATCAGGCTGCTCGGCGAGCAGGCGCTTGACACGCTTGAGGTACCGTGCCTTGACCAGGGTAGATCGGGCTCGAACGATGGACTCTTCTCCGTAGTGGACCATGACGTGCACGGCGGCGAGCATGTCGTCGCCGCTGCGCTTGGAGTCGGGCACATCGGCCAGGAGGCGGGTGGTGATGGCACGCAGGCGTTCCACGTCGAAGATCGAGTTCCAGCACAGTTCTTGGATCCAGGCTATGGCAGTGTTATACTTCTCCAGCTCCACCTGGAAGGAAATGCGTAGCATCTCAGAGTTGCCAAGGCTGCGAGCACCCTCCATTCCATATCCGACGGTGTCTCGCTCCAATTCCACGATGACTTCTTCAAAGTCGATCGTCTTGCCATCGCGCTGAACGGGGATGCTGAAGAAAGCCTCGGTGTAGACCGCCAACAAAGGTCGGAGTTGAACGGGCACAGACTTGGCCGAGAGGAGAACCGACAGTTGCACAAAACTGCTGCGGATGTGCTCGAAGTGGATAAAGAGCGGAAGGCTCGACTCGTCCGCATCAACGAGCTTTTGGATCTTGTGATCAGGGTGTCCAGCCTTGAGAGCAGCGCCGGATCGGGCGGTCGTGGTCTCCGTAAAATGAATGGACTCGGTGCCGGGAATACGGAATCCCTCTAGCAACTCCTTGGGAATCTCTTTGTCATTCTGAGCCTTTGCCTTCTCGAGCTTGTCCCCAAGTTCCTTGAGACCATTTTCGCCAAAACGCTGCTTCTGCGCAGCAACCCGTGCCTCCTCGTCCTTCTTCAGTTTCTCAGACATCTTCTTAGACGGAACGCCCAAGATAGTGACATGAGGGGCATCGGCGATCCATTTCTTTATGAAAGTGCGCCATTCATCCTCCGTCCATTTCTCCAAGATGTCATATTCCTTCAACGATGCAACATCCAACATCGTGGAGCCGTCTCGCTTTCCAAACAGAAAGTCTGAAATGACATACTCAGCAAACGACGAAGCGGAGTTCTCTGTCGAGAACTTCCAAGTCCGGCGTTGCCGGTCGAGGCACTCCTTCAGATACTTCATGTCCAGCTTTTTGCTCATCGCATCATTGAGGATTTCGAAAAATCTCTTCTCCACCTGCGCGAGCTTTTCTGTCTCCACGCTGGTGAGAGTAAACCGAATCTCCATGCTGGGGTGGTCTTCCGTGGCGTAGTAAACTGCACTGGCAAGTTGCTCCTTCTCCACAATAATATTTTCCAGCAGAGATGCAGACGAGCCAGCCAGATACAATAGTGACACATTCACGGCACCGGCTATGAAAGAGTCAGCATCCCTTGCAGCATGAATGACCAAAAGAAAACTTACTTTGAACAGGATCAGTGCAGTCTGGTCCCAAAAACCGGATTTCAATTTCACCAGACGACTCATCCTCCTCGGGAAACTCCACCGTCTTGATAATCGACTTCTCCAGCATCGGAGCTTGCTTCGAGTCGACCCAGGGCCGCTTGAATGGCGAGTTGGGGCTCGGAATGACATCCAAGATAGTGTCTTCAAACTTGTCCAAAATCTCCAACAAGTTCTTCTGGTCCACTTCTCCGGTGAGGATCAAACACAAGTTCTTGGGCTGGTACATTTCACGGTGAAATTCCCGAATGCGGTCGGCCGTGAGCACACGGAGCTGTTCCATCATACCACCAGTCTCATACCGGAAACCCACGCCCTCGGGGTAGGTCAATCGGCGGGCTGTCAAATCAATGAGCTCCGCGGCATTGTTTTGCACGCCCTGCATCTCCGAATAGACAACTCCGGCATCATTTCCGGTGCCGTCAATATGATGCACTTCGGTGTAGCAGCCTTCATCAGTCAGAGTCGGTGCAATCACATGCTCCAGGTAGACTGGCAGGATTCGGGCAAAGCCTTCCCAGCCTGCCGTGTCCAGCGTATAGGCCGTATGGTCAGTGGCAGTCCAAGCGTTGGTGTTGGAGTACACTCGGGTCGCCAGCTTATCCAAAAAGCCCTTGTAACGATAGTTGCGAGAGCCCATGAAGCACAGATGCTCTAATGTATGCGGGGCGCCTGAATCATCATGGATCTCCGTGGCAAGCACAAAGTACCCGTTAACCTTTGGGCCTTTCTGGTCGATCACCACCACTCTCATGCCGGTGCGCTCCGACTCATACTGAGTGAATTCGCTCGGCGAGTAGTCCGGCGTGAACTGCTGCAGCAGTTTGAAGTGGCTGTTCTTCATTGAGGGCGACATCTTGTTCCAAGTGTGCCCGGGGAGAGTATCCCGCCGAAAAATAGAAGACCTAGGGCGGCGTTAGCTATTTTGGTCTTGAAACTTTTTTTCGGCACAGTTTCTCGGAGGTGAGATGTTGGTGGGGGTGGGCAAACCACACAAAAGAACGGGACGCAACAGGGACGCTTGGATATAGTCAAGAGGAGGGAGAGATGACACTCACAGGGACCGAGTAGATTGTGCCCTCGTCAGGCCTCGTAAACAAGAAGACAACACGGTGGGATGAAAGAAGATGGAGCCCGGCGGAGGTTGGGTCGGGCCCGGCCTTACAAAGCAGTGCAAATGATGGAGGATTGGCGTATGCAGACGGACTGATCGAGGTATATCCCGTCCCTATTATTCTTATTATTCCCGTATGATTCTTATTATAATAATTGTCATCGTAAGAGAACAATGGGAGAACAGAAAGGGATATAGTAGGAGTCGCTAAGCTGACGAGTCACGTGTAAAGTGCCTGAACTTGCCAGGATTATGTAAGGAGAAGCCGCATTCATTCCATTGGAAACATAAACAAGTAAAGTCATCTAAAGCATTGATTGCCGAGTCAATCGAATCCGCGAGATAGTTTAGTTTGCCTAAATCGCCCAGATACGTTGCTTCCCACCCCATATGGAACCAACCCACTCTATATCATCAGCACCCGCTGTCTCGATCTTGAAATGATAAAAAAAAAAAAAAAAAAAGAAAGAAAAGTAAACTACAGCTCACGATCAGCCGCCTTAACGGGCTTCTCGCTATCCTCCTCCTTACGACCCGTGACATTACCGCCCTTCCAGCCCAGAGCGCCGAGTCGCTCCGTGAGGATGGGGTGCGAGTAGTGGTAGCTGGCATACATCCAGTCGGCGTCCATGGTGCTCAGGTTCTGGATCTGGAGCTTGAGGAGCGATGCGGCGAGCTCCTTCTTGTAGCCGAGCTTCTGGGCGAATTCGTCTACAACATGTCAGTATATGTGATGAGAGACGTATAGGAGATAAGACACATACCAGCTTCGAATTCGAATTTGCGGCTCAGAATGTTCATCAGCAGCTTGACGACGGCGTCCATGGGTGCCAGGGCGTCGGAGAACAGCAGGAATCCAATCATGATGGGTTGCTCCTTGACAAAGCCAAAGGACTGGTACAGGGACTTGTTGTTGACGAACACGGAGAAGAGCGCGAAGATGTAGAACATGTGGAACTGCGCAATACCAAAGAGCTTGGTCGTGTGGCTCAGACTCCAGTGGCCAAGCTCATGGCTCAGCACAGCAACGACCTCCTCGGGCTCACTCTTCTCAATCAGCGTATCGTAGATGACGATGTGCTTCTTCCACGGCAGACCATAGAAGTAGGCATTGCTGTGCGCGCTGCGCTTGCTACCATCGATAACATGCAATTCCTGAAGCGGGAACTTGAGCTTCTTGGCCAAGTCCTCAACGCCCGTCTTCAGGGCACCGGGCTCGAGCGGCGAGAGCTTGTTGAACAGCGGCAGAATGACAATCGGGTAGATGGTGATGGCGAAGATCTGAACAAAGACACCAAACAGCCACAGATAGTAAAAGAACGAGGTCCCGGTCTTCTGGATGATCTTGAGCACGGCGCTGATAATGGGCGCCCCAAGCACAATGCCCAGCATCTGGCCCTTTAGCATATCCGTCACCCAGAGCTTGAGTGTCTGCTTGTTGAACCCGAACTTCTCCTCCAGCACGAACGTGTTGTAGTACGAGACCGGCAGCGAGAGAACAGTGCTGAGGATGTTGAACCCGAAGAGAAACAGCAGCGTCTGGCCGATCTCGCCCTGGAAGCGTCCGGGCAGGTACCGCGCCAGCACCACGCCGGCGACGCCCCAGAGTTTGGGGAGGACATCGCCGTAGATGAAGACCAGGTTTTGGATTTGACCGTAGAGTCCGGAGACGAGGTTGAACTTGGCTTTTGCGCGACCGTATGCCTGTGCTCATTATTCCCTAGTTAGCGGTACTCTGTTGTTGGTGGAAGAAGAATCATGAAGTGGCCTTACCTGACTCTGGTCAAAGACCTTTTGGGACACTTCTCCCTCTAGGACCTTGGGAGCCTTGGTGCGCTGCAGGACCTTATACTGCCGCAGCGACAAAAGGCCCTCTAGCACATACTGGCCCAGCGAGAAGCCCACGAGCACGTTCTTCCATGGGAAGAGCGGACGGTCGAGAAGACGCGCGAGTTGCTAGAAGCGGACACACGATGGGTCAGCGAGTGGCCCAATGAGAAAACCAGGGCGCATCTAATTAATTCCATGCCGACTCACCTCGAGGATATACATGATTGGGGACTCGCAAGGGAAGCGAAAGAGAAAGAAAGAGACAGGTGTTCCTGGCGAGAAGGAAGATGCAACAACAGTGGCCCCGTCTGACTAAGGAAGAACAAACAAAGAAACGGCAGCAACTACACAAACTGGATTCTCTATCTACACTCCAAATCCAATAGTAATAATAAATGCACAGAACGGGGAAATCTCCTTAGATACAACTCCCTAGAACACATCATAGAATTGAACCCATTTTTCTTTCGTCCACCGTGGCTCGCAGTCCAGAGACATCTCTCCGGCCAAAACAGCGGGAGACGGAGGAATCCTTGCTTGCGCTCTTTCTATCCAGCAGGGGGCAACGTTTGTAATGCCATTCCATGACCTTGCCGTCTCGTCGTGATCGTAACAAAAAACTTTTTTTTTTCTGCGATTATTTGGAATCGGCGAACTCGTGCCCACGGGTCGAATGTCCGGGTGCGGCAGCGCAGACAAGACACGCGCCCTCACTGGTACGACTGACTTGTGAGCCGGAGCAGCCTCTCCCTAATTTGTTCGGGCTGGGGGCATCATGCAAAATGGGCGGGGTTTAGTTTGAAACGGGCTCCAGGGTGTTACCACTACACACAAGGGTTAGCAAGATGACAAGAAACAAAAACAGACTTAAGACTTACGCGACAATGTTGGCCCACCCGATCAGACGCCAGTGCTTCTCGATTCTCCGACTGATGGCAATCTTCTCACCAACCTCCGTGCAAGCCGGGCTGGTCAGACTGAGCTTAGCGGCATCGGCCTTGACACCCAGCACCTTGGCGCCAGTGGCGGTACTGCCGACGTTGATCATGAGAACCTCATTCTTGGCCAGCTTGGCCACCTTGGCCTGCTTGCCGTCGGCGGTCTTGACACCCAGGAGGCGGCGGAGCAGGAAGTAGTTGACCTCGATCTCCGTGTAGATGGCGGGCAGGCGGCCGCGGTGGCCCAGCACGAAACCAACCAGACGATCGGCACGGCAAAGCGTAGGGTCAACCCGAGTACCAACACCAATCAGACCACCGGGAACGGCGAACTTCAAGTCGTTGTGCTCGGCGAAGAGCGACACAACGCGCGAGAAAATAGAGCGGCACTGGATCTTGCCGTTCTCGTCCTTGGTGACGAGACCAGGACGGATTTCAATCTCATCGTTCAGCTTGAGCACACCAGTCAGGATAGAACCACCAGCCACACCACCCTTGAGCTCATCGATCTCGGCACCGGGCTTGTTCACGTCGAACGACCGGATAACCATCATGTGAGGCGAGGCAGAGAAATCCCGCATGGGGACTGGGATATTCGCCACCAAACTCTCATTGACGGCATCGATGTTATACTTCAGCTGCGCGGAGATGGGGATAATGGGCGAGCCATCGGCAACGGTACCACGGATGAACTTGCGGATCGACTCGTAGTGCTGCAGAGCGGCATCCTCCCGCATCAAATCCACCTTGTTTTGCAGAATGACAATGTGGCTGAGCTTCATGATCTCAATGGCCGCAAGATGCTCCGAGGTCTGGGGCTGCGGGCAAGGTTCGTTTCCAGCAATCAGAAGAAGAGCAGCGTCCATGACGGCGGCGCCAGACAACATGGTAGACATCTAGATGTAAAGAAATCAGTCAGTGGAAAAAGGCGAAACGAACAGATGATACATGGGCAACCCACCAGAATGTCGTGACCAGGGCAGTCCACAAAGGAGATATGTCGGAGCAGCCGGTACCGTCCCTCACATCCTTCCCGCTCACACGCCGGGTCGACCTCCTTGTCACTGCGGTAGCTCTTGTAGCACGTCGGCCGAGGGCACGCGGGGTTGTCGCACTTGTAGATCTTGGCATTGGCATAACCCAACTTAATGGTGATATTGCGCTCCAACTCATTCTTGAAACGGACGGTCTGCACCTCTGAGATGGCCTTGACGACCGTCGACTTGCCGCTGTGGGGGTTGTATTAGCCAAGTCCAACACGGCGAGGAAATATGCACGAACTGAGCGACATGTCCTACTGTCCCAACGTTTATACTGGCTTGACGGCTGATCACCTCGGGGGACAAGGGCGTCAATTTTGAGAAGTCGAGGGTGTCTGGGTTGGGCTGTTCGGGGAGTTCTGGGCGCTTGGGCTGGGACACCGGAGGCGCCGAGGACTTCTTCATGGCCGACTTGAGCGGCTTTTCCTGGTCAAGGTTGTCGTCAAAGTCCTGGTTGGTGGCCTCGAGCACGGGGGAACCGGGCTGGGAGTCGTCGTCGGGAAAGTCGCCGTTGGTAGCCATGGTTGCGAGAGGCGAAGAAGCAGCGAGAGTCAACCTTCTTCTAGGGTGGGGGTGGGAGGGTGGATGGAAGCGAGGGAGAAAATTGCGGCGTGTGGCTCATGATGAAAGAAACTGGAGTGGGGAGTTTTGTGCAGTGGAGTGTGGGCGGTGAGTGTGGGCTAGCTATTGTTCTACTATAGGATTTCAACCGGGACAAGTATTGTTTGGAAACGATGGTATGGAATTATTCTTTTCAAAATTCCCGGGTGCCAAATACTATTCTACATGCTGGGTATCACATCACCCCTATTCCTCATCGCTCTCGTCGCTGCTTGACTCTACCTCTTCCTCTTCCTCTTCATCCGCCTCCGAGTCCAGCAGAGTGGATGGATCCTCGGCTGGCAGCATGATAAAAGATGCCAGACAAGTAATGCGATTGCCCGTTTCATAGGTCGTCAAGAGATCTCCGACCTGGCGAGTCTGGTCGGCGGATGATTTTGCCGCCAGCTCTTTGCCGGTGATCTTCCAGATGCGCACCACCCCGTCACTGTTGCCAGTCACCACCAAGAGGTTGTCATGGAATTCTTTCGGCTGCCCGCCCAGACTCAGAATCTCAAAGTCTTTGATGCGCCCGGGGAGGCCAGCCTGTTTCCCACCAATCTGAGCAACCGCAGTCGCGTACGGAATCGGAGCCTCATCATCCTCTTCCGCCTTCTGGAGCACCTTAGTCGAATAGAAGATTAATCGGCCATCCTCCGTGGACACGGCAAGCAGCTCGTCCGTCTTGCCCTCTCCCAAGGAGATGTATTTCATCTGGTGCAGCTTGCTCCTAGGACTGGGCAGGACGCGGCACTTTGGTGTCGAGTCCTGTATAGATGGTTAGAACATGCCCTCACTCGGACCGACAGCAACTTACAATTCCAAACACCATCGCACCCCATTCAAAGGCAACGGCAAAATTCTCTCCTTCGGGATTCCATGCAATCCGCCGGCCTTCACCGCTGCTCCATCTGCTCTCCTTGACACTCTGTAGCACCTCTCGGCCAAAATTCAACACACCGGCCTTCTTGCCCGTCACCAGATTCCACAGCCGCATGCACCTCTCTCCTCTCCCTACGCTCAGCATCAACTTCATGCTCGGATGTACTGCAAAATGATTGACTCCAGACGGCGCCGCACCAGGAGGTGCTGTGTCACCACTGGGTCTGCCCTGCACCTTGGGACCCGGGGCCTTGATCGTCGAGACGACAGTCCAATCACGGGTTTTGGACACTGAGATGGTATTGTCTTCCGCCGCAGCCAACAGTTTGCTGCGCGACGGGAATACCAAAGCCGAGATGCTGGCCGAATGGTGCAGCAACGACCCCAGCTCGCGGTTCTTCGGGTTTTCGAGAATTTTGTTTCCGGCCAAGGTCGGCACCGAGGGATATTCGTCGTTCACAGCGGGGGTGCGGCCGACAGGGAGTAGAGATTGATGCGCTCATCCGTTCCACCGCTGGCCAAGATGACCTTGGGGGCTTCGGCAGTGTCCGTGGCCTTGGGTGGTGGTGACAGCGCCAGACAGCGAATGGCGGATCCATGCGCCTCGAACAGGAACGAGTCCACACATTGGACCGACGATGGGTCAGGTTTGGCGGACCCCAGGCATGAGGCAGGAATACCGGCCGTGAATCCGTGCAAGACTCGCTCGTAGGAACCCGTGACGATCTGCAGGCGCAGAGCTACATCGGGAGCTTCTGTCGCGGTGGCCGTGGCTTTGACGGCCTTGGAGGAAGGGGTGGCGGGTTTGTCGTCTTTGGCCGCGTCGGGCCTCTTGCGCTTGACCATGATCTGGGACGTGGTGGTGGATGTGGGAGGTGTGCAAGAGCTGAATTGTCTGTCTGTATGTATTTTTTTTTTTTTTTCGTTTATCGATTAGAGTGATAATGTCCGCAAGCGGGTTAGTCAAAATGACCATACGGCCATACCCACTGATACACACCTGTAGGCGCTGCGACGAGCCTGTCCATGTCGGCCACACACTGTTAGTCGCTGGCCATTGCAGATATTGGATTGAGATTGAATTCGATTTGAGTGATTATTGTGGCTCTTTGCATTGTGTTGCCGGACAATCACACCAACCTCCCTCTGGGGGTCCCATTGCAGGCCGTATCGTCGCCGTACGGGCAGGAAACCCATTGCTCCCGCCCATGCCCGCTGCTTCTTCTCTTCCGTTACCCGTACACAACACAGTCAAGGTCTTCACCCCTTCAGTCGTCTCCCCTCCCCCCCATCGTCTCCCACCATCACCACATCCGTTTCATCCTTTCTGAGCGATTTTTCCCTTCTGGATGCCCTCGCGCAGTCCACTCCCTTTTTTTCCCCGCGTTAATTGGATGCGGTGTGCCCGAACCACGACCCCCATGCGCTGCGACGAGCTGCTCGTCCTGTCTATCCGTTTTGAGGCCATTTTCGCGGTCTAGATGACCTCGCCATGCTCCGTGACGAGCTGCATGCAGTCGTAGCTCGACGACAGGCCAAACTTACAGAGCTGTTTTACGCCACGGTGGGTGTGGGCGCGACCGAGGGCGCGACCGGGGACTCGCACTACCAAGAGAAAGAACAAGCGTTCCTCGACGCCAACGACCTCTCCAAGTAAGTTTGTTTGGTGTTCTTTTCACTCTTTCTTGCCATATTAATCGGTCGCGTGATGCAATATTTTTGGAATTTCGATGCTAATGCCCCGTTAGAGGTCGCTACTTCAACGAATCCACCCTGCCACCACCCTCGAATCCACATCTCACGCGTTCGGCAAGCAGAAAGGCCGCTGCATCAGCCGCTGCTGAGATCCCAGTCGCTCCGTCGCCCACAGCCGATGGCGTCCCTGTGACTGCGACCGGAACTGTCGCGGGAGAAGAATCGCCTGAAGTCGCGCCAATCTCCGCGGACGCGACAGGACAGGAGCAACCGCCGGCATCCGCGATCAGTCCCCAAGTATCGCAGGATCTGAATGTACCGACTCCGTCGACCGCGCCGTCTACTCGGTCACCGCGCGCCGAGCAGATCGCAGCAGAGTCTCAGGACCACGATGCTACGGAAATAAAGACCTCTCCCAGTGGAATGAAGGGCGCTCCAGCGCTGGAGATTCCTGCTGATTCTCTCACGCGAAAGAAACACGCCACGCGGCCATCTCTCACCTTGGGGTCTGCGCATCCCGAACAACCACTTTCACCCGCCTCCTCCGCTGGGCCCTACTCTAATAATACCCCTATTCCTGTTGCTGCATCGCCCGACACCAGCCCTGCAGAGGAAGCAGACGTCGTTGGAAAGATCGACCACCCGATTCCAAGGCATGATCGATCTGTCAAAGCACGCGCGAGCTTGGTTCCGTCGACCCCGGATGAACAATTGCGCATGGAGGAGGCGCAGTCGCTGCGTCATGCCGCTGATGGCGTGAAAACCGAGGCCGACAAAGACCGAATGGATGTCGATGAGACTGGACCTGATGGAGCTGCTTCAATGGAGCCGCTATCGCCAACTCAGCGCTTGCCCGAAGGCGCCGAGCCGGCTGCTAATGCCATGTCCGATATGCACGCAGCAAAGAGGATTTCACCCACTCAGCCCGGTCTCTCCCAGCCGGAACGCATGACCACACGAGTATCGTCAGGTGCCATTCGTCACAAATCTGTCTCCGAGATCCTCGGAGAGACCCCGAGAGTTGTGACGGACAAAGACTCCCCCGATGCCGTTGCAAGGATGCGGTTCAAGGACCGGAAAGACCGAGAAAAGGAGCGAACCCGACTTTCAACCGTTGTCTTCCCGAAGCAGACGCCATCCCAAATGGAGAGATCTGATTCTATGGACCTTGGCCAGCGAGATTCCAGCGATGCGATTGCGAAGGTGAACGAGGAGCAAGACTATCTGTTCACCTTGTTCTTGAATCGCGCCTATGCTCCGCCTCGGGGATCGAACCTGAATACACTCTTGAGCTCTGCCCACAAGACACTCAGCACGGAAAACCATCTGCTGGAGTACCAGGAGCAGATGGACTGCCGCACCTTGCGGCGCATATATGCCCTTCAAAATGCCAACCGATGGCCCCTGCGGCAAATGAAACGGGCTGCCGAGCCCGTCCGCCAGGGCACGCACTGGGATATTGTCTTGGATCACATGAAGTGGATGCGAACCGACTTCCGTGAGGAAAGAAAGTGGAAAGTTGCTGCGGCCAAAAGCTGCGCCGACTGGTGTGCGGAGTATGTCAACAGTGACGAGGAACACCGTGTTCTCCTCCGCGTGAATGCGAAGATTCCATCCCCCAACACCGAAGTGAAGGAGGCCGGGAAGGCCGGCGTAGCCTCTCCGTCAGAGGCGCCAGGCGACCACCCTACCCCCGATCTCGTTCCGTCTGCCGAGGAGGAATCGGTCAGCGATGGCTTCAACGATGAGCCACGGCACGACCTTCAAGATACTGTCGCTCCGGCGGCTATCTTCTCCCTCGGCTTGGATGAGTTCACTTTTTCTATTAACATGACACCTGCTGCCGAGAAACTATTGGAAGAGCTGCCGGTGTACGCTCCTCTCCGGATCGCCCCGGAGACAAGTGTGCCGACATTCAAAGCACCTCCAGATTCGGCGTGGAAGACCGATCTTCTTCCTGTCTCCAAATTCGCGACTACCAAGATCAGCTTCCATGATGATGAACGGCCCCGAAAGCGAAGCAGATACGATTACTCCCAATACGATTCTGAATCGGAACATCGTGTTACCGAGATACCCCCGGAACAGGCCAACGTTGCGCTCTTTAGACCCGAGAACAAGCACATCCGTGATCGAATTCACCCTGGCCATTCGTTCCGCCCTCCTACTGAACATCCTATGCCGTCAGTTGGGTTCTTCGAATCTCGACAGTCATCGCAATGGACCTATGCCGAGGACGACGAGTTGCGCCGTCTGGTGAAAGAATATTCCTACAATTGGTCTCTTATTTCAAGCTGTCTGACACCGTCTTCTCTGTTCACATCCGGGGCTGAGAGGCGCACTCCTTGGGAGTGCTTTGAGCGCTGGGTGGGACTGGAAGGTCTTCCTGCGGAGATGTCCAAGACTCAGTACTTCCGGGCCTACCACCAGAGACTGGAAACGGCACAGCGCACTGTTCTGGCGCAGCAGCAAGCCGCTCAGCAGCAGCAACAGCAACAGCAACAGAGCAATAACGGTCAGCCGCAACCACCGATTCGGCGCAGAACGACGCAGCCTCTTCGAGTCGACCGGAGAAGATCTTCGAAACATCTCGCCTTGCTTGATGCTATGCGGAAGCTGGCTAAGAAGCGGGAGACGATGCTCCAGAAGCAGCAGCACGGTATGTTTTGATAAATACAGCACTTGGTAGGATAGCTGACATTTTCTCCTTAGCATCCCACTTGGCTTCGCTCCGAAAGGCCAACGAGGCGAACCAGCCCAAGCCTCCGATCTCGTCTCCGGCTGAATTCAGTCGACTCAAGTACGAGCGGGAGATGAAGCTGCAAGAAAGGCAAGAGCAATACCGACAGCAGATGATCGCTCAGCAAAGGGCTAGTCTTGCTGCTCAGCGTGCCGGTCAAATGCCCAACCAGCAGCAGCAGCCGCAAATGATGAATGCTCCTAATCGGAATCCCAACGGCGTGCCCACCAATCCCGCCAACTCTGGCGTGACCGGTGGCACTCCAAATGGAATGACCAATGGCATGCCTCCTAATGCTAGCGTGAACCAAGGTCGCCCTCTTCCAATGCAGGGGATGCCCACTGGAGCCCCGGTCAATGGCCAAATGGCTCCGAATGCCATGACGATGAAGATGATGCCCCAGGGTCAAATGCAGCAAGGCGCGGGTGCCAGACCTGGAATGCCGATGCAGACGTCTCCAGACAACGCCCGGGTCATCCGCGAAGCAAACCGACTGCAGGAACAGCAGCGTATCTTGCAGTCTCGACAGCAGCAACAGCAGCACCCTCATCCCCAAGGCCAACCCCAGCAGGCACAGCAACAGTTCCACGGCCAACAGCAGTTCGCACCCCAAGGTTCGCACTCACCGAACCTGAACATGCCCAATGTCAACAACGGCCCCAACAACGCTGCCATGATGGCCGCGCTCCAGGCGCAGGGCGGAATGCAAAGCCCATCGTTCCACGCGGGTACGCCACAGGGCATGTCCACCCCGTCACCTCGGATGAACCAGCCCAATCCGCTTTCCAGCGGCGTCGTTCCGACCATCAGCACCATCCAAAGCCAGATTCAACGAAGCAACCCGAACCTGCCCGCAGATCAGGTCAACAAATTGGCCACAGAGCGCCTCAACCAATACCAGCAGCAGCGAATGTCTCAACAAGCGGCCATGAACGCCGCCGCTGGCAGCATGAACGCCGCTCAGGCCAACTACCAAGTCCCGCACGAGGGCAACTTCCAGACGCCGACGCCGCAATCCGGCCTGCCGAATGGCAATCCCGCAATGCAGGTGCCCCAGAACCAAGGCTTCTCGCCCATGATGCGTGTTCCGCAGACTGCGCAGCAGACCCGTGTCGGCGTCACTAGCTCTCCGGCTATGAATGGCGCCACCCAGTCTAGTCGCAGCGCAACGCCGCAGACTCAGCGCAGTGGCAGCAGCACTCAGGCGGGAGCTGTCCAGGGAGGGTCAAACAAAAGCCCGCATCCCCCGCCGGCCCAGACGGCCACCAGCTGAGTGTTGGAAATGGATGGCATGGATTAACTCGTGCTGCGCTCGTCGTCCTCCATCTTTGTTTCAATTGTACATATTGTCTTGAAACTCCTTTTATTACTCTGATTTATCGAATCCCTCGTCCTCCCTGCCTGCGTGTCTGTCCGTCTTCTCTTCTCCGTCTTCCGCTGAAATCATGATCCCGATAATCGCGCCATCATCCCCACCACCACCAATATCTCCTCCCTCTTTCTGCTTTACCGGCACGCGGTTTTACCTCCATTCTTCCCTCCCCGTCTATCTGTTCCCCTGAATCTTCTTTTTTACACCGGACTCTGAACCTTCCTTGCATGTTCTTGATCTAATGGACCAGATAAGTGTGCACTGGCTGTGCTCCATGCAGTGCTGCGCCTTGGACATCATGTCTGGTTTTTGGTTTCTCCCTGTACTACCTACTACCTATTGATGGCATGGGCGGGTTAGTTACTCTTTCTTGAGTTTTCGAGTTTTTACTTTTTCTTTTCTATCTTCGATGGGATGGATGGTGGATGGAGTTGAAAGGATGAAGGAGTTAATTGGTTGGTGCATATGAATTGTATGAATAGTCTTGATTGAAAGCAGCCATATCCAGCCTTCCTTCTCCATCTTGATTTCAATTGCTAGAGCAAGAAAGAAGACCAAGTAGATGAACTAAATCACAACTTCCCCCACCCACAAAAACTCCTCCCAATTCTCATAGTCGAACCAACGAGGAATCCCCACACGCCCGCCCTGAGCGCAGCCTGCATACCACGCATAAGGACTAGGCGCCCCGTATAAGCAAACGCATCGGACCACGAGGTTGCGCCGAACCACAGGCCCAGCGGATGGAGGTCCGCGAGCTGGATGGCGGACGAAGAAGAAGAGCGGTGCGCGGAGCCGAGGTAGGAGTGTGCTAGGGAGCGGAGAGAGAGGGATTCCAGCGGGGAGAGCAGGATGACACTTAGCAGTGCGGCGAGGTGGGAGGCGAGCGAGTCGATGGGGTGTGCGGAGAGAAGGGTTACTCTGTGTGCCATGGATGATGGGTTTAGGAAAGATTGTGAGGGGAATGGGAGGGTTGTGGCGGATGTGAGGGGTGGTTGGTCCATGAGAGAGTCCAGTTCTACTATGTCTGGATTTTGGTGCAGGTCGGGGCCTGGGGCCGGGGGTGGGTGGGTGTGGGATTCGTCTTCGTCGTCGTCGTTTGGCTCCTCCACGCCGTCGGGCAGGAGGTTCGGGGTGGTGCTGGGGACGGGGACGTCGGCCGTGGACTCGAGAGCTGGATGGTCGGTGACCGCGGCATCTGGAAGGGGATGGGGAGGCTGAGTTTCAGGCATGGGGGGATCAGGTTCGGCCACGACGTCGGTAAGGGCGCCGCTGTCTGCGGCGATAGATTGGTGCACTACTGCGTGCTGGGGACTCAGCGTTGTATGATGCTGGCTCGAGATCAAGGCATCCAGAAACTCGGCGATCGATCTGCGGTCGACGGTCGTCGAGGGTGGCCGAGAAGGGTCATCAGTGCTGGGCCGGACAGTCAGGTGATCCTGGTCCCGAGTCTGGTTTTGCGCGTTGCGATTGCGGTTGCCCAGTAGCTCGAGCTGCATAGTGATGATGTCGGAGCTTTGATGGATCAGCGACGCCCGGACACGAGGCGAGGTTGGCGGAGATGTATCTGGGGACGATGGGTGTGAGAATAGGGTGTTTGACCGTGAATTCTGCCGGTCCATGGCCGTTCCCTCGCCGTGTTGTGTATCCTGATGTGTCAGGTGGTCATGCGGATTGGAAGAGGTCGAGAGGGCGCTCGCCTGTCCTAGAGTGGCCATTTCGGAAAAGTAGTCGCTGCTCATCTCTCCCGGAGACTGCGACATCCGGTTCTCGTTCGTGAGCACCTGGTTCATGGCAAGTGTGGTGGTGACCACATCGGACTGCAAGGCTTGCGCAGCACCCAGCAAGTCTGGCTGCGTAATATCGACGACGTGAGAAAAAGGAGTGGCTGCTAAATTCCTTTCCAGGAGCTCATCCGGTCCACGCTCGGCCGTGTGGTTTCGCGACTGTGCCCCCTCAAGCTCATTTTGCAAGGTTTCGATGGAGTTGCGAAGGCTTTCAATCCTGTCATCTCTGGCCGGTTCGATGGTTTGCTGATCTGGCGCGTGTCTTGATCGAAGACCAAACCACGAGAAAACCCATCCCCGAAAAGCGGCCAGCTCGCACTGGACATCCTGGAGGAATGTAAGTTTGGCACGCTGAATTTCCTCTTCCGACCTCCGCCCAAGGGTAGGCACCACCCATTCAATGAGATTCTCTTCAAAAGCGACACGAACCGAAAGTTCATCTGCAAGGGTGGGTTTTGGCAGCCTTCGACGGATCAACCTGTAAAGACGCTCTTCGAGCTCCGGGCGCAGGTAATATGCATATATTAACACGAGAACCGCAGGAGACGTTAACAGGCCCGTAAGCGAGGCGCCTATGGATTGGAAGGTGAATTCGGTCGGGAGTGGCGGCAGCTGAATGAGGGACTCGGCACCAAAGGGGATAAAGAGGCGAAGACTAGGGACAGAGTTCGGTGCCACGAGCGAGAGTGACTGGAGCAAGGAGTACATGTAGGCTTCCACGGAAAACATGAGCACCGAGGTCCTCGCCCTGGGAACGGTCATTAGTGCCTGCGCTCTGACTCGATGTCTCGAATGTACTCACGCCGTGTACGCAACTCCGAATACCGAACGGACGACGGGAGAGAGGCTGCCATCCCCTGTCTTTGCCATGAGGTAATCTCGGACAGAAGTAAAGGTCCGCTTCAATGGGGTTTCCCGGGCAAAAGTGAAACCGCTAGATACTGCCCAGGCAGGGATTCCGGCAAAATAGAAACCGACAACGCCAGTAGACCCGCGTTCAGAGCGTATGACATCCAGCAGGGCAGCATGGGTATAGCGTCTGTATGTCTGTTCCCCGTATGACGAACAGTCAGCTTCCTAGTTATGCGATTCAACACGGATGCGCAGGTCCTACCAGAATGCGAGCCGTGAGCGAAGTAGTCCACCACGTGCCGAAGAAGACAAACAGCTGGTCCAGGGTGGTCATGACCAAGCCGAAGTCATTCTCGGTGGCGATCTGGTTGATCTTCTGCTGTTCATTGGGGATCCTGGTCTGCCGGTCCTCCCCGCTCACCACGATCCCCATCGTTGAGAGGATGTCATTCTTGGCTCTCCGCAGGCCCCGTCCAAGGACTTTGGACTCGGGGTTGACAGGGTGGCCGCGGTGGTCATACTGTTGCATGTAGTCGTCGGCGTGGATGCTGGAGACTCGTCGCACCGTGCTCGAGGGATCCACCGCGCCGTAGTCGGGGGCATCGTACGGGGACCGGCCCTGGAAAGTGGACAGGTCAGTATATGAGGTGGATGGAGAGAAGCTAGGAGGCACTTACCAGAGCGAGCCGATTCAGGTAGGCTTGTCGGCCCATGGCGTGCTAGATTCATTGTCTCATGGGAGGTGGAACAAACGGAGGGAGCCAAAAATTGGGGTGAGACGCGACCACGGGGAAGTGCACAAGCCACACCTTAATAATAATAATGCCTTTGAACGACCTAGAATGAAATGAATTTAGATGAATTTAACATAATACAATACAATCCGAAAGAAAAGCAACCATTAGGTGTAATTACATGTAGTCAATACTTCAAAAATATGAAGACAGAAAAATACGTCATGGCTTCCGCGTCTTTGACAGCGGGAGAGTTGCCTACATACCGTATTCACACTCATCATACCTTCCTCTATCTACTAGGTAGCTCTGTCTGTGTGGTGTTCCAATTCTACAAAGCACGTAAAATGTGACAGTTAAATGAGGCACTATGACATTGATCTCTCGTCTTTGAGCAAGGGCGCTTTCCATTTCCTCAGCCTCTCGCCGTCCCAGATAGCATACCCCCACTCCCATTCTTGATCGCAATGGCTCTCGACAATCGCGAACTCAAAATACCCTTCCTTTCTGAATTTCTCCACGGCTTTCACTCTCCATCCCAGATTAGGCTGTTCGAGAGATGCTGTAGCAGACCATAGCTCCTCGAAACTGCCAACATTGCACCGATCAGCCGGGTAAAGAAAAGGAAACTTATAGTCCGCGGATACGCCACAGTTCGGCCCAATCCATGTCTCCGGCTCCGTGTTTGCGTTTGCCATTACCAGATTGCGCCGAAGGAGAGCGTTCGCGTGCAGAACGCGGTAAAGGAACCTTGGCCCAATAGAGACCAGGGTATCTGTACAGTCGGACAAAATTTCAAGGTCGTCAACTCTTTCTATCACCACACTGTTTGGACGTTGGTCTTTTGCAAGGTCCCGGAAAAAAGTGACCCCACAATTGCCCAGGCTGTCCGATATCTCCTTGTGGACTGGATCGTACTTGATCATCAGATATGACCACACACATCCCATTTCTTCGTATTCCCAAGGGAGCATTGTTCCAAAAAATAGACGCCATGCATCCTCGGGTTTAAGTGTAGTGTACTCCCAATCATTGGAAGGCCAATCATACCACCGCTCAATGCTAACTTCGCTTTTCCCAAAGATATAGGCATGAGTTTGTAGCCGACACAATGCTCTGAGGAAGCGAAACTTTTCGCTGTTAGATAAATTGAGTGGTAGGAAAGTAGGCCATTGAGCAGGATCTATCCACTCAGGTCGAGGTGCATTTTGTGAGTAGTCTTCCAGAAAGAAATGTATCTCCTTATGGAAATGCAAAAGTTCGATGATCTCTTCCAAACTGGCAGGTTCACTTGCAAATCCATTTATCCCTTTGCGGCGACGTCGAATATCTAATAAAGCGATAGCTTTTTCTGTGTTGTTTTTCATATCTAGTCCTTTGGACCTGATGGCAGCGACTGCTTCCGGGAGAAGCTTCTCATCATACTGATTTTGGAGAATGCAGTAGAGTAGTTCAGGTCGAATCATGAGGTAGGCTTTGTGACATGCTGGTGATGCAAGTACGACAGATTGGAGAGTATACCGATCGATAACTTGAAACAAAATGAGAATGAGCAGCTCGGCTGGGAGGCCTTCTAGTGTCCGTGGTGCCTAAGAGGAAATCAGTCAATTTTCACTTTTATCAAGGGAATAATCATACCATCCTTGCGAGGAACGAGAGTTCACGCTTTGATGTTGAGGGGAGGAAAGAGGGGGATGGAAATGATTCAGATGCGTGGCCATAAATCTTAACGTATTCACAAGCGAGCCGAACGCCCGGGTCAAATCACCATGGAACAATAGGATAATTTACAACTTCACATCTCAACAACATAAAACGATCTTAATTGAGTATTAGTATGGTGTTATTTATAAGTATCTCAAGTACATTTTTCTGTTTCTGCACATGCTAATCTACATACAAATCTGCATGGTATAGTCCCAATTTGGCAGCATGTTACCCGTTCATCCCCAATCGTGTAGAGTTTTCGATTGTCTCACACTCTCGCATTCCTGACCTCATACCATACTACGAGTGGCGTTATTGGCAACGGTCTTCGGCTGCTGTTATCGTAACTAATAATGTGTTTAGCAGGATCGTATAGGTGGCGCTAATCTGCGCCACATGTCTAACAGACTCACCTGCGCCCCGTCAAAATGCCAGAGACGGGGGATCAGTATGCTCACCAGGGGAACAGACACCAAGAAACCGAACCTGGGCCGGAAAGGCTCGAAAGCCCTGCGCAGATAGGCGGGTCGGGGCGAGGAAAAGGATCAGATTGTAGTATGGTATGTAACAATTATAGGAAATATATGCCCGGCCCCCTTTAGTGCTTTAGTGGAGACTTGACTTTGTTGGGAGGTAAACAGAGAAGAAAATTAGAGCAATTGCTTCTTCCAACGGCATTCTCAATGGGATTACTTCGTGTTGAACATTTGCAAAGTTGGCCTCTAACTGTAATTGATCTGAATATCATGATTCACATACGAATCCTGGTTTCAGGCCATATCAACTCAATATTCATAATATACAATATCACCGAGGGGCCAGCTTTTCGGCCCCATGAAAACATTAACGGGCTGTTCTCATTACTGCCCCGATCACCCCCTCTGTAAAAGTCGGCACACGGGCACAGTACTCTTGAAAATTTTCTCAAAGATACTAGGCCGTGACCAGGTTTTATCTCCCCGTTCCCTTGCGACCCCCGTGGAGAGAGTTTAAAAAAGGCATTACAAGTTATTTGGCTTGATAGTCCTGCACCAAGCGTGTCCATATATCAGAGGTGAACAAGGGCCCAGCCGACACCGATCTCTCGCCATGAGAATCCACGGGGCCCTCCTCACGGCCATGGTGGCGCTGAGCCATCTGCTGGAGGGAGCACTAGCAGAAAAGGCATGGAACCAGCTCGAGGCGGCCAGTGTACTTCAATGGCCAGGCGACTGCAACCCCTCGGAATGCGTCGATTTCGAGATGGACGAGACGATTCAAGAAACGGCCCTGCTGGCTGACTCGGCGAGCAAAGCCATCGACATTATTCTTGGAACGAAGACGAATAATGTCGTCCCCAAAACGACAACCAATAAGCGCTTCCTGGAGGCCGCGAAATACATGTTCAATGTTGATTTTGGCGATGCCCCAGACAACCCGAAAAAGTCATGGGCTGTGGAGCAAGACAAGCGCTTTGTTTTGCGTGCGGTACAAGGCATGTCCAGATCAAACATCCTCCTTCTCTCTTTGGAACTTGAAAACCACATGAAACAACATTGCCTCGCTAACGACACTCTCCCTCGTCTTCTATAGAAAACTATGACAATATACGCAACCTTGTGTACGGGGTTGGAGATTATGCCAAGCCGAAGATGCTCTGTGGTGATGGGGACGTCGAATTCGTGACGAAGATGGGCCAAATTGGAGGAAAGCCTGAAGATGAACCCATCTGGAGGGCGATGAAGGAAGATGGTATGCAAGAACTCTCACTTCCACCTTTCGTCTCCCTGTTGCGGTTAGAGAAACTGACAATGGCTTGTTTTCTTTTCTGTATAGAGAAAACCACGCCTGGATGGTGGATATCCAATTGGTACTCCCCACGGGACAAGAACAACAAGCTCATCGAAGACCTTGTGGTCCGTCTTATGACAAATGAGAAGATCTGCTCCGGCGCAATCAACGGATTCGGGCCCACAGTCGGCGAGACGTTTTACTTCGAGAGGATCATGGTTCTTTGCGACCGGTTTTTCAGCTATGCCCCTCTCACGAGGCTAATCGAGGATCAGAAGAGTCTTGCTGTGGGGTCGCTTATAGACAAGACGCAGAAGACACGCGGTGGGTATTTTCTGCATGAGGCCCTGCATTGGCTGGATCGCGACAGTAAGTCACCCTTCCCATGACTTCTAGGAAGGGACGAAGTTCTAATACATGCGCTTTGTAGTGAAGGATCAGGACATCGACATTGGTCAGGGCATGCAAGCGGCCTATGGTTGGGAACGATGTGCGGCTCTCGCAAAACAGGGCGTACGTGTGAAGGAGGCACGGTTTAATCCCGACAACTATCACTGGTTTGCCGTGGCTGTTGTTCTTCACGAAGTGACATGGGATTCAAATGGACAGAAGGTATCGTGAAGGGTGGCGGGCGTATGAGAAGATAAATAGAAGAAGTGACGGGTATATGGGAATGTATGATGAAGTGCTGAGCGGTGCCAGAGAAGTAGGCATAGGCACGAATACAAAGTCGCAGTTTTGCGTATTCGTAAACTGCACCTCCCCACAAATTCGCATTCGCCAGTTCAAGTAGGCTTGTCAGCCTATGATGATATGCTAAATCAATTGCCTCATGGTCAGGAACAAATAGGAAGACAAAGACTCGGTGAAGCGCAACCATGGGGAAAGTGTACATTCAGCAAGCCACATCTTAGTTAACTTGATTTTAGACGAGAACTCTACAGAATATTATAATAAATCAATGGAAAGAGAGCCACAAAAGAAAAAAGGAAAAAAAAAAAAAAAAACAGGATCGGATGGAAACCCAACCATCGTCAAGGGCAGGGTTCGAACCTACGCGGGCGAACCCATGTGATATTGAGAGCAAAGCTTCGGCAGTCGCGGAAACATAATCTCCGCGATTTACGAAGAGTTGCCAGTTCAAGTCACACGCCTTAACCCTATGTGGAAGTTAGTGGGGTGTTCCGGTGGGCCTTCAATTTAGTTTCACTCACACTCGGCCACCTTGACTTTTTAGGCACGAAAAAGCTCTAGAATAGCAACATGTGTGTTCTTTCTTATAAAATGCGCAATTAGACTGAGACTAAGACAAGACAGACTCTCTGGTGAATTTAGATAGAAAAGAAAAAAGAATACTATTCAGAAAATAAAAGGTTAGATGAAAACAAAACATAGAATGTGGGAAGAGAAAAAAAAATTAAACGTCAGCGACAGGACTCGAACCTGTGCGGGCGAACCCATAACATAGTCCACAGCAGAGATGCCGTATGATTCGAATGTCACGCCTTAACCACTCGGCCACACTGACCGTTTAGACTGAAGGTTTACTCAGCTGCCAATAGATTCCTCGAGACTGATAACCAAATTGTTATCAGACAACGGCTCTCAACTTTTTTTTTGGTCCTTCTTTTCTATGCGCCCAGTCCACGCGCCATGTCGAAAGCTACCGTCAAACCCACTTTCGAGGCGTCTCGCACCCTCCGGCCCATCTACACAGGTGGCAGCACGGCGCTGGATGCCACAGGTCGCATTCTGCTGACCTGCGTGGGTGAAGATGCGCTGATCGTGGACTTGGACACGGGCGACCAGCTCGCCAGTCTGGAGGGAGTACGTGCTGCCTTACCCTGAATGCATTGCGCATTGCTGACCGCTATGAACGAATGCAGGATGGAGAGATTATCACCAGTTTAGCCAGTACGTCGAGTTTTTGCGTTTCCGTCTCTTCTCGTCACTGACATTCATTTCTTCCAGTTACGCCGTCGGCCTCGCATGCGATTGTCTGTTCCCGATCCATGTCCATGCGCATCTACTCCCTCAGTCCTTTCGACGAATCATCCCAGCCCATTGAGGCCGAACTCCGTCGAACACTCAAACCCCATACCGCTCCCGTCGTGACGACCGCCGTGGATCCGACTGGCACATTACTCGCTACTGGAGGCGCCGATGGGTCGATCAAGGTCTGGGATATCCGAGGCGGCTATGTCACACATACCTTTCACGGTCACGGAGGAGTCATTTCTGCGCTCTGCTTTTTCGAGGTCTCGACTTCGGAAGGTGCTACGAAGAAAAAGTCAAAGCGGAGGAGCGATGAAGATGCCGACATGGAAGATTTTGCCTCGACAGCAGGGTTCCGGCTGGCCTCCGGCAGTGAGGATGGAAAAGTGCGTGTGTGGGATTTGCACAAAAGAAAATCCATTGCATCGCTCGAATCGCACGTCTCGCTGGTGCGCAGCTTGTCTTTCTCCCCCACAGAGAACGCATTGCTTTCAGCGAGTCGAGATAAAACGGTGATTGTGTGGGATGCGAAAACGTGGAAGACACGCAGGATCATTCCGGTTCTCGAGAGCGTGGAGGCCGCCACCTTCATTGCCGATAGTGGTCTGTGTGTGGTCGGCGGAGAAAATGGCAAGCTTCGAGTTTGGGACTGCAATCGAGGAAGCGAAGTGACGCACGACCAGGAGGCTGGCGAGGAATTTGAGGCCATTGTGGCGATTCAATATTCTCCCGGCCTGTCATTCGCCATGACTGTCCATGCTGACCAGACTCTCCGACTGCACTCACTCGAGTTGTTGTCCGATTATCAGCCGGGTTCGACCTTGGAGCCATTGACTATTATTCGACGCATCTCCGGAAATGACGACGAGATCATCGATCTGGCTTACGTTGGCCCAGATCGGTCGATGCTCGCCCTAGCCACCAACACGGAAAGTATCCGAGTGGTGTCAGTTGGCCCATCTGAAGATCGGTCGACGGGTCAGGGCGAGGAGTACTTCGGGGCAGATGTCACAAACCTCGAGGGTCACGATGATATTATCATCTGCATTGACGTCGACTGGTCCGGACACTGGCTGGCTACCGGAGCCAAGGACAACACCGCTCGTTTGTGGCGCCTGGACCCGAAAACCTCGTCTTATACTTGCTTTGCTGTTTTCACCGGCCACGCCGAGTCCCTGGGGGCAATTGCTCTCCCGCGGGTACCACCACCGGCTGGCAGCTCGGCATACAACGACCCGCTCAATTACCCCCCATCGTTCCTGATGACGGGCTCACAAGACCGCACGATCAAGCGTTGGGACACCGGCAAGCTACCACCGCTCAAGGGAGAAAACGCACACTCCCCCAAAGCGGTCTACACGCGCAAGGCACACGAGAAGGATATCAACGCTATCGACATTGACTCCTCGTCTGCACTGTTTGCTTCCGCGTCTCAGGATCGCACTGTCAAGATTTGGTCTGTCGAGGAAGGCTCCGCGGTGGGAATTCTCCGTGGCCACAAGCGAGGTGTCTGGTCTATACGATTTGCACCTCCAAAGACGCCCGTAGTCTCGTCAGAGACTGGAACCAGCACCAATCGCGGCTTGGCAGTCACCGGCTCGGGTGACAAGACCGTCAAGCTGTGGAGCTTGTCAGACTACAGCTGTATTCTCACCTTCGAAGGCCATACGAACAGCGTCCTCAAAGTGCTCTGGCTCCCGCCTCCGCAAGTTTCCACCACAAAGAACGGGGGCGAGAACCAGGATGACGACGACGAAGAAGCGGCGACGCACAAATCAGCTGCGCAAACCCGGCCGCTCATCGCCTCCGCTGCGGCAGACGGCCTGGTCAAGATCTGGTCGCCGTACACCGGCGAGCTCGAGACCACTCTCGACAACCACACCGACCGAGTCTGGGCCCTAGCCAGCCCAACCCCGTCCGGATCCCGCTCAGACGTCAAGCCCACCTCCTCCAAAGTCAACACAACCCCCTACGCCCTGGCTTCCGGGTCCGCCGACTCCACCGTCACCTTCTGGACCGACACGACCTCCGCAACCTACACGGCCACCGTGAATGCCAGCGCCGCGCGCGTCGAGCAAGACCAGCAGCTTCAGAACTACGTGCGCGCCGGCCAGTACCGCGAAGCCATCACTCTAGCGCTGCAACTCAACCACCCAGCCCGGCTCCTCTCGCTCTTCACGGCCGCCGTCAACGCCGCCGACGACCCGACCCTCCCCGCTGAGGACCGTGCCCGTGCTGCCAACAGTCTGACGGGCAACCCGTCCATCGACGAGGTACTGCAATCCCTTGACGCGGCCAACCTCCGCACGCTGCTGCTCCGCCTGCGCGACTGGAACACTAACGCGCGTACCGCCCGCGTGTCGCAGCGCATCCTCTTCGCCCTGTTCCGCTCGTACCCGGCCTCGACGTTCGTTGAGCTGGCGACGCAGTCTGTGAGAGGCAAGAATGGTCGTGCCGCTGCAGGCCTGAAGGATATCTTGCAGGCTCTAGCGGCGTATACAGAGAGGCATTATCGGCGCGTGGAGGAGCTCGTCGATGATAGCTTCCTTGTTGAGTGGGTGCTCGGCGAGATGGATGGCGGTGTTGGTTTGGGTGCGTTGACGAATGGTGTGAATGGGGAGTCGGAGGAGGCGCATGAGAAGGACGTGGTCATGCTGGAAGCATAGATGGGAGTCAGTTGTTTCTTCTATTTCTGCTGTAGATTAATTGGTTTGGCGCTTTGTTTATCACTTCGAGGGAGTATGTATCTGATTTCCAAAAGCATCTGTTTTCTTTTGGCTTTGAGCCTTGCAGATAGAAATGAATGAATATATATCATGAGTTCGGTCTATTCTTCCAGGGTATCTATTGTATTTTCAGGGGAGTCATTGTACATTCGTTTCACGCCAGAAAGATAATGTTTAGTCGTCTCGCCGACTGCGACGAGAGTCACGGTCCCGATCCCGATCCCGGTCACGCCGGGACTTGCTGGACCGATCATCACCGTGTCGGTGGCTGCGGTCTGTGTCTCTGTCTCGATCCCTCTCCCTATCACGATCACGATCATTGCCAGAGTCTCTCCGCCGGTCCCGGTCATCATCCCGGTCCCTCCGTCTGTCCCGATCACGACGAGACCGGTCTTCTCTACCGCCATCATCATCATACCGTGATCGTCGGGAAGAAGAGTGGCGCGAACTAGACAAGCTGCGATCCCGGCGGGAAGAGCCATTCCTCCTACCATGCCGCTCCTCCTCCTCATCATCATAGTCGCGCCGACGATACCCGCGATCCCTGTCTTTGTCGCGGCCGCTCTTCTCCAAATTGCGATCACGGCGATCACGCCAGTCATCCTCCGTGGTGGGTTTCGACTTCGCCTCTTTCTGCATGGCGGCCAGTTCTTCCTCGGTGATATGCTCGCCGGTCTTGCGGTTGCGCATCATAACCGGCATATAGACACCTTCCGTGTTCCCACCATTTGCATCTGCTTCGCCCTGCTTTCTCGACGCCTTCCGCATCGCCGACTTCCCCCACGCGCCGAGTTCAGCCTCAGCGCCTTTCCCGCCCGATGTATCCTTGGCTCCAATTCCCAAAAACCCAGGCCGCCGCTCTGGAACGCGCAGCTTGTTCGCTCGATCTCGGTCCGCAGTCGCAGATGTGCCGTACTGGCCTCGTCCAATGGCCTGGCCGTCTTTCCAGCCCATTCCTCGCAGGAGCGCGGCTCCAAATTCCTCCACGGGAATGGAATCGTAGGCATCCAGCGTCGCGGAATCAGGTCGCGATGCAACATCTGTGCGGAAAGAGCTCGCCTCGTCGTAACGTCCATGCTCTTCTTCATCTTCTTGCGCTTTCCGCTGGGACTCGATCACGAGATCCGTTCTTCGCTCCGGTGCCTCACCTTTGCTCTCGCTGATCAAGGCTCGTAGTGCTTTCTGATCATCCGTGAGCGGCTTGCTCTCCTCAATGGGAGGAGGCAAAATAGGCTTCGCATCTGGCATGGCTTGGTCTTCGACCGCTGGATCACCACCACCACCCTCTGCGGATTTCTGTGCTGCAAAGCTCAGTCCGAATGCCATACTCGGCCCCTCTGTCTCGACTGCACTGCCTCCGGGGGCTTGGCCATTTCTCTCCGCTTCCTGCATAGCCTGGACCTCGCGCGGCAGGAGGTTCTTCTTGCTTTTCTTCGTGTTGACTCCGGGCCGGTCGCGCCAGTTATTCCTGCTGGTAACAGGGATGACCAACGGCTCGTTGTCTTTTTTGACTGCCTTTCCGTCGGCTGTTAGGACGCCGCCGGTGTGCGTGTCGAAGCCGGAGATTTCTTCGTGGACAGGCGCGCTGTCGTCTTCGTCGGAGGAGTCGCCGCCATGGCCGAGCTGGTGCGGCCGTCGAGGGAGGGAACGGCTTCCTGGTGCGGGTGAGTCGGTGGGGCGGTTGCGTTTGGAGGATTGTAGGTTGAACGAGGTCTTTTTGGAGGATGCGCCGTTGGAACTCGACAGGGAGGCTGAGAACGGTTTGCCGTTGCCGTCGCGGGAATGCGTCGATGAAGACATGGCGACGGTAGGCGTGGATGGGGAAGGGACTCGAAGAGCGGTTGGGGGGGATGCTCTGTGTAGTCGAAAAGTTGGAGAGCTCGAGAATCTCTTGAGGCAAAGGCGGTGGCAAGGGCGGGAGTTGGGCTTATCAGTGACTAGCCCTAACTGGGCAACTATTTTGCAGCGACTGTATAAAAACACGGGGGGGGTGATGGATGGGAATGAAGATGAAAATGTTTAATTTTTATGTACTAGACTAAGAATGACGTGTATGAGCAACCAGATTGGAAATGGAGGCGGAGGAAAGATTCGCGGTACTCGAAGATATATATCTCGAACCACCAGTCACAAATCCGCAAAACAGTTCCCTCCTCTTGGTATGGAGAGGAAAGGCCGTTGCAGGAATTATCACCGCGGTATATATGAAGATTCCAAGCTCGAAAATGATCATAGGACTCCAAGTTGAGAGAGATTACTTCCGAAACTCCTAACCTAGCTGACTTCACATGAATGTAGATGCCAACAAATACAAGCATGAATTCGTCACTGGATCTAATGGTACATGCATCTGCTCTGAAAGCAGATAGATTAGAGCCTCCTTGTTCCGCACACCGTCATTTCCCCCCCGGAGTATATATAACACAGCAACACCCTTCCCCTTCTTCAAACACCCTCTTCTCATTTAGCACCAGCCCGGCCTTTGCCCTTCTTCCCAGGAACCTTGCGACGTTCCCAAACCATCAAGTAGCCCTCGCGAGTGAACAGAGTCTCACTCTCCGCGCGCTTAACAAACAGGTCCTGAATCTCGAGCCACTCAGCTCCACGCTGCTGCTGCTCCGCACCGCCGCGTGCTGTTTCCGCACCCATGGCCTTATCATGGAGCTGGACGAGCCACGACACCTTCTCGCTGCCGGCACCGGCACCCGAAGAGGGCGCGCCGGCGGAGCCGGAGGCTGCGTTGACGCCCTTGCCGGCTGCATCGTCGGTGGCACCCGGTGCTGCGACAGCGGGGTCGAGGATGATGTTTGCGACGAGGTCGTACATGATGGGTTCACCGGGTGGCCAGATGGATGGGTTTGGTTCAACGTATGGTGACATGTCGAGGGAGCGAGGCGAAGGGAAAGTGACGATGGTGGGGTTGCGTTCGGACACAAAGCGGTTCTTGCTGAAGCGCTTGATGTGGAAGAGGAGATATGGTGGGAGCGGGTGGAGAAGACGGTGTCGCACGCGGTGGGCGAGCTTTTCGGATGCGGTGAGGCCATTGTATTTGTTGAGGAGCGAGGTCAAGGGGACCTGTGGAATGATGGATTCCCGGTTTGTTGACTGGAAGAGCGGTGTTGGGGGCAGGTCCAGCGTCAGGATGAGGAACGGGGTGGTCTGGCTGTTGATTGCGCCGGATTCCGTGAACACCAGGCGGGCGTTTTGCGTGTCGGAGTGGGCAGTAATCGCTTGACTTTCAATCCGGAGTTGACCCTGAAAGGCTGCCTGGATCACACTTGTGGGTGTTGAAGAGGGCTTTTTAGAACCGCCCAGGGTAAGATGCAAGTTGTTTAGGAACCAGGACATGAATTCCACCGGGTCGGATTGTTGGGTGAGGTTGAATCGTTTTGAAGATCGCAACGCAACCTCCTGCAGCAACTCATGCGGAGACACGTGGGACCGGAATGCCTTGGGATTCCACAGCTTGCGAACCAGGGTGCTAAATCGAATTGGCAATTGGGGAGTGCCAGGCGTCGAGAATTCGTTCAGTAGGAAGTAGTTCCGGATGGGCGGGACGTGTGCCAGAAGCTGGACGACAACGTTCAAATAGTCGTTGGCTTTGATGTTGTTCATGCCGACAAACCCAGGTCGGTAACGGGCTCCAGACAGATCCCAGGCATCGTGAACCTCTTTGTCGAGCTTCACGACCTCATCCTTAGAGAAGTGCGGGTCCACCACATATTTGATATCATCCAAACTCTTGTTCTTGACCTCATAGCCCTCCGGAAGGACATAGACCTTCTTCGTGCCCATATTGATGAAGACATGATGCCCGACTTCGAGCGCGTGGAAGTAGGCATGCGATTTGGGCCCGCGACCTTGGAAGTATTTGCCACATACGAGACATGCGTAGACGTTGATATTAGACAGACTAACCGAGCACAGCTTCTCGAAATCGAAATCGAGCACTCCGCGGTTGATGGTGTCGAGGTAGAGGTCGCCGTAGCCTTCCATGGGTGCGCTTTGCCGCTTCGGAGCGCTGACTGCAGGGGCATCATCGTCAATATCCGACGCGTCATCGGCCTCGCCTTCCTTCAGTTCCTCGTCTTCGTTGTCTACTGCGGCAAGATTGTTTGAGCCGTTGCGATCGTCCTGCTCCAATTCCTGGCCCGCTGCTCGATGCGCGGGCCCTGCGCCATTGCGAGCGTCGTCGACGTCGTCCTCAACGCGCGCCTTCTTTGAGGCCGGGGATCCGGAGAAATCCTGCTCAAGAGGCAGCTCAGCTTGTCTCTTCGACATTGCGAGGTGTGAAGGAAGAAACGGAGGCTGTCCAACTGCGGCCGAGCTTGACGGGAGAGGATGCAAACAGGACAAACAGAGCAAACCTGCCGAACCAACCAGCAGACAAGGACGTTGATATTATTGTTTCATGTTCTATGCCAGAATACATATATATTTACGTATCTACAACTCTACGCATAGTCCTTGCGTCATACCATTGAAAGATTATCCCGTAATCCAAAGAAATAAAACCATCGGCTATGATACACCAAGTTACGCCGGACGAACAATCTTGTCGTTATCAAAGTCTTTCACCTGCACGCCGTCCTTGGTCACGACCTTGACCAACACCTGTAGGACATCAGGTTAGTCGCGGATCCAACAAATAGTGGAGGGGAGGAGCAACGTACTCCCTTGAAGTCAATCGGTAGTCTGCGCTTGAGTTCGTCTGTGCACATGTCTAGAAGCTTGAGGCCTTCATCGAGCGAAATGTCAGGGTGGTGGTGTTTGTCAAGGAGAGAGAGGCAGTAGTATCTGGGATCGCGTGTCAGTATGGGGAGAGTCTCCACTGGCAACTCGATCCGCGAGAGGTAGGTTCAAACGTACTGGGCATAGCCGTGTGCAGCATAGGGCACCTCAGCCAACGACGCCAGGTAGTCCAGCCAGTACAGGTGTGGTTTCTCGGAGATTGGGTCCAGTCCGCCGAGCAGCAGATTGACAGTATAGGGACTCCGCGACCTCAGGCTGCGGGCCAGCTCGCCCCGGACAAAGTTGGCGACGGCAGCGGGGCTCAGTTCGGTGTCATTACGCATCGAGTACAGTTGGATGTTGGCCTGGATAAACTCGGCGAATTGCACTGATCATGGTCATGTTTCGTCAGCAACCCTGGCTAGCTGGTACGTCACGGAAGGGCTACTGACCGGTGTCTCCAGCTTCTCCCGAGAAAGCCATGAGTGTGCTTTTGTTCAGTTGTTTTGTCTTGTCATCTTCGGCCTTGAGAATGGTCGGGCCACGCATTGCGGCCTTGGAAGCGGCAAGAATGACGAAGTCCTTGCCGGTGATGCCCAGAAGAACCTCCCTAGCAACAGAGCTGGTGATTAGCAATCGATGCCCAAATGGAGCTGAGATCAGGCAGCTTACATATTTGCGATGAACACAGCCCAGACAGAAGCAGCAGTGTGAGAAGGAGAAAGGGCGGGATGGAAGATGTGGAGGCAGGTGATGGGCCCTGACGCGGCGAGCTTGACGCCTGGAGCTCACCGTGCTGACTCAGCCGCCGCCGGGCAGAAAAAAAAGTTGCACTTCCCGCAATTCACAGCGTTTGGCACTTCCCACTGCGATCATTCCGAACGGGCAAGTCAATCCGTGCGGTCGCCATGTCTTCCTTCTTTACAGTTCCCGCTTCTCAGCGCAAGCGGAAGAGAGAAGACCGCGCCGCAGCCCCAGCATCGAAGAAACGAGGTGTAGATGCTCCAACTGATGGCGCAGATCGACGAGCCCGAGAAAGAGATGAATCGATCTCGGGAAGTGACCTGGATGAAGAGGAGGACGATTTGGGTTTGGGGGAGTCGGACGAGGAGAGTGCTTCAGACTCTGACGACGGCGAAACGGCAGCAGACCGCAGATTGAAACTGGCAGAACGATACCTCGACAACGTTCGAGAAGAGGTGGATGAAGTTGGGTTTGATGCAGCAGAGATCGATCGGGACCTGATCGCAGAGCGACTAAAGCAGGATGTGGTATGTGGTTGCTCTTTTTCAAGGAAAAAAAAATCGACCTTCTAACTGACGGCGATTGATCAGGACGAATTCAAAGGACGCACGTTCCGGCAAATCGCTTCTCAACTTTCATTTTCCGCGGCACCTCATTCATTTTTTCGCTCAGATACCCAGTCGACCACCTCTATTGCAGTCTACCCGCCATATGCCTACACAGTATCGAAGGACAAGACTTTGATCAAGTGGGAATTGGCGACCCCTAAAGCGCCAGAGGCCGCTGAGGCGAACGGCCAAAGTGAAAAATCAAAACGGCCTCCACGTCCTCAGCGCAAGAAGCCTAAGAGAGTGCGGTACGCTCGGGGTATGCGCAAAGTTTCAGAGACGGGCGAAGAGCAGGGACACACAGGAAGTATCTTGGCTGTGGCAATCTCGCCGTCTGGGAAATTCGTGGCTACGGGTGGAGCAGACAAGAAATTGATCATTTGGGACGCGGAAACGTTGACACCTACCAAAACCTTCACACACCATCGCGACTCCGTCAGCGGTCTAGCGTTCGTCCGGCATCTTTCCACCATGACTTCCGGAGAGCAGCTGTTTTCCGGGTCCTTTGACCGAACTATCAAAACCTGGTCCATTAGCGGTGCCGGCCATGCCTACGTCGAAACGTTGTTTGGTCACCAAGACTGCATCCCCGGTATTGCAGCCATGGCCATCGACCAATGCGTCAGCGCCGGAGCTCGTGACCGCACTGCTCGACTGTGGAAGGTCGTGGACGAGACACAACTCGTGTTCCGTGGCGGCTCCTCGAAGCACGCCCCGTACCCCGACAACAACATCGACTGTGTTGCACCTCTCCCACCCTCCCACTTCGTCACTGGTTCCGACTCCGGCTCGATTTCGCTATGGTCGATCCACAAAAAGAAACCACTTCATACCATCCCCCTCGCGCACGGCCTGGACCCAATCCCGCCGTTGGATCAATGGTCTCCAGAGGTTGATGAAAAGGTCGCCGCCCACAATGCACGACATCTGCGTCCCTCGCCTCGGTGGATCACCGCGCTGGCCACACTTCCAGGGACGGATATTGTGCTCAGCGGCAGTTGGGATGGTTGGATCCGTGCATGGCGTATCTCCGATGACAAGAAGACGATCATTCCACTGGGTCCTCTAGGCTCAGGATCTGGCGGCCAACTGACTCCCGATACACCCTCGCGGCAGCTGAACCAGTCCCTCACACTTGATAGTACGTCGCCAGAGCTAGACAGCATGGCCGTCGACCAAGAAACCCAAAAAGAAGAACCCGAGCCTTTGGTCAAGGGCGTGATCAATGACATCGCCGTGTTCGAGCGTCGTCCCGAGACCCTGCCCGGCCAGTCCAAGCCGATTTCAGACACCGAACCCAGTGGTCTCTGTGTCGTTGCTGCCGTGGGGAAAGAGCACCGACTGGGCCGCTGGAAGTGCTACTCCAACAACTACCATGAGGGCAGTGCGCCGGACGGCCGCAACGGGGCTATCGTGTTTGAGGTCCCATTTGCCCCCAAAGCTGCTGCTGAGGCTGCTACCGAATGAACTGCATGAACCTCGGGGGAAAGATAAAAAAACTAGAGCGTTGCTGGAATCGGAGGGTGTGTCTGGCGTCTGTCTCTACTTGTGCATGTACTTCTACCATCCCCGGCATATACTTACGGTGTTTCTATTTCGATTGTACAACTTTAGTTTGCATACAACTCATTTGCCTCTTGCAATGTGCATATGTGCATACCGGATAATGGTGGACACGTCTTGGTTTGCTCTTTGCGTTTCAGTGCTCATCCCTGAGCAGTGGCCCCCAATTCAAAAGGATTCAAAAGGACGTGTATATTCAAGTAGCCACTAGCCCCCAAAATCCATTTGTGGGCATGTTGCTGGTTTCATGCACACATAATAATTAAAAAGGGGCCGGGCGGAAAATTAGTTATAAGTAATGGTGTATTCGTTCGAATTATAGGGTAAAATACTGTTGAGTTTTTGGAAGACCTCTTCGTCACCTTTCCCTATGAAGATTTTTGGTACTATTTGCATTTTATTATGGAGGCTTCAAGTTCCGTGTGTTTCGGCGCAAGTCATGACTTACTTTGGTAACCTCTTTACGAGTATCCCTCGAGGGAAAGATGGAAGCTGTTATGGCAAGGGAATCAATACCGACATGAGGGATACCGAAATGCTCCTAAAAGAAGGCATCGCGGTTCTTGATGAATTGATTCAAGGGCCAGTCCCTAAAAACCACCACTCAGTCCGTTATCTGAACATGGCGTCCGCAATGTTTGGTATCCAATATGATCTACGAAAGGATGGGCGGCTAGAGGTCGTTGAAGGACAGGCTCGATTGACTCAGGCTAAAGGTGAGACTGCCACCCCCTACTATGCCCCTCGACTCAAAGGAGAACTTCATTAGGTGCACCATAGTTGGTACATAGCTGCTAATTCTCTTTATATCTTTAGGGTACATGGAAAATGCGAAGAACCTATTACTTGATCCTCGGACAGAGAGTGCAAGGTGGAAACTTGAGTGTGGCGACAAAGACTTGATATGGGCATCGACTCTAGGAGATATGGGAGTCAAGAAGAGCCAAAAAAACCCAGACCCTGAAGAATCTCTTCCTAAAGCTGTAGCAGAGCGTTCTGGAGACGAGGAGATCGCGAAATATCAAGGACTTTTCTACTCCGCATATTGGCAGCCCTTCTCCCTCCGGTCCTCTACAAAATGGAAAACAACGCTTTATTTACTCCCGGCGACACCCGAATCTACAAAGTCAGGTTTCTGTGGCACCGATGAGGCGGCCGTCACATTTTCATCTGCTAAGAAGATGGGCGCGAAAGATTATTTGGTTTTGTGCGACTCATACTTCGAAGAGAAGAGTCTTGCCTGGGCTCACCGCCACGTGAAAGACGCCGAGTCCCTGGATTATTTTGCTGTGAAAGCAGGAACCCTAGTACATGAACTCATGCATATGGCGAACCCAGATGGTTGGTGGAACGGAAGGCAAGATAAGACGGGTCTTTGCTAACATATTTGATAGTTGTTATCGATGAGGACGTTAGAACAGCAACGGGGAGACTAGTGCCTGCGCAACGATGGAAAAGATGCAAGGAATTGGCGGAATCAGTCGACGACCAGAAAACTGTCACAAATGCGGAAACCTATAGACTTTTCACCCTAGGGGTCATGCTAGTGGAAGGTGACTGGTGGCCGGAAGGTTATAAAGAGAATGTTTACGGCTGTGAATAGATATTTCTCTCTTCAGACTTTTGCGTACTCTGCAGTTCTTGATCATCGATTTATTCGGAATTATAGAATTCTGGCTTAATCTACTACATACAATCTAGCCTAGCAATAACAAATTCCCCTCTCTAATTTAGCTATGACGATCTTCTACGCCATGGTATGTGTAAAAGAAATACTTGTCAGGGTAGACACTTATTGGTCAGATGATGCCTGAGAGGATAGCGATACGGTGGTGAAAAGGCACCGAGATGGGAGCGATTCAGTGGGAAACAAAGACATTCTGATTCTTACTAGAATTAGGATCCAACCACAGTTTGTTCGTACTTTAAAACCAAATTGGAGTGAATACACATAGCAACCAGTGATGACATATGATATCAATCCTGAATAGCTTCAAACAGGTCCAATCTATTACAGAGAAAGATAGGCGATCGCGCAGGTGATATACTCATATCTGTTGGCTGCCTTCTGGACCGCGGTTAGTCTTGCCGACCCCTAGGAACTAGATGCCCAGGAACTAAGCGAGAACCAAGTTGATTATTTATATTGGGAATTTCGGCAGTTAAGAGCTATCTTCGGCACAAAGAGTCCAAACAAGTGCGGAATATGGCGGATTCGGAAGCAAAATTCTAGTGTTATTATTGGCCTGATTGCCGACTGAGTTTGCTAGGAGCACAACTTAGCCGAAGTAATCGGGGCAAAGTGCTTGGACTCTTATCATAGCCCATTGTCGGGTATCAAAGGGCAATGTGCTGTGGGCTAGCGGTAGAGTCAGTAGTGGAAGACAGCCAATCTTCTATTATGCGGCGCTACGCGACGAGGAATAAGCCGACGTTCGCGCGTTCTAAGTAGTAAATATTTGCCGATTGATTTGCCGCTCTCGGCGCCCCAGACTTATCTCCTACTTCTCCGCACAAGCCCCGGATTCCCCAGATAACAAACCAGAATGGGTCTATGTTCCACTTAGGACCATGGCGGAACGCCCCCACTGGCATAGCCTATATAAGAGCTGCCTGACAATGCCCTGATCCAGTGGAATATACGGGTGGGTGTAAAGCTCCCCCGATCTACTATCACCTCGCCCTTCAAGTGTCAATCAGACGGACTTCATAATAGAGAAACACGAACACAGCATGCAAGACGAAAAGGATCTGGACAATGAAGGGAAGGCCGCTGTCGGCGACTTCGACCTGGGGGCGATTGTCAATCTCGAGTCAACACCGGAGGAGGAGCGCAAGGTTCTCTGGAAGCTCGACCTGTTGTAAGTCTTGCTTGAACCAACATGTTGAAGCCGTGCCGGTATTGACTCTGCGCAGCTTGATCCCACTGATGGGAGGCGCCTACTTTCTTCAATTTCTCGACAAATTCATCCTCGGCCAGGCGGCGATATTTGGGCTACCTGAAGATCTGGTTTGTGGTCCCGGCCTTATAATGGATTACGAGAGCTGATCAACCCAGAATCTGAAAGGACCAGAGTTTGGATGGACATCGGCTGTCTTTTACTTTGGGTATTTTGCCTGGAGTTGGCCAAGTTCGTATATTATCGTGAGAGTGCCGATCGGCAAGTATCTGGGCCTATGCGTCTTGATCTGGGGTGGCATCCTCATGTGTCACGCCGCCTGCAAGAATTTCTCCGGCCTGATGGCCGCTCGTTTCTTCCTGGGCGTCGGAGAAGCAGCTATTGCACCGGGGTTCTCTCTGATCACTGGTATGTACTGGAAACGCGGCGAACAGCCACTCCGGTGAGTGCCCCGAGACGAGGCTACTTGGCTATATTCTCACCAGATGTCATGCCAGTCAATCCGCTTGGTTCTTTGGAAACTGTCTAGCAGCCTTTTTCGGTGGCTTGGTTTCCTATGGCATCGGCCATATAGACTCCAGCATTACCAGCTGGAAACTTATATTCATCATTCTCGGCGCCATTACCTCTGCCTACGGCATTGTCCTGCTCTTTCTGCTCCCGGACTCTCCTGCGAAAGCTCAATTCCTGCGAGAAAAGGAGCGCGCAATCGCCGTGCGACGAACACTGGAAAACAAGACAGGTGTGATGGACTTTGGCTCCTTCAAATGGAGCCAAGCTCGACAGGCCGTTCTTGACCCTCAGACGTGGTTCCTGTTCCTTAGTACCTTTACCTGCAACTTGGCCAATGGTGGCCTCACCACGGTTCGTCCTGGCCCTTCTAAGTCACCTTTTGATCGCATGTGCTTACGTCTTTAAGTTTGCGCCAATCATCACGGCGGGCTTTGGCTTCTCTACTTTTGAAGCCCTTCTGCTACAGACACCAATTGGCGGCGTCGAGATTGTCTTCCTACTAATCGTAGCCCCCATCGCCACGTTCGTCCGGTCTACCCGGGTCCTCTGCATGATATTTACTACGCTTGTCTCTATGGTCGGCATGCTCCTCGTCTGGAAGCTAGACCCCAACGAGGTCGTGGGTCGAGTGCTGGGCTTGTCCCTTAGTGTCGCTTACGTGGCCAACATTCCACTCTCGCTGAGCATCATCACGTCCAATGTGGCCGGGTTTACTAAGAAGAGTGTGACTAGCGCTATGCTCTTTGTTGGGTACTGCATTGGGAATATTGTGGGACCGCAGTTCTTCCATGCCTCCGAGGCTCCATCGTATCCGGTTGGTATTACCTTACTTTGCGATTAATGAAGTTACTGACAGTGTTTCCAAACAGACTGGACTCAAAGCGTGCATAGCTGGCTATGCTCTGACTTCTGTCTTTTATATCTGCCTGTACGCTTACTACGTCTGGGAGAACCGGCGGCGTGATCGGCTATACGGACCTCCGGAGGAGATGACTGTGACGCAAGAGTTGGAGGATGAGTTGTCAAACAAGACGGATACGGAGATTGAGAGTTTCCGCTATGTCCTTTAAGCGGGTATTAGCAGCGGTTACTACAACTTAAATAGCCTACCGCGCAGAATTAGACTCGGCAAAATCTAGGCCATTAGGCGGTTTTGGACTGTCCAGAGAGTCCAATGCGCAGATAGGACACCTATCGCTCTGCTATCGACGAGTTATACAATAGGCGTACATCCAACAGGCACCTATACATTTATTATACACTCGAAAACTGTTGTTGAAGAGTAATTTTAATCGTACAATACCGCAAATGTGCCATACGGTTTGAATAAAGATCGCCCCGAAATAGTGCTTGTTTTCCAGCCTCTTCTTTCAAGCTGACAGACCATGAATATGGCACGAGATTTATAGCAAGATAGACAGTCAAACTTTTGCATTGAACTTGACACAGATGCCTTTATGTCTACGGGAATATTGATACTCTGGGTCTATTCTTGATATACTAATTATCGGACTTGGCAATTAGGGTTAGAAAAACAGTAAAAGAGTGTACGTGGTGACGCCGATTTCCCGAAGCACTGTACACAAGAAACGAGACAGGAATCGAAAAAACCACATATTGGAGAATGAAAAAGTTGATAACTATATTTCCAAGCAAACATAGGTATGGGATGCATTCTTTCTTCTACCAAGGGGTGAGTGATATTACTGTATACTACCGAGACTGCGACAATCTTCGAAAGCCCTTCTACAATAACAGACTGCCAGCGGACCGTATGCTTCGCACTACCACCCAGATCCTGCCCACAGGCACCACAGGCCTCCACAAACATTTGATGCTGTGTTATAGCTCAAAAATCGGCCGCAATGATGTCCGCGGCCTTTTCTGCAACAGCAAACACAGTGGTCTGAATATTTCCACGGGGAATCAGAGGCAAGATACTAGCATCGACCACTCGCAGATTCTGTGTGCCATACACCTTGAGATGGGAATCAACAACACCGCCCTTCTCACGCGGCATCATCGCAGCGGTACCAGATACGTGGTAGTGGGCGACAATCCGGTCACGAGCCAATTCTCGAGCTGTTTCAAGAGTGATATCCCGCGAGGAGTTCTGTAAGCGCCGGCCATCTGCTTTGAGAAGAGAGGCCATTGGCTCAGTCCACGCAAGAGTTTCCAGCCAGCGAACGTGACGCGCGTGAAGCTCCAGGTCCAGCGGATGAGAGAAGAAGCGCGGATCAAAGGTCGGATTTGCCTTGGTATCGGACGAGGTGAGATGAACATTGCCGCGCGAGAAAGGCCGGTTCAAAACTGAAACGATGCTTATGAAATTCTCCGGCTCCAGCATTCCAAAGATTCCCTTGGGGCTCGGTCCTTTATCGGGCAAGATCTGGAATGGTGCCAAGGTGTATTGACCTGTTGGTTCATCATCGTCTTCGAGCATCCGACGAAGCACTTCGTACTGTGCCGTTAGGCTCGGCGAAAGGTCTTTCTCCTGCAAATACTGATCAATGAGGGATTTCACGTCGCCATTTTTGAGGTCCCCGAGGCTTGTATACGAGGACGGCAGAGGACAGAGGCCAAGCGGACCTGCCCCTGATCCTTGCCAAGCTTCCATGGCGGCGGCTGCGACCTCGGGAATTCGCAGTGCCTCGCCGGTAGGCTGCCCATCAGCGGCCTCCCAGCTGAACGGGACAAAGCCGTGTTCTTGGAGGTTCTCTCCAACGTTCTCATTATCCACAATAGGCTCAATTCCGTGGGACCGGAGAAGGGAACTGTTGCCAATACCGGACAGCTCCAGCAGGTGCGGTGTCTTAATTGCACCTGCGGCTAGAATAACCTCACGCTTGGCCGCTACCGTTTGCTGGATGCCATCTTTGCCAACGAACCGAACCCCAGTAGCCACAACTTCCTCATCACTGGTGTTTTCAAGAACAACAGTCTCCACAAAGGCTTCCGTGATAACACGGAGGTTTGGTCGCTTGGCCACCTCTTCGTTGTAGTATGTCACACCAGCATGGCTGCGTGTCCTGGCAGTGGGGTGAATACTCCCCGGGCCACAAAAGGCTCCTTTCGCGACACCGGACATGGGATCACCGGTGATCTCTAAGTTGAGGTTCTCGAACACCTTTGGCCAAGCTCCCACAAAAGCCGGAAATGGACCATCGCCAAATGAGACCTGAAGTGGGCCGGAGCTGCCCTGCACAACCTGGTCGATATACTGCAGAGACAGTTCCTCCTTGATCTGGGTAGAAGGCGGATGAAATGTTTGGGACTTTTTCAGATACGGCGAAAGCGAGTCCCAGTTCCAGCCCTCATTCCCCAGCTGTTCCCAAGAGTTGAAATCGGCTCGGCTGGGGTAGATCACCATTCCTAGATTGATGGCAGAAGAACCACCAAGTGTCCGCCCGCGAGGCTCAGCGAGGCATCGTCCATTCAAGGTTTTCTATATACACGCGGTCGTCAGTTGACTTAAAATACCTCATAAAAAATACGACTCGGTATGGAGGCTCGAAAAGCAAGGTTTATGTACCTGGGGTGGACTGGTGATGCACCAATCGAACTCAGGGTCAAAGTAGGTACTTGCGGCGAGACCAGGAGCTGCGATCCGTGGATCATTTACACGATTGCCTCCAGCCTCGAGAACAAGCACGCTGGTGGCGGGATTCTCGGTCAAGCGATTAGCGACCACCAGGCCAGATGTGCCGCCCCCGACGACAATGTAGTCGTACTGCTCACGCAGGTCTGCAAGCGACGAGGTGTCAATGGATGCCATGGCATGGGTTGAATAATGTAAGCAATGGATTGAACAGGGACTAGTTGAGAATGCTCCCAGCGCCTCGCGAATAAAGGATTTAACATGGTTTTGGTCGGAAGATCGTCGCATCCGAAAAGCATCCGAAAGCAAGTCAAGCCCGGCATGCTTCTGTATCCACCTGACAGGACTCTAACAGAGCTAGGCTGTATAGAGAAGGAGAGACAGGGGTGTCTTTTTGAAGGTTAACGACTCATGCAACTTTATTGGCCCCTGATAGCAGCGGGAGGGGCGCCGTTGCAGCCGTCCGAATTAGCGCCTATTTCATTTCTGGCAGCCTCGTCGCTTGTTCCTGGATAGTCCTGGATAGGAGACGATACGAAGATCAGTGGAGCCTGAACTGGTCTCGTCCTAACAAAACAGCTTGTTTGAACGCGCTCATGATCATGCGAGGGGGGCCAAATGGTGTCTCGGGCAGCCATCGGGTAGCCGACCAGTGTGGGACTTCCACTCTTAGGGTTGCGGGAGAACCTGTCATTCAAAGTCTGGTCGCCATGTGTCAAGGAAAGCAGGCCAAAAAATTTCAGACGGGGGGCCGCTAACGGTGGCATGGTACCGGTAGATGTCCAAATCGAAGGCTTCCGAAAAAAGTGGTACGCTGGCACTACGCTTCATGGCAAAAATACCTTTTCTGGCCATGTGGGGCTCACTGTAGAAGTCAATGTTAGGTTGATTTTGTCATAATAAACGAGCAGTCCCCTGAAATACTAAATATTAGCTATACGATTGCTTATTCGCGTCACAAACCAGTGGTCCTAGGTGTGGCTGCACTTCGTCATGGCCATCACATATGCATTGGATACTCCGTTGACTCGGAACCCAGTCATTGCGGTGACGGTTCTGGGCGGCGTTGCTACGATCACCACAATCCTGCGGTTTTATGCATTGCACTTGAGACGGGTGAAGCCCGGAGCCCCCGAGTATCTCATCCTCGTGGCATTGGTAAGTCACGCCTTGATCCTAGTCGAACCACGAAAATTGACAGTTGCTCGCAGGCAATTGTTTATGTTGACATTGCAATTGAATATATTCGTGGGTTCTCTTCTTTTGTCGATGTGTCATGGTTTCAACCTGGTTAACTGAAAACCCAACAGTTACCATCCTTGGCGGCGCAGGTCGAAAGGTGACAGAAATTGATCCATCTTCAGTGATCATTACGTTGAAGGTATCTAATCACAGGAAGATCCAGACTCTGCGATCTTTCGGGCATGCTAACCCTCCGAACAGACAATCCTTCCTCTTGAAGCCCTGTATGGGATTGTTTTAGGGCTAATCAAGTCCTCGATTATGCTCTTCTACTTTCGTATATTTGGCAGCAAGCGAAGCTTTCGGATCAGCATCTTTGTCACGATGGCTATAGTTTGGATGTGGGCAGCCAGCGTGATTTTGGAGACCTTTCTTCTCTGTCGTCCGCTGGCATATAATTGGGACACCTCTATTGCTGGGACCTGCGGCAACCGCAACGCGACATACGTTGTTGCCGGCACGTTGAACCTTATTACCGACTTGATGGTCATGGTGCTCCCGCTTCCTCACATATTGAAACTCCAGCTCACGCTTGCAAAAAAAGTGGCTCTCTGCAGTGTGTTCAGCATAGGTTTGCTGTGAGTTCCTTGCGTTCCTCCATTTTCAACAGCTTCTGCGGTGGCAATGACCATTTCGCTCAAAGTAGCTGACATTCGTTTGAATCTTCAACAGGGTCTCAATTATCAGCATCATTCGTCTAAAATCCCTGATGGAGATCGACTTCACCGATATCACATATTCGGTTCAGATGGGAGTCATGTGGACAGTTATTGAGCCTGAGCTCGCCATCATTTGCTCTAATATGCCTCTCCTGAAGACGGTCTTGTCACGCATGGCTCCCGGCTTGTTCTCGGCTAGTCGCACCAAGTATGGTGTCTCTGATCCACAGACATTTGAACGTCTCCAGGATCAACAGTCGAGCAACATCTACCCGATGAACCAAATGGACCACGAGGCAGTCCGCACACATATTTCCAGCAAGAATATAAATGAATCGCAGAGAGATTTGTACGGAGAAGGGGATGGACCATTGGTCCCTTCCGACGGAAGTATCGAAGACCTTGGCCCAAATGGGAAACATGTTCACAATGGTTCTCCACCGGGCGGGATTAACGTGACCCAAAACTTTGTTGTACAATATCGTTCATGATGCTAGACTGTCGATGTATCCACTTTCTGTCTAGTCCGAACAAATGCTTTCAGTCAACTTGGAAGCATAACGAGGGTGAAATGAAACCTGAGTTGCTCAAGCGCCTGTGACACAAGCTGCAAACTTGTTGAACAAGATCTGCAACCGCTGGGCTTTTCAGTTCGCGACATCCCCATGGGTCTGGGCAATGCCGATAGGGTGATACGGGAAGGGACTAACTAAATATGAGCCTATATTCTTTTCCATGGCAATTTGATCAACTTACCCATATTCCGGCACAGATATGTTGCTTAAATCCGCACCATCGACTTCGACGCAGCGTTGGAGGACCTTCGTCCAGAGGTTGGTGGGCTGCGGATACTGCGAGGACTGTGTAGTTTTGATTCGCGCATGAATATGATAGAATTCCAACCAGATTATCGAGCAGGCACAATCTTACCAGAGAGCCATAAGCAATCATCGTATGGATTTAGAGAGAAGCGAGCAACCATATCAAGGCTCCCCCAATGCATATAAAGGTTCTCATCGGGCCAAGTCACTAGTAAGTCTTGAAATTGGAAAATGGTCATTACAGGGGAGACTCGAAAGAACCAGGCCCCTGATTCTAGAATACATAGCTTCAGAAGAACCGTAATCCCTAGCGCACCACCGCGCTCGCTATGCCCGTGAAATAAAGATGAGAGAGCAATGACAAAAGAGTCCGTGTTAAAAAGGGAAAGGAAGAGGGTATTCGCAGAGATTCAGTGTCAAGGAGGGTAAAACAAGACGGCAAGGGCAAAGTAAACGAGAATAACACCACATTGATCAATGACAATAAGCGTTAGGTCGGTTTCCCATTTCGAGATCGCGAGGCGCCAAAGCATTTTCTATCCATTCCATTCCATTCCGGAGCGCCATGCTGATGAACCACAGGGGGCAAAAAAAATTTTATGTGTTATGCCGACCACCGGCCGGGTGTTGAGAGTTGACGATGGCTTTTTCCTTTTAGTATGGAGAGTACCTGGGCCGGCGCCGCTGCGCCCTTCTCAGAGGGCCGACGGGCTGGTCATCCTCGTCGTCGGAATCGTCAATGGCAATCGCATTGCCGGCAGAGGTTCCAGTATCTCCGGACCGCTGCATGCGCCTTGGTGGAGGCGAGCTGGGAGTCTCCGAGTCGCTTTCATCATCATCATCATCATCCTCCGATGAACCCAGGGGTTCTTCCTCCAGACGAGAAACATCCGTTGTGCCGGCTTCCGACTGACCGGGTGATCTCGTTTCATAATAGATAGGATGGACAAGACTGCTGCTGGATACCGGTGTAAATGACCCTTCTGGCTGTCCCTGAGATCCGAGGTCGATTTCGCTCTCGTAATCGTCGTCCTCCGAATCATCCGTCAAAACCGCGTCAATTGTGTACTCTTGCAGAGGTCCAGGGTTCTGATTTGAAGCACGAGACTCACCCACCACCGTGGATGGGTCTGAGTCGTAGTCGATAGCCTGACTAGTAGTCTCATGCTCATCGTCATCGATGAAGGAGCCCATCTCATCTTCCTCGCCCTGCTCACTCGTCCAATCGTTGACGTCCCCGCCGGAAGCGAAAGAGTCGCTATAGAAGTATTCCAATGGAATACGGCCCGTATGGATCATACTTTGAATGTGATGAGGAAGCGTAGCCGGGTCGCCACGAATAAAATGAACGGGGCCCCCTCCTGGCGTAAAGAACGGAGGATGTGAAAACGAGTGATCGCCGAAGTCATCTTCGTCCTCAAACTCATCATCCAGTGAGTCTGGACCTTCGAGATCATCTATCGAGTCCTCATCGCTGTAGTCGTCGGAGTAGTCGGTCATTTGATCCGAGTCGGGTCGATAGTACCATCCGCAGCCGCCGCAGATCTCGTCATCTTCTAATTCCCAATTGCAGTGTGGACAGCGCATTACTCCATCTTCAATATCGACAACTGGTTTGAGGGCAGGGGCCTTTGGCTTAAACAACCCTCCAAACAAGCCGCCGCTGCTGGGGTTGGTATTTGCCTTGTCTTCGTCCAGCTTGTCGGCTTCATCTTTTTGGTTTTTCGAGTGTTCTGCTGTCGTCTCTCCTTTGTCCAAAAGCTCGGCCCGACCTGTAAACATCTGCACCATAGCTCGAACCTACACAGCAGTTAGATTTGGGAGTAGCGATCTTGTACTGCGCAGACTTACAAGATATGCCGGCGCGGGCTGTGTTTTGACGGGAGCCCGGCAGTCCGGGCATGTTCGCTTGGATCGTCCACCGGAAAACCATGATGAGAGGCACTGGGAATATCAGCGAGGGCCTTCACTTTGCGTCCGGAAGGCAAGATACGCACCGAATAGCAAAAAGTGTGTCCGCAGGCGAGGGTAAACGGCTCGTAGAGAGGCCGGATGCAAATCCCACACTGTATCAGGGCGCGAATATCATCCACATGCCCTTGTAGAGTGGTGGCGAGCTGGATCAAACGCGTCAGTTCGCGTACCTTGCCGCGCAAAGGAAGTGGTCTTACCCCCGGAGCCTCAAGCTCAGAGCCACTGCCCGCCATGATTACCGTTCAAAGTCTATCGAGACCTGCAGTCACTGACGGGGCCCGTTCAGCATCGACCGAGACGTTCTGCGACGGTGGGAATGAAGGCGCTAAGCAAGTGGGGGTTGGTCGTCGCGGGTGCGGTGAAAGGTCGGAAGGAGGAAAGTTCAGGAGTGGCGACGGAGAGCGCAGGTTGAGGGGAAGAGGGAAGCGGGGGATCCGGGTCAGGAAGCAGCAAGAGAGACAGAAAGAGACCGGGTGGCAGGACTCGCGGCGGATGTTGCAGATTCAAAAGGCCGAAGCCCGGCGCAGAACCAGTGCCGGTGATGTTTTGCTGAGTGCCTCAGGCACCACATGCTGTGTCACCCGCGCCTGACCAACGTTCAACCATCTTTATCTTTCTCTCATTCTTCTCTCGACAGATTGGCTTGGTGAGACTGTTCGGCCCATCAACCCGTTCTTTTAAGGAGCTATACCCGACAGTCTGACTTTGCTGCGCGCTATGAAATGCTATGAAACTGTTCTTTATCGAATCGTCCTGGCTAAACATAGAGTGCGTTCATCGCTGATGCATTGCACTAATTGTATCTCTACAATAGTATTAATGAACAGAATAAATGATAGAAGCACCCCAACAAACCCTCGACCCTCATAGACACCGTAGATGCAAGTCCAGACTGTAACTGGAAGTAACCAATTCCGATCTATACTAGTGGATCACCGCGCCAAGCCCGCGGATCCTCAACTCGGACCAACCTCGACTTTCTGCTCTTTTCCATCTCCACCCCGGGTGCCTTCCCTTCCCAGCCAGCCCCAGCAGCTCGGCAGTTTTCTTTTTGTTTGATCATCATCCTTGGCCCATTCCGATTTCCCGGGCTAACGCATCGTCCCGTCCTCCCGGGCACGTCGCAGCCATGGCGGCCGAATCTGCCCCGGACAACCAACACGGCAAGGCGTGGGAGAAGGCGGAGAAGAAATTCGCCCAGTAAGATGGTTCCCACTCCTGCTTACTTGTTATCTTTCTTTTTCATCTCTTTCTGTGTTTGCGCGTGCTCTGTTATTGCTTTGGGACCGCTGGCGCCGTTAGCCTTGACCCTGTTGTCGTTTTCTGTGGCTGCGATGAGCACAGGCTATATCGAGCTGCTTGTGTTTACTCGGCTTAGACAGCGATGGAAAGACTAATATGCTTACTTTCTTGTCTCTTTCTTTTTTTCTTCTTTTTGAGTGTTGCTGATGATAGACCAGCAAAACGGCCAGCGAATATTTCGACCCATGTCAAGACTTCGCCGATCGAAGTCTCAAGTGTATGAAGCGCAATGGCTTCGATCGAGAAATGTGCCATGACTACTTCCAGTATGTCACCTATCCTGATTGATCTCGTGCTTTTGGGCTTGCATGCTGTGGCTCATTACTGGCCTTCGTGCCTCTGCGTAGGGTTTGTCTATCCATTTGCTGACCAGAGCTGTTCCCAGGGCATATCGTGATTGTAAGAAAAATTGGGTAAGTCACAATTACTTCATCTTTCTCTCACAGAACTTGTGCATCCTTGATATTTTTGGGCGTGCTGCTGACATGCATGATCCTAGTTGACGCAGAAGAAGACTGCTCCCCGAACCCAGTAAAGGGCCTTGTGATATCATGGCTCAAATCGTCTCGAGAAGTTGAGATGAAATATTCATCTGTGCGCCATGGATAGCGATGTACATTGCCCCAAAGACGGTCAATATCAGCTACAATAATGATCTGCCAATGCCTTTCATTCAACACTTCCAATTTGTGGCTTATTCCCGGATAAGCATACGGACTGTTGGGCACCGAACTGAGGCTGTCAGGCAAGATATGCCGTTTGTGTCACTCGAACATACTGCCATGATATGAGGCTTCCCTATTTTGTTTCCTGTGGCGTGTGTCGTTTTCATTGGCTTGTTCGAAATATCCCGGCGGCACTGTGCTGAAACATGTATACTACGTCTCTGATTTCCTTCGTATGTTACCCTCCTTCTTAGAATCTGTGAATCCAGCCTGTGATAGGAACATCAGCTTCAGATAAATTAATATGATGTTGCACTCTTTCATCCCACACTAGAACGACAAACTGCCGCAGGATATCACCGCTCACTCCACCGCCTTCCGCTTCCCTCCGAATCCCCGCCAAATAAAAAGAGCTCCGAGGACAATCCCCCACCAAATACTTCCTCTCTGTGTGTGCTGTGTGTAGCCCAGTAGACGGTTTCATCCCCAGGTTGATCCCAGGTCTAGTGGGGTGATCAGCAAACGAAGCTCTGGTCAAGCACATCCGCCATGGCGCCGGCCAATGATGCGGTGTTTTACCGCCGCAACAACCAGATCCAGGATGCCATTGACGGCCAGAATCTGAAGCAGGCGCTGCAGCTGATTGAGAAACGCATGAAGAAGGGCGAGGATACGCGATTCCTCAAGGTGAGTTCTCCCCAATTGCAATCTAGGCGCGCGTGAACTGAATCTAACTGACTACGATCTTGTACAAAGGCATGGAAAGCACATGTTCTTTTCCGTCATGCGGATGAAGCCCACCACAAGCGTGGTATCGCCGAGACTCTCGAACTGTGCAATGCGGAACCTCCCACCACCGACCTGGATACGCTGGACATGCTCCATCGGACGCTGCAGAAGATGGACGGTCAAGCACAGACAAGGAGCAATCTGTGGGAGAAGGCGGCGAAGGCGCAACCGCAAGGGCTGGAGATTCAAACGAGGTGGTTTACCTATTCCTATGAGGGTGACGACTGGAAGTCGGCGCAGAAGGTGAGGGAAAAAGAAGACATGGTGCCGGAGAGAAGGGTCAACTGCTGACAATCCTCTTTTGAAAGGCTGCCATGAGCCTTCAGAAGAACTTTCCCAGGGAGCGGAAGTATTATTTCTGGGCCATCTTCCTCTGTCACCTCGTTGCAAATGATTCTGCGAGCTCGGATGCGGACCGCAAGCTCTTCGGAACGCTGGCCTATCGCATGATCTCCAAGGCTGCTGCCGATACTCCTGTCGAGCCGGTAAGCTCCGCCTTCCAGCCCTCAAAACGAGATCATGGGATAAGGCACTGACTGAATGGATATAGGTGGACACATTGAGCATGCCAAAATCGATTAAAACAGCGGAGGAGATGCTCTTGCTCGTCAAAATTTTCGAAACGCAGGGTCTTCATTCTGAACTTCTGAAACTTCTGGACAGTAAAAACGTCGGCATATCCTCCCGCATTGTGCAAAATGACTGGACCTTCGTCGTCTCCAAGATCAGCAACTTGGCAGCGGCCAAACTGTGGGAAGACGCATTTGCCTATATCAAAGATCTCCTTACTGCTCCTGAGCCAGTCGACACAGAGAGGTATCTTCAGAAGCACGATGATTGGCAAGTCTGGGAAGTGTTGATCCAAGCAGTGCGTAACAGCAAAACCCCAGGGTAAGCCCGCGAATCCCAGAAAGATTTTGTGGATCACATTTGACAATTATTCTAGGCTTGCTGCCGAGTCCCTGAAGTTTGTTGAAGGCTTTATTCAGCTCAACCCGAAGTCCCGCAACGGCCACCTTGTTCGCTTGGAACTAATTCAGGGGAGAATTGATGTCGGCGATATGAAGCAAGAAGACATGCTGTCTGCTTGTCAGTCATACTTTGACGGCCACAAACACAAACTCTACGTCTTTGGTGATCTTCGGGGGTTTCTGAGTTCTGCCAACCAAACGGTGGCATCGAAGATGGTGGAATACGTTCTGAACAGTAAGGACAACGACGAGAAGGTAATTCACCGATGCCGTTATTGCGCCATGGATATTCGAGCTGACAACTCCACCAGACGAATCACGTTTACATGATCAATGCCCTCAAACTTGAATACTGCTTCAACATCTCAGGGAACGAGAGTGGCGTATCGAAGGAGCAGATCGAAGAGTTTGTTGTCCGCTGCTTGGAGCTGTATGAGACGCTCTCCGGTTCAGGAAAATCGGAAGAAACAACCAAGACGGAGGCTGGCTCGGCGCCAGCCACGGTTGAAAGCCAGCCGCGTGACGACCTGGGCATTCTCGCTGCTATGAGTTTGCTTTATGGCGGACCCTCGGCACAAACTCAGATCTCAAACACCGCACTCATCCGCGCGGCTAGCATCCTGGAACGCCTTCTTGACAACTCGCCTCACAACTACCAGGCGCTCCTGCTGCTGGTACGAGTTTATCTCAGCCTCGGTGCGGGATCACTCGCCTTGAGGACGTTCAGCAAGCTGTCCGTCAAGCAAGTCCAGTTTGAGACTGTTGCCCATAACTTGTTCACTCGCCTTGCTACCATTCACCCTCACTCTGCACCGCCGCTGGAGGGAGCAGAGTTCAAGGACTTTGATCCCCAGTCAGCATTTGTCCAGGCTCTCAATTTCTACCGTAACACGGCCATCACGACGACGAAACACCGAACGAATGGCCTGGAATACGGCAGCTATGTGAATACAGAAGACACTATTGAACTTCAGAGACGCCTGAGAGACAGTGTCTGTCGCCGAATGTATGTTTTGGATGTGCGACGCATGCAGCGACTGGTTGGAGGAGACCCCATGTCCCGTTACGATGACCTTGGTTAGTCTCTTATGTTTCTTTTCTGAGCATTTCTGACCCGATATATAGCAAAGGACAGTTCACCGGTGCTCGACCAGCGCAAGTTTGATGCCTTCATGAATTGTGAAGCCCCGGGCAAACCCACCTTCGAGGAGCGAATGCGCTTAGGCCCTCTGCCTGGTGTAAGTTGGTGTCGTCCCATGGCTTGGAGTTCAAATGTGCTAATGAACCGGACTTTAGGGGAAATGGTTGACATCTACTCAAGTCACCGACCGACTTTTCAGCCTCCTCAAGGGCATCTCTATTCAGAAGCCTCTACCTGCCGATGATGAGCTGCTCGCATTCAAGGACTTGTCCCTTTCTGATGCCGAGCCTGAACAAACGAGTACGGAAAAAGAGAACGCCGAGATTCATTCGGAACTACTCAAGGTGGCTGCGTTCATGGCTGGATCCAAATCTCTAACTGCAGAACAAGCGGACGGAGCACTTGGTCGGGTGGAGGAGTGGCTGACTTCCAAGAAGAAGGACTTGACTCTCAGCGAGGCCAAGGTGTCGCCAATGCTGGCTCGCACAACCATTGCTGTTCAATCAGGTACCCCCGCAGCGCCGACCTGGGAATACCTTCATGTGGTATTCCATCTTCTCGAGACAGTCAAGGCTTTGTCGCAGCTGGTGGCCTTGGCTTCTCGGAAGACAGTGAAGACCGCCAAACTCCCCAAGGAGCGAGTCGAACGGTTATCCACTCTTGTCTCGGAAGTGTTTGAGAGTGTCCGCTCCAACACGCGAGTGCTGAAACTGCGCGTTTCTGCCTCAGGTCTTCTGAGTGTGTTGGTCGGGCTTGTCATGGAGGGTGACTTGTCTCAGGGATACGGAAAGGATCTCCGTGCTCTGCTGGACAAGACGCTGGATGTGCCAGCTCTCGAGCTGTTCTGTGGTGCATTGATGGAGAGCTGGGAGGATGCACTGGACGGGGTGATGATGGTGAAGCTGTGATTCTTACCAGACATAGTATCTATTCCGAGTATCTACATGCCGTAGACCCAATACAATGAAGCCATGATAATACCTCTTTGATCCCGTTAGGGTTGACCATTATCACGTGATCTAACCTCACATAATCAGTCACGCGACCAGCCCTAGCCCTGAGTGCTCGCGTACGCACAACCAAACGCCAAGAAATGTGGGTAAGTCACTCGGTTGCCCTTCCACTTTTTCTTCCTCTTCGACAACCACCCACGACACCCTCAGTCACCAACCGTCGAGATGGCGCAGGAACGCTCCGGAATCGTGGTCGGCGTTAACAGCGGCCGGGTACGTTGATACCCCTTCTTTCTTTTCCTGCTCGTCCAGTCGGGTCGGGTCTCTTCTTGTCGATCGGTCACTCGCTTTCAAGTCGAGTCGAGTTGTTCATGGGAATCTTGGGAACGCATATTCCACAGTGGAATTGTTGAATCACGATGGAATAGATGGTATTTTGTGTGCGAGGGGAAAAATGAACTGGAAGATGAAGGATCCTTGGACAGGGACTTGGACAAGAATTTCTACGACAAAATTCTAAACCACAATCATTCGACTTGACCTCGACAAACGACCTGACTTGACCAACAAAACAGATCGAACAAGAAGAGAGCCCACAACCAGACCCGGAACCACGACCAGCAACTCCTGATTCAATGGAACCCACCCAGCTAACGTATTCCCTTTGCCTCAATAGAAAACCACCCCCCTCAACACCCCCAAGAACAAGATCAGCCGCACCAAGGGCCAGTCTTCCCGCCGTGGTGCCTTCGTTCGCGACATCGCCCGCGAGGTCGTCGGTCTTGCTCCCTACGAGCGCCGCGTCATTGAACTCCTGCGCAACGCCCAGGACAAGCGTGCCCGTAAGCTCGCTAAGAAGAGGGTACGTTTTATCATGTCACTTGCTGTCTCTGCTCGTTTGGTGCGGTTGGGTGGGTGGATTGTGTGTGGTCGTGTGATGTGGACTCTTGCTGGGTGTTTTATGTCGGATAGAGAGGGCAATGTCCTCGTCAACGGATACTCTCCTCCTCTCTTGTCTGGCACTACATCGCAGTCCAGCATCTATCCTTCCTATCTACCTACCTACCCAACTCCACCAACAAACAAAACCATCTGAACCAAAAGCTAACACCCACTCCAGCTCGGCACCTTCACCCGCGGTAAGCGGAAGGTCGAGGACATGCAGCGCGTCATCGCCGAGGCCCGCCGTGTCCAGGGTGGCGCCCACTAGATTCCTTTCCGAACCGGTCTCGAGCGCTTTTCTTTCATTCGTGACGACTTGAAACTCAAACTCCTGGCGCACACCACGCCAGCGGGTACGAATGGAACAAAAGAAAAAATTACACCAAGCTGAAGTCTGGATGGATGCTTTTTGACGCTACCTGTGCTATATCCGTGTATGGCTGGCTTGGGGTCGGAAATGATGAGGGTGTATGGTTGCGACTGTTGGTTGATGAGGAGGATGGCAAAAATGGGATTCCCTTCTGTTGTTTCTAAGGTGAACTCATAATGAAAAAACATATCCGTTACTTGATTTCATATTCCGTGTTTGCGTTTTTGTAGTCTTTGTAGTGTACACTCCTCTTACTGCTGTAGCCTACCTCATCAAATAACCGTGTCTCATAACGACAAGACAGGTACCGGGACATCGGCATCAACATCTAATCTCACAACTGTATTTGTCTTATCCTAACGAGCAACACGTTCAGGTCTACGTAGCACTACACGCCCCAGAATACAAAGTGAAGCGGGTCAAGTCATAATCATCCTCCATAGCATAATGTTGAGTTTGGTAGAAGGAATCTTGTCCGTTGATATTGACGGAATAAGATTCCCACAAGCCACCCACCCCGGGAAGAAGGTATGGCGCGACTTTTGTCTATCGAGGGAGGAGCTCTCATTTCTTCCCCGGCAACTTCAGCCACTTGGGCACGCCTCCGGTCTTTCGCGCACCACCAGGCTTACTGTCATCGCGAGCACTAGACGGAGCCGAACTCTGCGCATCAGAGGGCGAAGGCTCATCCACCACATCTGGCGGCTGCTCAACTTTCAGCTCCCGGGCCTGGCTGCGCAGCTCAGGACGTAAGAGGTCGTCTCGGCGCTGATGAACAAATGATGCCGCGCTATCAGCCCAGGAAAAGTTGACCAGCACACGACCGGAAAGACCCAGGTCTTTGATGAGGAGGACCTGGCCGGAGTCGGAGATTGCCGTTGCTGAGGCACGGGATATACCAGGGTTGAGAAAAATGCTGAGCAGGAACTTCTCGCTTGCGAAGGGGGTTGCGAGACAGCTTCGTACAAAGTCGTACAGCGATGAGCCTGTGTCGCTGGGTCCGAACTTGGCAACGACCTGGCTCTGGTCTGGGAAACGCACTTTCACGTCAACCTCGCGGATGCTGGACCGTCTTTTCTCCTCGGCTGAGGCCTTGGCGGCGATCTCGGCGTCGGTTGGGAGGCGCTGCGGGCGGGATGATTGGCTCAGCAGTCGCTGGTGAGATTTGGCGTGTTCGATAGAGGGGATGTAGTCGTTTTCGTTGTAGGGTATTTGGGCTGAAGAGGGGGTGCTGTCGGTGGGGGGAGAGAAGACGGTGATGGGTCGTGTAGAGGTTGCGGTGGCAGAGGTAGAGGTAGATTGCTCGGATGGAGGGACAACCACGTCCTCTGCAGTCGGGGGCAGATGAGAAGGGTCTTCTTGTGCAGTAGGAGGCTGCTGCACAGGTGTCTCGATAGGTTCCTCGGCCGGTGTAGCAGGCTCAGGCTGTTGTGTTGGGGCCGGCGCAGCATCCTCAAATCCCTTGAAGTACTCGCCAATCTTCACCATCGCTTCTTCGAGGGGCTCCTCCGTTCGCCGGAAGCTGAGTCGCATAAGAACATTGCCGTTGTTAAAGCCTAGCTGGGCCAGGGTTTTCTGAAGATCGGTAAAGCTGGATAGCTCGCGTTCCAAGATTTGGAGTACAGGAATCTCATAGAACAAACGCCCCGAGCCCGTTTCAGTCCCACCAGTAGTTGCTGGCACCCCACGAGCAGTGAAGTTCCGCACTGGACCACTCCCTGCTACTCCTGCTTCGAACTTGCGCAGAATGAGCCAAAGGGTGGTTGTGCTGGGGAACTTGTCGAGGATGCGGCTGTTGGGAGCCCCGCGGGCCTCAGACTCGGGGAGTTGGAGGGCAACAGTGACAACCGAAGGAGATTTGGAGAGCTGAACCAGCTCGAGCTTTGCACCTGAGCTCAGGCCCGAGAGGCGAAACGAGAGTGATAGGTCCAGTTGTTTACGGTTATGTCTGCCAGAACAAAGAATCCCGGTCAGTGATATACAGATTGACAAAGGGCAGGATACTCACTTGAGGCCATACTGGTTCGAGTTATGTCCCAGCTTGGAGCATGCCTCCTGCAGGATGTCTGACAGGTGTTTGGCCGGACTGGTCTTGATGGTCGCCCGCCTGGCCGTGGCGTCGATCACCACGACGTGGGCGCTCATCGTGGGACAGCAAGCCTTTTTTGTGACGAATAGAACAAAGAGCGTATGATGTGTAGTATAAACTTGGAAATCAACGATGTCGCGATGATGTCGTGCGGTGGTGGTGGGAGGAAGTGGAAGGTGCGGCGGATTACAATAGGCAGCGGTGCGGGCGTCATCTCCATCCGAGCTCCAGCTTGTCTCTCTCTCTTTCCGCCATCTTCTCCATCCTCCATTCTCCCCCCAACCAGCCTCCCTCCAACTCCCATTTGCCTCTCTTTTTGACAGGAATAGCTGCAGATATCCCGCCACAGCTGGATTGAATCTACAAAATAAATCACAATCATGGTATGGATGCTCCATTCCCCCCGATCACAGGGAACACGCGCTGACCACAACCTCCCGTCATCAGGGCTCCCCCTTCGACATCAGTACGCCAGACCTCTCCTCCCGCAACGTCTCATCATCAAAGCAACCAAACTAACCTCTGAATTAGATGGCGGTGCCTCCGTCGCCATGGTGGGCAAGGACTGCGTCGCTATCGCCTGCGACCTGCGCCTGGGCATGCAAGCCCTGACGGTGTCGAACAACTTCCCCAAGATCTTCAACTACGCTCCCTCGACCTACCTGAGCCTTACCGGCCTGGCCACCGACGTGCACACCGTCTCGGATCTCTTCCGCTACAAGGTCAACATGTACCGCCTGCGCGAGGAGCGCAACATCTCCCCCCAGACCCTGGCCAACCTGGTCAGCTCGTCGCTGTACGAGAAGCGCTTTGGTCCCTTTTTCGTCAGCCCCGTGCTGGCAGGAATCAACCACACAACGGGGAAGCCGTTCATCTGTGGCTTCGACAGTATCGGGTGCATTGATTTTGCCAAGGACTTCATCGTCAGCGGGACGGCGAGCGATCAGTTGTTCGGTACTTGTGAGGGTCTGTGGGAGCCAGACCTGGTGCGTTTTCTCCCTTTTATGTGTCGTTACCATGCTGATTGATGTGCAGTCGCCCGATGACCTCTTCGAGACCATCTCGCAAGCACTGCTGAGCGCCGTCGACCGTGACGCCCTCTCCGGCTGGGGTGCCCAGGTCTATATTATAGAGAAGGACAAGGTGACCAAGCGGTTATTGAAGGGGAGACAAGATTAGGGAGAGAAATGCTCAAGCTGGTGGTGGTGATGATGATGGATGGAGCTACCATCCTCGCATGTCCGTGACACGGGAGAAGACTGTCTACCGGACTGGGAAGAAGATGGACTGGAGTTTGATTTTCTCCTTCCTATAACGACAATACAAGCCTCTGGTCTCATCAAATGATTTGTATCAAAACTCCTCCTCACCCGCGTAACCATCCCGCCCGGTCACAGCCCCGTAGGCCGGTCCCTGCTTGCCCAGAAACGCCTTCAGATCCGCCGCCAGCAACTGCGGCACTTCCCACGCAGCAAAATGTCCGCCGCGGTCGTACTCCGTCTCCCGGACGACATTCCCAATCTGTCGGTACCACACCCACGGCAGGAGGATCAGCTCCTCCTTGAACCGCGTGACGGCGAACCGGACCTGCCGGGGCGCACACGCGGCCAGGATATCCGCCAAAGAGATGTAGTTCCTGACAGAGGGCTCATCTTGCTTCTTCTTGCCATCAGAACCAGACTTAACACCTACCTCCAGTTTCGGCGCCGAAGCCTCATAATAAATCCTCGTCGAGGCCGTCGGTCCCGCCGTCGAGAAATAGTACACGCTCACCCAAGTCAAGATCTCCTCGTCCGTCCAGGGATACGCATCCGACCAGGAATGCATCTTATCATAGATCCACGCCAACAGCGCCACGGGACTATCGTGCAGCCCGTACCCCAGTGTCTGTGGCCGGGTTTCCTGCTGGCGCATGTATCCATTGCCCTTTGTTGTATATTGCATTGACCGCGCGAGGAACCCACGGTCCTTGGCGGAGAAGGGGATTGTGAGCAGGGACTGCATGAAGAGTAGTGGGTTTCGCCAGGGATAGGGCGGTGCCACTGGCACGAAGTTTAGGTGGATGGCTTGGATGTGTGGCGCGTAGAGCTGCGCCATGGCTCGCGCGATCATGCTGCCCCAGTCGCCGCCTTGGATGGCTGTTTTTGGTGGTTAGTAGCTGTTCTCTGGTGAAAAAAGGGGGGAAGAATTACTGTATTCTTCGTAACCTAAAGCTGTCATTACCCCGTGCATGGTTTCGGCGTATTGGGCCAGGCCGAATCCTCTCTGATTGTGTTATCAGTTAGGGACAGGAAAAGAGGTGTGATGAGAGGATCCTATACTCACCTGCTTAACACCTTGCGAGAATCCGAAATTCGGCAACGAAGGCACCACGACATCAAAAACCGGCCCATTGCCATCGTCGTTCGTGAGCAGCGGGAGCAACTTCGTAGCTTCGAGGAAACTACCGGGCCCTAACCGGCAATCCATCAGTATCCATCTTGGTGCATTATATAGTTAGTTACTGTACATACATCCATGAATAAACAGCAACGGCACCGCATGCGGATTCCCACTCCGATGATGCACAACATGAATATCCAGCTCCCCGAATCCGACAACGGGAACAGGCACTCGGAACTGATTCAGCTGCGCATTGAGTCTCTGCTCCTGGGCCCGCCAGTCGAATTGCTCGCGCCACACTGTCACCAGGCGCTGGACCTCAGACAGCGGTACGCCCATGTCCCAGGAGGCATTGTCGAGTTCGTCGGGAAAGTGGGCCTGTGAGAGTTTTTGGTGAAGGGCCTGGAGCTGGGAATCGGGGATGGAGATTTTGAAGGGTGTTGGAGTCATTTCTTCTGGCTGTTTTGTGTTTTAAGTGTCTAGGTGGGATATAGTATCTGGCAGCCGGGTAGTAATGTCCACTGCCAAAGTGCATTAATATACCCACTCCGTTACGTAGTGGTGGTAGTAGTGGAGTCGTGGATTAGGTTTATAGTTGGTGCCGAGGCATCGGGCACATGCTTCAGGGATATATTGTTCTGTGGAGTATATTCATACATATTCTAGTGTATGTCGACAGTGTAACCACTTTAATATTCTCTGGCTGGACTTTTTGGAGAGTGTGGATATTCTTCAGTGTCTTCTCGAGTATACATCAAGTATATATTTTGTGAGGCTCGAGAAATATACCTCGGTTCCACTGTCCACACACAACCATGTAGTGTAGCACAAAACATGGGCAAGTCACATAGATTCTGTATTGTGCTATAGACCGTCATTTCCATTTGCTTCTTTTTTTCTAGCTATGCTGTGGTTGAGTTATTCGCCCAATGTAGCTAACATAGTAAATACCCAGTATATTTTCATTTCCACCCTCACTGTGCTGGCCCGAAGTTATGAATATGGCCAGCAAGTTGTGTGACAATCAGCCGAAATATGAACTGACTGATACACATGGTGCCCCCCTTGGCTCACCATAACCTGCAGGTCTGGTGCAGATGATGTGTTGGGTGTACCCGATACATTATCCCACAGCCAAAATGGGTGGCAGTTGAGGTACCGGTACCTGCCCCCGGTCGGTCTAGATGCGCCGATCGTGCTGCACCTCCGCATCCTCGATCGCACATTTGTGTCTCGTTTTCTCCTGTTTTCTCCTGAACAACACAGGAGTAAAAAACACATTTTCTCAATATTCTCTATACTTCTAAAGGATCCTCCTCTACCCACTAACTACTACTCTCGGCTCCGTTCCTGGCCTGACCCACGAGCTCCTGTTTCAGTCGAGTCTAGACCGCCCCGATCGGGAAAATCCCCTGCCCCTCCTGGTTTCTCTCATCCCTCGAAAGTCGTGAACTCTTGTCTTACACCCACTGCCCTCCTCACACCTACCCCTCTCCCCTCTCAACCAATACACACAGGGAAGCATGGTTTGTCGGTTGCCTCGATAATTCAGAGATCGCTGCTGTGGCCGCCTATCTACATGGATCATGCCTGACTCCCCCGAGCCAGATGTCTCCAATCCAGTGCACCCACGGCCCGCCAGGTCGTTTCCATTCTGCAAGACCGAATGCATCCCCGGTGACGGCCGTGCCGTACACGAAGACGACGTCGACGATGCCCCTCTCGATGCGTTGAGGCGCTGGAATGATGGTGCTCAGACCATCGCCATTGAGCAGCTGGTGGCGCTGAAACAGGGGCTGAGGACGTCGGACACGGAGCTGTTCTGGAAACGGCTCATGGAGGACATCACATCGATCAGCAAGGCCCAGTATGGGTTTGTCGCGAGCCGAGTGCACGGTGGCGAGCCCATGGCTGAATTGCGGGGGCGGCGGCCCTCGTTGTTTGGTGCTGTGTTTTACTACAATGACGGCTATGACACTGTCGGGTTGCAGCGCAATCGATATTTTGCGGGCGGGAACCCGTTGCTGCATATGGACCACGAGCGGCCCTGCTTGATTCCGGAAAATTTGAGCTCGCTGGTTTCCTTTGGAGATGACCAATTGCCCTTTGCTGCCGAAGCATACTTGGCAATTCCGCTCTTCTCGGCTGGCAAGTGCCTGGCGCACCTGGGTTTGATGTGGACAAAGGACGGCCTTCGGAGCCGTAACCTGTCTTGGTCCTTTTTGCAGATGATCCTGCATTCGCTCGAGGACCTGATCGTCCAGCGACTTCTACCGGGAGAGGCTGTGTCGAAACATGAGAACTCGGAGCCTTCAACCACAATCCCATCGACTGTTCAGGATCCGCCAGGGGTTCCTCTACACGAGGCCTCCGAGTTCACTGCCCAGCCGCTGAAACCATATGCACGAAGCTTGTCTCATGAACTCCGGACCCCGATGCAGGGAGTAGTGGGCATGCTCGATGTGATGCACGCTACCGTTAGAGAGGCAATGGAGAGCCCGACCCCGGTGAAATCGGGCGGGATATTTCAGACCCTGAAGGAGGGTATTGAAATGGTTCAAGGTTCGTTATGAATTTTTGCCAGCAAGCTCCGGCCCAATGTATTAATATTGTGTTTATAGACAGCGCACGCCGTGCAGTGGAAGCGGCTGATAACGTCGTCCATGCCTACGATCTCAATATGCAAGTCCCCAAAACGCCTATACGGGAGCACGAAAGCGGGTTTCTGGAAGAATCTGCCATGCCAGCAGATATTCCTGAGACTCGGCCAAGCGTCTTCATCGCAGGCAACAATATTGCAGTGAATCCATACAAGCGACGCCGAAGTCAACCATTGAATGTCACTTCCGAACCACCACGCAAACAGAGGATTCGCTCATCTTCACGACCAGAGCTTTCACCGCGGAGTGAAGAGGTTAAAAATGCCGTTCACGAAAGCGATCAGATCGTCCATGCTACACCAGCCCGCGAGATCGAAGCCGTCATGGCCAACATGGTGGATCCTCGCCCGTCCCTCGCGGTTCGACGGTCCGCTCCTCATCTCTTGTTGGAGGGAATCAACGTAAATATGAGGGGCTCGGCTCTGCGCTTCACCAAACTCCGTGATCTTCTCCGTTTGGTGATCAACGAGTCCCTTCATGTCGATGGTCGACCTGACTCTACTGTGGGCAACGCCACTGAGTTCGGCGAGAGAATCGAGATCCGATCACGATCTTCAAATGGGGAGGTTTTCACTAAAATCGTGGATTGGTCTGTTGATCCGGCGCTGCCCGACACATTGCTCGCCGATGATCGAGACCTGGCGAAGCTAATCTCGTGTGTTTTCCTGAATGCCATCAAATTCACGAACAATGGCACCATCACGGTTTACGCAACGATCGACCGCCGAACAAACGATGTCTTGATTCTCGTCCGAGATACCGGCCCCGGGATTCCCGCAGCATTCTTGCCTAGTCTTTTCAAGCCCTTTGCCCGTGAGGATGCCTCGACTACACGAAGTAAGGACGGGCTGGGACTCGGCCTGCTTGTGGCCAAGGGTCTGTCGCGGAAGATGGGAGGCGACCTGATCTGCATGCGCTCGTCAACCTCGGGTCCAGACCATGGCTCGGACTTTCAGATCCGCGTGCCCGTCAACCAGCGTGAGGCTAACAGTCATCCCGACACTCCAGGTGAGAGGACGAGCAGTCCACCCATTATCAACGACTTCTCCCAGCAGGGCAGCGCAAGCAGCTGCATTTTGGACCCTGCCTCCATTTCTCCTTTCTTCCCTCAGTATCAACAACTGCAACAACCAACCCCTAGCACCAGCGAGGACTCCACATCTCAAGGCTCGACACCCCCACGACCGTCGTCACATCCTCGAAGTGGAAGCGGTCGGTCCCCAATCTCACGGGATGCGTACGACAAGAAACTTGGAGAGAAATATCCTCTCCGTTTCCTCGTTGCTGAGGACAACAGAATCAACCGGCGTGTGCTGGTCAGCATGCTGCGGAAGCTCGGCTACCGTGACGTCTTAGAAGCGGCAGACGGCAAAGAAGCAGTTCAAATCGTGCACGATATTTTCTCAGCGTCCGGCGCTGCTCCCCGCGAGTCAGATGCTGTCCCTGCAGATCAACAACATGATGCATCCAGCACACCACCCTCCATCACAGAAATGAAGCCAGTCGACATCGTCTTAATGGATCTTTGGATGCCCGAAATGGACGGGTATGAAGCCACTGCTCGCATCCTCCAGATGGTCGACGATCGCCGAGGCCTAGTACCTCTTTCCGAAAACACCTCAACCCATCTTGACTCTACATCCCACCCCCCGACCCGATGCAGTTGGACACCACCGCAGACACACTTCGAGCACCACCACCCCCTACCGTCCTTGCCGTCAGTGCAGATGTCAGCGACGAGGCATTGAACCGGGCCTCCAAAGTCGGGATCAAAGGGTACATGACGAAACCATACAAACTCTCCGACCTAGAACGTCTGATTATCGAGTTCTGCGGCGTTCCTGCGGCAGCTATGGCATAGCCCCAACCACCCATCCTCTTTCACCCTCTTGCCTTTACACTTGATGAACTTCATACAACATATATACCCCGGCATTTCTCACGAACGACCTCATCTTCCTTCCCGGCCTGGGGCTGCCCTATGCTGCCGTCCATCGATGTGTCATAATCCTCTTACGGGCATTGGAACACTCGAACAACAGAAACATCTATCCATTCATTACTAGCATTGCTAGCCCGGCGTCCCAATTTTTTTTTTCGGCCCCTTTCTTTTACCATTCATTTCCAGCCATATACCTACATTCTGGCGGCATTTATTTACTTCTATACGCATTTTATTCACCTTGTTACCACTGAAAATAATGAATGATGAATGACACATGTTTTACTTTGGAGTTTTGCTGGTAACAAATACATGATGCGTAGTCCTTGTCTGGATTTTTTAATTTGCTCAAAGCCCTTTGGATACAGACTAGAGTCCATCTTTTGATAACCCTAGTCAAGCTTACATCCTATTCGAAGCATACCAAATACAAGAGCTGGACAAGAAGAACTATGGAGGAAAAAGCTGTCATTACATCCATTATCAAGCTCGACTTGACATCGCTCTGACCATGCAGCCCCAAACACACAACAACACCATTTTTCTTGTTGAAATGCACCACTAGAAGCTTTCCGCAAGACATACACCCACATACACCCCTCTCGGTCTTTCACTCGCCAATAAGAAGGAAACACAACGTAACAAGCATTGATCAAACTCAACGTAACCATCCATCCTCAGGTCAGCTTCTGCTTGATGAAGAACGAACGCAGGTGCGAGAGCTGCCACGCGCACGCAGCAGAGAGGACGGCTACTTGGATGAGAGCCCAGCGCACGACGCGGGAGTTGGTTGCCTCGGACTGGTCGCGGAATTCGGCCTCACGTTCCTAGAGAGGGGAAAAAGGAGTTAGCACATGATGCAATCCTTGGAAAGGTAAAGGCAAAACTCACCCGCTGGTACACCTGCTCTCGGCGGATATCATGCAACCTCGAATTCAGATCCTTCACCCGCTGCACCAGATCCTTCATCTTATCCTTATCCTCTGTCTCGATCTTGCTCGTCTCGCCAATAGCCAGGTCGACCGTGAATTTGACCGCGCCGGCCGGACCAGACAGCCACCCGCCGGTGGCGACATCCGTCTCCGGCGTGAAGCAGATCTTGTGCTGGCCCGAGTCCGCCGCGGTGAAGGTGAGCCGGCCGGAAGGGCCGTCGCGCTTTGAGACGATCTGATGGTCGTTGTCGAAGGTCTCGACTACCGTGACGAGTACCTTCAGGTTTGCGTCCACTGAGTATTGGTGTGTGTTCGGGTTGATCAACTCTGTTGAAAAGGTGCCTAGATCGTTGATCATGAAATTAGTACGTTATTGGGGTGGTGTTGGGTTGGGTTGTGGTTAGTTCCTTACCGGCCACCAGGGTGTCCTTGGGCAGGTCCTCGTAGAAACACTTGGATTGCCGCCCGTCCATGTAGAAGTACAGGGCATTGGCGGGGACGAGGACAGAGAGGAGAGTGATCAGCGTCAGAGACGCGAGCCATGACGACGGATTCCGGAGAGCCATGGCTGCAATGGGCAGAAGTGTGTATGTATTCTTCTTCTCCTGGACTTGAAGTTGTCAACAAGACGATCTGGCTTACTGATCCACCGCCTACCGTGTTGGGCGAACGTCCATCCCTTCTTCAATTTCCGTCGCCATCAAATCGTCTGCACATTTCCATCAGCTCAACCCTGCTCGGCTCATCTCGTTTTATCTTACCGGATTACCTTATTTCTTTCACCTGCTGTCGCATTCCGAAGCGGTTCTCCTTCCCACCGAAACGCCATCATGGCGGCCGCCGATGTTCGCGAAATGCTGGACCTGCCGGCGGAGGGGCAGCCCAGGCCGCATAAGAAGCAGAAGGTGGTAGAGAAACGGCCAGGTTGGTATTGACGTGATCTTGGAATATGCTGAGGTTAATATCCGTCCAGAGGGTATTACTCGCGAGCTGTACGCGCTGCTGGGCGAACGCGCGCCGCCGATCGCCATCAACGAGAACAAGTACAAGGGACGCCCGAAATGGATGAACAAGCTCCGAGTGCGACCATGGTAGGTTTACCGAGCTCAGGCAGTCGATACGAGCTTACATTTGGCTCTTATAGGCGCATGACGCCCTTCACGAACAGTGCGCGCTCTGACGGCCTGGTTTTACAACACTGGCAACGAAAACATGAATCGACAAAACCAGCAGCACCCGAAGGATCACAGATGGAAGTTGACGAGACCAAAGAAGAAGGAAAAGATGACCAGGAGGCAGCGCATCCAAAGCCACAGGAGCAGGAATACGCGTTCGCCAAGTACAACGTCCAGGCGCGCCTACCACGTCCGTACACAGATGACGAGTACAACCGACACTTAAAGCGCGACGACTGGACGCGCGAAGAAACAGATTATCTGATGGAACTGGCTTCCGAATACGATCTGCGATGGGTGATTATTGCAGACCGCTACGACTACCAGCCGCCAATGGACACGGAACCGGATGACAGCGCGCTGGTCCCCGCCAAGCAGTACCGGACCATGGAGCAGATGAAAGCACGATACTACCAGGTGGCGGCACACATGCTCGCCCTCGAGCACCCACCATCCGAGATGTCAGAGCTCGAGTTCGAGCTGCACGAGAAGATGCTCAAGTTCGACCCGGAACGCGAGCGAGACCGCAAGCAACTCGCAGCGCTGCAGCTGGACCGCACGGCCGACGAAGTGCGCGAGGAAGCCATGTTGCTGGAAGAACTAAAGCGCATCACCTCGAACGAACAGAACTTCGTCACCGAGCGCCGCGAGCTGTACTCGCGTCTCGAGGTGCCCATCAGCGTTGGCAACACCGCCATGTACCAGTCCAGCGCGGGACTCTCGCAGCTCCTGCAGACTCTGTTGCAGGCCGACAAGAGCAAGAAGCGCCGCTCCCTGTTGGGCATGGACGGTGCTCTCCCCAGTCCAGCGGGCCAAACCCCAACACAGGGTCGCGGCGAAACGCCCGGTGTCACGCCCGCCTCTATCCCACACAAGAAGGGCGCTGCCGCTGCCGCCCGCGAAGCACAGCAACTTACCGTGCGCACGCTCACCCCCGCCGAAGAAGCCCGGTACGGCGTGCAGCACCACGAGCGCTTGCAAGCCGGCGTGCAATTCCGCAGCGACCGCGCCCAGAAGCTCACGCAGGCCAAGTCCAATGTGCAAACGCAAAAGCTGGCCGCCGCGCTGGCGGAGCTGGAGGTGCCCGTGCGCCTGATGATGCCCACGGAGCGAGTCTGCAAGGACTTCGAGAAGCTCATCCACTCCGTCAATTTACTGCTCGATGCGCGCAAGGTCTCCGAGAAGGTGGAAAGCGAGATCCGTGTCCTCGAAGCGGCCAAGGCTGAGCGCGAGCGCAAGGCCAACGAGGCGGCTGGGATTGCGCCGCCGGATCCAGAGAACCCAGAGGTTAAGACCGAGACTGACGACGCGGGCGCTGGTGTTACGGGTGGCAATGCGAATAAGGGGCAAGATGACGAGGCGAATGCGGAGGCCAAGGACACACCGGCGACGGATGCTGATGGCGCTCATAAACGATCTGCTAGTGTGCTTAGCGGGGTCAGTGACAAGAGCAATAAGCGGCAGCGCCGGTAAGGGATTCTTCTGCTGTTATGGAGAAGAAGAGGATGTATTATTTCATTTAGAGGGAGTGTCTGTTGGTTGAACTGCCTTCAATACTCTCTCCCAGATACCAATGTACGATTAATGACATGCTTCGTTCATTCGCCAGACCTACATCCATCTATAACTCTTACTCTCAATAAGATGGGCAAAACAGTGGGAAGCCGGACGTTCTTGGAAACTGCCGAAACCAAGGCATAGGCTTGTCGAGGTACTATATAAGGTAGACGATTCTATGAGGGATTCTCAAAGCTGTACTCGTCGATCATTATGTAGTAGAAGGTTCTCAATCAGCCTGTAGATTAGGCACTGGCGAACTACGACCTGAGAACGACTCTAAAGCTGAGAGAAGCAGGAGGAGCTGGAAGAGTAGGATGATGACCGCGAGCCTCTCCACCAGTGGACATACTTTCATGATGAGGAGAGAAAACCCACTAGTTAGGCTCTAATAGGTTAATAGAATATTGATTGTATGATTGCTCTCGGTAATAATAGTTCGTTCAAGGCTAACAACAGACAGGTTCACGTAACTCACGCCCGACGGGCCCACGAACTCCCCTCAAAAGCTCCAGGCATGGCATCAAGACACTCCTCCTGATACATACTCGCCAAATCTTGGGCATTGCTCCTCGTGGAATTGACCCGGCCAAGCCCATTTGATGCACAGTCTTGGAAAGATGGACCAGAAGACGCATCCGAGTTCTCCTGGCGTCCGTTTGAGAGTCTCTTGGTTTCTCTCTTGGTCTCCTTGTATTTAGAAACCTGCCACGACCAGCGCCCGTTTCGAGACGGAGTTGGAGGGGAAGGAATGTAGCCATGCGGAATACCGACTGGAGGGCCATTGAATGGAAGGGTGGAGGTGTTTGCATTGGAACCTTCGACTTGAGGGTGCTCTGATAGCTCTTCAAGAATCGAAGAGCCTTGTCCCCTGCCAAGGACCCATGTCTTGCGCCCATGATGGACATCTTCCCTGGCTTTGCGCGGCCGGGGCTGGATGCTCGTGGGTCGGGTCTTCAGCTTCTTCCACCACGAAGTGTCTTCCTTGATCGATTCAGTGGTATCATTAACCTCCTCGGGGCCCTCAGCTGGATCACGAGGAGGTAATCGACGGTCAACGATAATGATAGGCTTTTCGAGCGGAATCAACGCCTTTGGCTCCTCCGAATCAGGGTCAATCGCAATAGAACAGCCGGCTTCAGTCGACTTGATATTCTCATTGTCAGCATTTATCAGCGATGGCCGTTCGATTGATTCCTGGGTTTGGCGAGGAGCACTGGTAGGGAAAGCTTCTTCAGGTTTAGAGACCATTGTATAGCCATACCCCACACGTCGACCATTGGTCATCCAACCGACGCTCACTTGACGAGGGGAAGATTCTAGCTCTTGAATAGGAGAGCCGGGGGACTCAGAATCATTTGTAATGGGGCTGAGTTGTTCAACAAACTTGCTTTTCACAATAGAGTCGGGCTTCTCGCCCGGAATGATCCCATCTACCTGGATTTCCGATTTGCTGGCCGTGGCATTGGCAGCACGAGTCCTGAGCGCCTCCGTTGACAAAAGACTGCTTTGGCGTGAATAGAATGACGATGCGTCTCGCGTGTGGAGTGCGGTTAGTGTCTGGGAATCTGTCCCCGAGACCGCCGATGTTGCTGTTTTCTGGAGCAAGTGAGAATTCTCTGCGGTGAGCAATGCATATCGGTTTGTTTTTGTACGTCCGGCTGTGATGGATGCGTTGCCCGAGTGTGTTCCAGAAGAGATGGATCGAGGTGCCAGGACATGAGAGATGCGGAGCTCATCCAGATGCAGTGGCTGACCTTCGACCAACGACTGGTCAGAGGGAAATGGTTCTTGCCTTGTCGGAACGACAAGATCCGGACCATGCTGGCCATGATCTGAAAGTGATGCCGACGAGGTCGTGCCACGGACCCGGCTGTTCGTCCTCAAGAACTGGATCCAGTCGGCCATGAGGGTCTGGCTATGGGTACCTGCTGGGATATCGATAATTGGGACTGGTTCCAGAATATTTGCAGCAGAATTCGGGGTGACGATTGTCAGAGTGTCAAGAGATCGCGTCGCCGCGGGTTGCATCTCAGCGCTGACAGTGCTCGGTCCTTCGCCGGGGGAAGTCTCAGGCCGAGCTCCATTATTGTATGATATGCCGCTTGCATTGGAGGCAGTTCGAGCACCGCTCAGACTACCACATAGGGTAGGGATGTAACGCAGCCCAAAGGGAGACCCAGGTTCACTTTCGGGAATGTCGTTGAAGGCTGCTGCCCGGAACACAGAATCCAACAGCTCGGGCCTCTGCTCGAGCACTTCACTCAACTCCATTCGGGGAAAGGGACGGCTTGTCGGGGATCGTTCCATGCGGTCACTGTGTTTTGGTGTTGCGAGGTACTGAGCATCGCTGTCATATCCCCTCTCGCTCATCAGGCTGCTTCCGATATCCCCCAGCACGGTCAGGTTAATTGGAGGCTGTTGAGCGTGGGATCTTGATGACTTGAAAGAGAGAGGGAGAACCGCGGTTTTCCACATCGTCGACGGTCTTCTCTGTGCAGTGCTGATGAGTTCCTTTCTCGAGAGAAGCGACGTCGCAGCCTGTGAGAGAAGCTCTCGGGTGGGCGGCTGTGCTGCTGGGAAGGAGAGCAGTTTGCAGTTGTTGTGGCTTCTGCGATTTCAGCAGTTAGAGTGTTTGACCAATCCCAATGGCAGACCGCACCTTGTCTCTCCGGTCTCTGCAAACCGTACAGCTCAGGAGTCTGGTATGACTGGGCGAAGCCCGAAGGTGAATCTGACCGATGCGCTTTGCGAAAACGAGGACAGACGAGGAACACCATCTGGGAAGGTTGAAGGAGACAGATACTGAAATGGGCAAGAGACTGACTGGAAGCTCATATTGGTTCATAGTTCGGGCAAGTGCGACGAATTCATGTACCGGTAGGTAGTATGGCCGCACTTTCCCCCTATCAATAGATGCATCAGTAGGGGAACATCGGCGGGAATGCCACGAACGGTGAACGCTATCTGTTAATGGTGCGAAATGTGGAATTTGGACTGCCTATAGCATTGAGGGCCATGTTTCCTCTTTAGTGAATCCTAACTCGGTTAACAAATTTCTGGTCAGGACTTTGTTGACCTAACCCGGATTAATGTTGGCAGGTTGAGACGGTTGGCATAACGTGGCGTAGTAACGCATTTCGACACGATCTTGGAAGATGTGACTGCTGGAAGGAGAATAAGATGCGACTAAGCTTTAGTAATTGATAGTTTAATTTTCTTCCGAGGTCCATCTATGAACTGAGTTGACATCTAGATTATCTAAAAATACTCACCCCCTACCCATTTAGCTCAAGTTTGCGTAGGCTGATTGGCATATGCGCCTTGCTTTTTTGGCCCCAGCCCTTTCCGCCCGATCAGGGATTGACCGCAGTCCTTTCCCAAATAGGCAACGTAGATGTAGCCGCTTTGGCCCCTTGGTCTACAGGATGATGCGATTGGTCCGTTAGTAAATACTACAACTGAAATACCTAAAAGAGGTTTGGGGGACTTAAATATCATTGCTAGCCCCGTGGCTCTCTCTTTTCGTAGTTTCCCATATAAAAGAATGCAAAACACCATGACCAGCCAGGACTTCGTCTCTGAATTGCCCACCGAGCTCCCCGCGTATTATGAGATGGAACCACCGAGGATGATAAGCCGGATAGACACCGTTGACCCCTGGGGTCCGGACGCGTTTGGGCCGTACGGTCCAGCCGAGCACGCCAACTCGCCCTCGTCCTCTTCCTTGTCGACATCGAACTCAATTTCCAATTTGGATTCCCGTACGCCATCCTTTACGAGTTCCTGCGCTACGTCTATACCGGAAGATAATCCTCCTGTACCTTCAAAAGGATCAAGCAGCAAACGATCGTGCCCAACCAGCCATAGAGCATCGAAAACTTTGTCGCCGGTCAAACCAGGTGTGCGCACCATTCGCAAGAGCTGCTGGTCGCATATGCCAGCACAACGCGGGAAAATGAAGGATTCAGTGGCTGAGTACAAATGGAATATGACTGGCTTGGTTGATCAGAAGGTCTACTCGACGCAAGAGACCGTCCTTGATCTCCGCAACCACATGCGCGAGTATGTCTCGACCAAAGTGGACGCCTTCGCAGCTGGATTGGATGATAAGATCCTTTCGCTGGATGAGCAGGTTTTTGCTCCAAAGTCGGCCAGTAGTGAGTGTACTCGTCTTGATATTTTCGAGAGTTAGGACTAATTCCGTACAGTCCATAATGATGAACACTCCGAGCACGGCAAGAAAGACAAAGCCGCAAAGCGATCAACGGGTGTCTCCAAGGTGCATTTGTACGAGAACTCACGCCTACCAGCTGTCCTTCCTCAATTCACAATGTGAGTCTTCGTAAGTATAGACATATTGGCTACAACCACTGACAATATCTCCAGTAATCCTTTTGAATACCCTCTTATCCGTCTAGCAGCGCAATTCTCACACCAAACCTATATGAGAAATGAACCAGAAAAGCACACCTACATCCCCGCCAACTCCCGCCAGGGAACAAAAGCAATGGTGATCGGCTGTGTCGACGACAAGAAAGCGATTGTGCTCGCGATTCGCGGCACAGCGAGTCTCAAAGACTGGGCTGTAAACATGCACACAGAACCCACATCCCCTGAGGGCTTCCTCGACGACACCACGAACTTCGCGCACGGAGGCTTCCTCGGCGTCGCGAAGAAGATGATCCAGCCCATCGCGGGGCAACTTCGCGCTCTGATCGCAGAGAACCCATCCCGACAGTCCTACTCCCTCCTGATCACGGGCCACTCCGCCGGCGCCGCCGTTGCAGGCCTGCTATATTGCCACATGCTCTCAACAAAAGTGAACTCCGAGCTGGCGTACATGGGCAGCTACTTTAAGCACATCCACTGCATAACCTTCGGCGCACCGCCGTCCGCCGAACGTCCACTCCATCCCACGCCATCGCCCGATAGCGAGGGCTCATTGTTCTACGCCTTTATTAACGAGGGAGACCCTGTGCCGCGTGCGGATAAGGCGTATTTGCGCTCGCTGTTGAATCTCTATACCTCTCCTGCGCCAAACAGTTCGAAATGGCGCAAATATGAGAAAGCCACGAAGAAGCCCCGCTCTGCCATATGGGAAGTGCCGCCGGCGCCGCTGTCACTCGCGGGGCATTTGGTTGTTTTGCGGAGTACGCCGACTGAGCATGAACGTCCTATGATGAGCAAGGGCGAGGTTGAGGCTTGTGTCACCTCTGATGATGTAGTTAGGAACGCTATCTTTGGGGACCCAGGGATGCATATGATGAAGCTGTATTCGCAGCGCATTGATTCGCTTAAAAAGCATGCTACCTGGTGACTGTGCGCTGTGTCGGTCGAGTTGAGCTTTATCAGGGATATTGTTGAATATGAAATAATGCCATATCCCCAAAAAGCATCTCGGTCACTCCGAGATTGTGTGCTGAGTGAAGAAAGACTGAACTCCACCTAGGAAGATCTTACGTTGCTACAAGAGCGAAATGATTTAGTAGTAGTTATCAAACGATGTATATTCACAGCTGATTCTACACATAAAAAAAGTCTCGTCTCTAGGCCCAGAGCCAATGCAAATGCAGAAGCGAAGAGCGAAAGAGCAAAATTGTTGAAATAATCGGCACCGAATTGTGGCACCCATGTTGAAATCGTCAGTCATGTTGAAACTCCGTAAACCCGCTTTTGGTGCCCTCTAATCAAAAGCCCGTTGAAACCCATATGTTGAACTTTTGGTATCATCTCGTAACTCATCAGAAAAAAGAACTCCCCGTGCTGGAGGTGGCAGGTTGATTGCCACCTCTCCCAATTAACACATTATAGGAAAACAAAGGAAAATTGGTGCCCATATGTTGTTAAATTTACTGGGCGTGCTGCTTGCGGAAGTGCTTAGCAGCGTTCACCATGTTGGTGAGAGAAGCCCTGAAATATATTAGTATCGAATGCCATCATGTTTGGTGGGGAGGATTTACTTAGTCTCGGTCCAACCACGGGTCTTCAGACCGCAGTCAGGGTTGATCCAGAGCTGCTCGGGAGTAAGGAACTGCAGCATCTCCGAGACACGGTCAATGATCTCCTGCTCGCTGGGAACACGCGGGGAGTGCTATCGAGATGTTAGTTATCCATATCAGATGAGAGACAGTAGAAAAAGCGAAACGTACGATATCAAACACGCCAGGTCCGATGTGGGCAAGGAACTTCTCATCAACGAAGACCTTGAGGAGCTTAGCATCAGACTTGCTGTTCTCGATGGACAGAACATCAGTGTCCAGAGCAGCAATGGCGTGGAAGAAGTCCTGGAACTCGGAGTAGCAGAAGTGAGAGTGGATCTGAGTGACGTCGGCGACACCAGCAGTGGAGAGGCGGAAAGCCTCAACAGCCCACTTGATGTACTTCTCACGCTCAGTACCAGCGCGGAGAGGCAGACCCTCACGCAGAGCAGGCTCATCGACCTGGATGACCTTGACACCAGCAGCCTCGAGATCAACGACCTCGTCGCGCAGAGCAAGAGCGAGCTGCTGAGCCTGGACGGACTGGTGAACATCGTCACGGGGGAACGACCACCGCAGGCAGGTGATGGGGCCAGTCAGCATGCCCTTCATGGGCTTCTTAGAGATCGACACAGCGTACTTGGACTCCTTGACGGTCATGGGAGCCGGGCGAGAGATGTCACCCACGATGATGGGGGGACGCACGCAACGGGAGCCGTAGCTCTGGACCCAGGCGTGGGTGGTGAAAACGTAACCGGTAAGGCGCTCGCCGAAGTACTGCACCATGTCGTTACGCTCGGGCTCACCGTGGACAAGGACATCAAGGTCAAGCTCCTCCTGGATCTTGACAACCTCGGCGATCTCCTTCTCGATGAACTTCTCGTACTCCTCGGGAGTGATCTCACCCTTGGTGAACTTGTTACGCTGAATGCGGATCTCCTTGGTCTGAGGGAAGCTACCAATGGTGGTGGTGGGGAACAGCGGCAGCTTGATGCTCTTCTTCTGCTCAGCAATACGAGTAGCGAAGGGAGACTTGCGGTTGTGCATCTCAGGGGTGACGCCCTCCTGGCGGGCCTTGACGGCGGGGTCGTTGGTGCGCTTGGAGCTGGCACGGCTCTGGACCGACTTGGCATTGGCCTCGAGCTGCTCCTTGACAGCGGCAGGGCCCTCAGTGACGGCCTTGGCGATCACGACAACCTCGGAGAGCTTCTCAACAGCGAAGCTGAACCAGTCACGGATCTCCTCGTCGAGCTTCTTCTCGCTCTCCAGAGTGTGGGGAACGTGTAGCAGAGAGCTGGAGGTGGCCACGATGACGCGGTCCTTGCCGAGCTTCTGAATAGCAGCCTCGACCTTCTCGATGGCGGCCTTGAAGTTGGTCTTCCAGATGTTACGGCCATCAACGACACCGGCAGACAGAACCTGCTTGGGGCCCAGGGCAGCGACAACAGTGTCGAGCTGCTCGGGGTTGCGGACGAGGTCCACGTGGATACCGTAGAGGTTCTGCAGCGCAGGGAGGACATCGATGTTGTGGACGATGTCACCGAAGTAGGTAGCCAGGGTCAGGCGGGGAGCCTTGTCACCGAGGTTGCCCAGCTTCTCGTAGGCGGGCTTGAAAGCAGCCTTGGACTTGGCGGGGAGATCGAAGACCAGGACGGGCTCGTCAATCTGGACGTCCTCAGCACCGGCAGCCTTCAGCTTGGCCAGGAGCTCTGCGTACAGAGGGAGGAGCTCGTCCAGCTTGGAGATGGGGTCAACGGACTGGCCACGGTCGGCCTTGCCGAGGGTCAGGAAAGAGACGGGACCCAGGATGACGGGGCGGGTCACAACGCCGGCCTCCTTGGCCTCGAGGAACTGAACCACGGGCTTGGGCTCGGCAGCGAGCTTGAAGACCTGGTTATCCTGCAGGGTGGGCTTCACGTAGTGGTAGTTGGAGTCAAACCACTTGACCATTTCCTATGATCGAGCATTAACATTGGTTGCCATCTCGACAGTAGAAGAATACATACCAGACTGGGAACATCAACACCCTCCTTCTGCAGACCACGACCCATGGCGAAGTACTCGTCAAGAGGGTCGAGGTTGTACTTGGAGTAGCGCTCGGGCACGACACCGAACAGCTGGATGTGGTCCAGGACTTGGTCCTAAGAAAGGGTCAGCGATTGAAGACAAGGCTGAGGGTACGCTCCGACGAAACGGCAAGCGACACATACGTAGAAAGCAAAGTCATTGCTGGGGATGATATCAACGCCAGCAGCCTTCTGGATCTTCCAGTGCTCCAGACGGAGACGCTTGCCCTCGGCGAGGAGCTCATCGCGGGAGGACTTGCCAGACCAGTAGGACTCGGTGGCCTTCTTGAGGTCACGGAGCTTGCCCATGCGAGGGAAGCCCAGAACGGAGCTATCGGAGTGGGAGTTAGTATTGTGTGTTGTGGCCAGTGTGTCCGGATGGAGGGGTAGAGTAGAGACTTACGATTGAACCATTCTGACGGGTGTGTGGGAGGAAAGGAGGGAGAAGGGACGGAGGAGGATGGGAGTTAACGGTGGGATGGTTGGAGAGGGAAGAGAAAGATCAGGTACAACAACAAGAACACAATTGCCCCTGCTGAGAGAAGATGGGAGGAAAGAAGAAGAAGAAAAGGAGGAAAGCGAAAAATGGAGGGGGAGGAAATAGACGAGGGGCACGGGTATTGTGACGGTAAATACAGTGTGTTTTTATGGACTGAATATGGGGATCTCCGTGAAATACATTTACACTATCCACCCCACTAGTCAAAGTCTCCGGGATCGGCGACAGATCACGCCATTCGACAGGCCTAAGTGGTATGTATTATTCTCCGACTGTCTACATACAAGCCCTTGACGTAGGGGCGTAATATACTAGGTACTAAGCGACAATGATCAGGGGTTGATATGCAGCTAAGGGTCGATATTATAGAGTTGATTAAAAGAGAGAGAGAGAGAGGGAGGGAGGGGTAATATTCCTATCAAATTGCGAATGAGACCCGTGTAAACAAAAGTCTTGGTTGACTAAGTATGTACTCTGCCACTCCAGAACTACGACCTAGCAGCATGTAGGGCATCAGCCGGTAAATAGCGAATAAGTAGACCCGGGTAAACAAACGTCTTCGTCCAGGTTTCAGGCTACCGTATACCAAGTTTCGACTGTAGCTATTATTACTCTCCGGCTATGTACTCTACCAACTCACTTCGACTGATAGCGCAAACTATAGGCCATCAGCATGTAAATATCACCACATTACATCCACGCACACCCCGGCACAGCAGCCCCCCTGCCCGCAACCGCCTCCTCCCCAAACTTCTCAACATACCACTTCCGGCCCCAACGAGCATGAGGCAGCATATTCGCAACAGCATTGACAACAAACAACACCCCCGGGAAAGGCAGCGGCACCGCCAACCAATCCGCCAGCCACGCCGCGGGGACCAGCCAGGGCGCGAGGGTAAGCGGGGGCGCGACGAGCTCGCTCCTGGTTGCGAGCGACGCACTAGTCGGGGAGAGAGGGAAGACGGCTGTGCCGGCGAGCGCGAAACCTGCCCACTCCAGCCACTCGAAGGCGTAGTGCGGGTAAAGGATGTAGCGGAAGACGCCTTGGCGGGGCGGGATGACATAGATCTTTGCGCACTTGGTTGTGGTCTTGCTATCGGCATCGTCGGACTTCTTGGCGGATTGTTTGGCGGCGGACTCGCGACGGAGCTGGAATAGTTTGCGCTCGGAGTAGATGTTGCCTACCATGCCGATTGCGAACACTGCAACACCTACCACGGGGAGTATATCCGTGACGACGGGGTAGGAAGTCGCCAGACCCGCGCCGGTGCCGTCAGTCGTGTACCCCGGGACGGGAAGCGCATAGCCGCGCAACCAGCCGGCAATGCACGACGAATTGAACCAGTTAAAGCCCATAGCCATGGCCATGACCAAGACATGGATGGGGGACATGCTGGGCGCGGCGAAGAGGGGCGAGATGATCGCGCGGTTGAAGTAGTGGATGCAGTAGAGTGCGGCGACGAGCTTGTTGATTGTGGGCAGGTCTGCGAGCGCGGGCAAGGTGGGCGATGGGCGCGTCAGGCTGTAGAGGAGGTTGACGGGGCCGACGATCTCCATGGCGCACCAGGCCAGGCTGCCTGGGAGGTTGAAGATCGAGGAGCGCAGGGAGGTTTTGCCAGCTGGGTGCCACGAGATCAGCCATTGGAGGGTGGTGACCTAGATAGGGTTTGTATCAGCTTAAGATCTGGGGAGTAATGGATATGGAGTGGATCTTGTGGTGGTGGGGGGTAGGACGAGCTCACCAGGGGGAAGTACTGGAAGCCGTTTAGTACGACGTGCCAGGCTTCGGGGGTTAGCGGGTAGAGGTCAGCCCCAGAGGGCAGGGAAGCCCAGAAAGAAGAGGCAGTGGCACCCATTGGAGTGTGTAGAGGAGAGATGGAGACGAGGAGAGGAGAAAGGGCGGTCTAAGCCGTCTGGTCACCAAAGGAAAGGAAGCTAGTGATGTAATGGGCGGTGGAGTGGCCGATCAGTTCGATCTGGGGTCAGAGGTACAGGGAACATGTACTTTGCCCAGTTATTCACATTCGTGAATCTACGGAAGTCCTGCATGAATTTAGGGTTAGTGCGAACGGGATGCGATAGAGTGCATAAACTATATCTAGCTAGAAACAGGGATTAGTGCCGAATGTTTATTTCACCCTCGTCAACTATCTAGGAAGCCCTCTTTCTATGGATTTAGGGCTAGTGCAGCGGACAGGGAAGGTAAACAATAGTACAAAGAAATCGGGATATTCAGAGCAGAGGATATATCACAGAATGGATACAAGCGGCGATGGTATCTAATAATCCGGTCCATCTATAGAGACATCATATGCAATCTATCAACCGTCGTCTTCGAAGATATGTGTTGATGTCGATGTTGATGTTGATCAACCCGCCGTCGTGTCCATAAGATCCTTGCGCTTAGCTGCCATTCTTTCCGCCTTGAAAGCCGCAATCTTGGCCTTGAGCTCGGTGTCTGTAAACCCGCCACTAAGTCAGCTGTGGATATTTCAAGAGAAGAAAGAAAATCAGAGCGAAATTCGTACCAGGCAGAACATCCTCCATCTTCAAGAGGACACGATTGAATGGGTCGTGCGGGTCGCTGAGGAGGTGCGAGCGGATAGTCGCGCGGTCAATGGAGACACGGGAGCTGGGGAGGATGACGGGGTCTTCCATCAGGGTGAACATAAGAGGATCTGCGTAGAATTAGTCTCCAAATACACCTGCAAGAAAGCGCGGAATAGAAGAACACATACCCAAGAACTCATCCGGCATTTCACCCAGGTCCTCCTCGGCCTGGTCATCAGCCTCCTTAGCCTCCTGCACCTTCTTCTGCAACTGGCCCCATCGACGTAATTCCTCCGGAGATTTGAGCGACCACTTGCGCAGGATCTCAGCGGCCTTCTCGAAATTCGCAGGCTTATACGAGCGCCCATCGCGCGCAACAGCCACGATGAAATTCTGCTTCTTCATCAGATTCAGATACACGTCGATGATCTCGCTGAGGAGAGACCGCGGACTGAATCCGTATTCCTGGAGATTGTCGACGCGCAGATTGGAGCTCTTGGGTCCCACCATCGCGTCGAGGTTGTAGTCCAGCATGTCGGCTAGGCGCTGCACGATCTCCGGCATGGTGAAGGAGTCGGCGAGTGCTTCGGTGAAGAGCTTCAGCATCGCAACTGTTTCATTGGTGAGTTGCATATAGGACTTGGCGCTGCGCTGGGCGGAGGAGAGGTTCTCTTCGCGTTCTTGGCGCGTGGTCTCGTCCATTGAGTTACCGGATTGGATGAGTTCAACTTGCGTGTTGTGGATTGTTTTGAAGGCGCCGAAGGACTCATCCAGCACGTAGGTCACGTCGTTAAGGAGGAGGTTGACGAATCGGACGAAGAAGTCGAGGTTCTCCTGGGCCTGTTTGGACAGTTTCTCTCGGTATAGGACGTTGGGCCAGATGCATTTGATGATCTGGAAGATCTCGTATCGAATGTTGAACTTGTCAAAGAATTGCGTGTGCGTGCCGGTGTGCTCGGCCTCGATGTAGAACTTCATGATCGCATGGAGGAGATTGTTGTTGGCAAATGGCATCGAGCTGAGAAGGTCCACAAGGGCGCCCCGTCCTCCCCCGGGCCGCGGCCAAGTCCCTCGAAACAGGATGGACACCAACCCGGCCTTGAGATACGGGTTTTTAATATAGTCGGAGCTCTCAAGGAATGTGATGCACAGCATGACCAGCTCATCACCCTGGGTGGCGGTGATGATCTGCGGCATGCACCACATAATGAATTTGAAATTGCTGACAATGTCTTCCAGGAAGTACTCCGGCAGACATTGGAAAACCTCTGGCTGCTTCTCCGGAAGGGGCAGAGAGATCTCTTGGCGAGGAACTTCCTTGCGGGAGACCAGCCTCAGAAGCCAGACCGTGACATATCTCATAAACAGCATCGACCGAGCCTGCCACTGGTCATCAAACAACACGCCCTGAAGACTGTACTTCAAGGCCAGGCCCAGGTCGAGCTTGTCCTTGTATCGCTTGAGAGCTTGCTCAAACACCCGCAGCTGCATTGGATTGCCTGCCCACTTGTGCCGCTCAAGTTCGAACTTGGTGATGGTAGATTCCATGTGTCGGAGGTCCTTCTCGAGCTGCTCCAGCTTCGAGGTTAGTGACTCACTGCCATAGTGATGAGCAGCAACCGTTAAGAAGAAAATCTCCGTGATAAAATTGGACGTTCCCTCAACTCTTTTAGAATAGAATGCATCCGAGGCGTGTTGGTCTGCGTTGATTTTCGTCTCATCGCGCATATCCACTCGCGAATCCCGGTGGAGGTATTCTGCATCGATTCTGTCGATCTTGGTGAAATTGGCATCCATGAAAGGCTCACAGAGCTGGTCCAGGCATGTCGTAATGTTGAACATAAAGCCGTCTGAAGACACCTGCTCAGGATCGACCTGCATTGCGCGCCGTTTGTGATTGATATTCAAAGCCGTGGCGAACCAGTCTAGCACGCGATCGCGTGCCTCCTTCGAGGCCCGAATCATGTGGTTGATCACATCGAGAAGGTCAGAGCTGAGGATCTGCTGCATCATGCGAAGAGACCGCTGAGCATTTAGGATGTATGATTGGTCGCGGGTCTTTGGACTGGAGAAGTACGACATGGTCACCGTACCCTGGAGAGGCGACAGGCTAAACCATGGACCGAGGAGCGTTGTCTTCTCAAACCGAGCAGCATCCCTTGACGCATTGAAAATGGATGACTCTGTGATCGCAGCCGCAATAGCCGCGTGATGCACAAGATTCCGCAATGCCTGGAAAGATAATCGGTAAGCGCATATTCAATGGCTATTTCGGGGGGAAAGCAAACCATAGCATAGGGCTTGTAGTCATCATTAACAGTCTTAGACGCAAGCTCCGAGCTCAGCACCTCGACTGCAGAGATGAAAGCCGGCTTAACGCTCTCGTCCTCTTCAAACCGCTTGACTGCCTCAGTGAGGAAGTCAAAGTCGACACCCTTGTCATCCTCGGGCTCGTTCAGCAGATAGGGCGCTAACGGAGATAGCCCAGACGACTCGACACCAAACATCTCAGGCATGGTAATGGCAAAGATACAATAACTCATACAGAGCCGGCGTGCCTCAACCAGAACCCGAAACTTGGGATCATCATCTCGCGCGCGCCGGAACCCCTTGTGCAATCTGGCAATCCGCTTCCAGCACGGAAGCAGGTAGTCCAGTGGACGTTGCTTTTCCGCCTTGGACGCTGCTTCCAGGAGCGCTTGGTCCAGGACCGCGGTCTGGATGCGCAGCTCCTGGCCCTCATCTTGCAATTCGGCTTGCAGACCGGGAAGATAGATCAGGCCGTTGCCGTGGATATCGCGCTGGCGGTCTTCGCGCAGAGTTAGCTTGAATACCGCGCTCAATGTCCGGTCCTCGAAGGCTTCTATGCTCTCTTCGGGCTTTGGAGGCGGAGGTGTTTTGGAGGCGGATGGGCCTGTGGAGCGGGGCCGGTTTGGGGTTGATGCTGAGGGCGAGGCCGGAGTTATCTTAATTCGTTTTCCTTCTGCTTGTTGTTGCTGCGGTGTGGAAGATCTGGATGTTGGGGTGCTTTCTGGCTTGGTAGACTGTGGAGCGGGCACTGGGGGTTGTGAGGGGGAGGGAGTGGATGGGTTCTGGCTGGAGTCGGAGCCACTCTCCGCTGATGGGGAGGGGTTGGAGAGTTTGGCAAGACGCTTGTTTCGGATCTGAAAAAGAGGTGGGCAGTTAACCTAGTTGTCTAATCGCCGCGGGAGAGGCATGGTGGTGGGTGGTGGGGGGAGCAGCTTACCTTGTCCGCATCAGAGAGAGAGTCGGACATCTTTAAAGGGATAGATGGGCCACCGCGGGAGGGAGAATGTTTGCAGAGTGGCCGGGTGGGTGTGCAGCGGCGGAGGGCAAGTGACAGAGACCGGCGAAGAAGGAAGTGGATCGATATTGTGTTGAGTCGGGGTAGTTATGATGCCAGCTACTTGACTAAGCACGGCGTGAGGTTGAGATAAAAGGTACTCGGCTCACGCGGGAGGTTGCCCGCTTGAACGAAGTACCTCTCATCACAGACTTCATATCCGCACTTTTGTTTAACTAGACGTACTGATCACCACAACCTCGGCATAGACCAACAGCAGAAAGTGGACTTCACTTATGCCCCAGCCCATCTACATCATTGAAGGACCATTCAGCATTAATGTATATATGCATTGCTTGATCAATTATTCCAATGCCTCGCGACTCAAGAGTCTACCAACACTGGGATGCATTCAAATCAAAAGGCACTGTACAGAGAAAAAAAGGAAAGAAAGAACAGAAAAGGAAAGAATCCCAAGACGCCTATCGTATCGTGCTATCAAGAAGGGCACCAAGTCCAGACAAGACAAGATGCCCTAGGAAAGGAAAGGAAAAGAAAAGACCGGACGGTGACCAGATCAATATCTCCCCTTCAGCTGCTCTAACCGGCGACAGCTCTTCAGCTCCATCGCCCTGGCCTCCTTCATCTTCTCGATATCAGGGAAGAACCAGCCCTGCGCCTCTTGCATCTTGCGGTCGCGCACCTGCACCTCGGTCTCGCATTCATAGCGCAGCGTAGTGACATAGTCGACTTCGACGCGCTGGTCCAGTTGACGGAATTTTCGGGCGCTGTAGTCCTCCACATCGACTGGGTTGACGTAATAATTGACGTTAAGTTTGGGAGTGGTGCGGTGCAGTGTGTGCGGCGGGACCGCGGCGTCGAAACGATAGGATGGCCCTGATGGAGTGGAGGAGCCAGTGAAGAGAGACGAGAGGAGCGGAAGGACGAAGAGAAGGAACAATGGGAGGAGTTGTCGGACGAAGGACCACGCATCAGGGGCTTGCTCGGACTGTCCTGCTGCTGCTGCTGCGCGCGGGCGTCGACGAGGCACCCCGCCACCAAACTGGTGAACGCGGAAGCCGGGGCCGCCGCCCATATTGAAGACGAACTGTGGGCCACCTGAATAGACATTAGATGGAGATCACCTTTTGTTGTGCGTCAAAACATACCAAATGGACTGAACCCGCCACCACCCATGCCTCCAAACCCAGCACCGTTGAAAAACCGGTTGAACAACTCCTCCGGCGAGATCTCTTCCTCGAATCCAGGACCACCCGCCGAGCGCGGGAATCCACCGCCACCACCACCAAACCCACTGAACGGCGATGCACCACTGGCCGCCGACGCGCCGGGGTTGAACCTGCTATCGGGATCGCCACCGAACTTGTCATACCGCGACTTCTTATCCGCGTCCGAGAGAATCTGGAACGCCCGCGAGACCACTACCAAAGTGTCAGAAAGAAAGACAGAAACAAAGAACAAGCTCAAGAAAAGGGCCACCCACTCTTAAACGCCTCATCCGCCCCGTCATACCCATTCTTATCCGGGTGCGTCAGGAGACTCTGTTTCCGATAGGCCTTTTTCACTTCGTTCTCTGTGGCCGACTTCTCGATAGAGAGGATCTCGTAGAATGCCGTCGGGGAACATTTGCGGATGCGGATGACGGCCGCCTTTTGCTCGGGTGTGTATTTGCGGTCCTGGTTGCCTTGTTTGTGGTCGCGCGATCGCGCGCCATCTTTGGCGTCGGAGCCGGATGCCGTGGCGGACGGCATGGTGATTTAGAGTCGGACCAAACGAGGGAGAATGACGGTGATGGGTGGATGAGGGAGATGTGGTCTTTTCCTTTTGGGTGGCGCGGGCCCGCGGAGGAAAGGGAGCGAATCCTGCAGTGATAGAGAGAGAGGTGGGCGGTGCAGTGTGAGAGACACTGTTGGCCGGCTTGGATTAATCCAGGGGTTGTTTTCTTTGATGTTGAGAGAGCGAATGTGGAAGGAATGAAGTGGCTGACGGGGTCGAAGTCCAGTCAGTCAGTTGGTTAGTTACGGGGGAAAAAGACGGAGGTATCGGCGGCGCCAAGACATCGCCTTCTTCCGCTACATCCATGATTATTGAACCACGAACTAGATCAACACCACCACATCATGCCCAACTCAGTTGAAGACGCAAAACAAACGCTGGTGCAGCGCTTCCGCGCATGGGGAGGTACTACATCCATCAATTTATTCCTTATCTCATCATTCATGGGAAATCCTGACTGAACTGACTGATTGACATCACAGAAAACTCCTTCCCCCCAACCCTCCTCGCCTCCCTCATTACCGCACAGCACATGCGTCCCTTCCAATTCTTCCCCATGCTCTTTCCGCCTGTCTTGCTATTCACAAGCTACGCCAACATCCAGGGCTTCAAGACCGACAGCGCGGGGATCAGCGCCGCGTGGTCGGGTCTATATCTGCTGCTCGCGGGCCGGCGGCGACAGCCGTTCATGCAGAGATGGGGTGCGAGGGGTATTGTGCGCGGCGCGACGATGGGATTGTGTTTGGTGAATATGGTGGGTGGGGGATTGGCGTATACCTTGGGGAAGAGGGAGGAGGAAGAGGATGGAGATCAGGCTTGAGCTGAAGTATGGTTCTCGGCCTATGTATGATAAGATCTGAGACAAGGGGAAAAGCCAAAAAGGGACCCGGAGTTCTTATTATGATGTACTATTATTTGCCTACCTCAATCTACGAATATGGCTGCTCATCCAGAACAAACTGCCTCGTCTGCTCCGGCACCAACCACTCCAGATCCCGAATCCTCCCTGCCTGCGCCGCCTCTCTTGCCTTGGTCGAGCTAACCGGTTGCTCACCGGCCGCCTTGCCCTCCACCAATTGAATGCGCTGCGCCCACTCGCGTTTCCCGCCCTCACCCTCCCGCTCACCTCTCGCCAACCCATCCACAAACCCGCGCTGCTCCTCCACCCCACCCCAATCATCATCCGGCCGCATGGTCACCCGTAGCCGATGCCGCGCGAACAGTGGCGCCAGTGGCTGCAGGGTATGGCCCGGGGGTAGTATTTGGGATTGAAGATGCGGATCAGGGTATCGTAGCCCGTGAGATGGACCTGTTCGAGCGGGGCGGGTGAGGAGTAGGCGTCCGACGCGTCGATGGTCGCGGCCTTGTCGACGAAGTAGGGATTCTTCGTCACGCCGATATCAATAACCGGCAGGCGAGCACGCTCAGCGAGCGCCGACAAGCCAGTCGTGGCTGGGCCTGGGTTCGCGGCAAGATGGGAGCGCAGATCATGCGCGAATAGCTCCATCATTGCGAGGCGGTCCTCGAAGGAGGCCGGCTTGGATGGTTTATCGGCATTCTGCGTGGCGAGGAGGAGGAGTAGCCGGGCACTGGTTGTTTCTTGGAGGGCCGTGCTGGCTATGTGGAGGTGGGCGAGCGTGGGTGGATTGAAGGAGGCGTCTAGTACGTATAGCGTGGCGGGTGGTGGGACGGGAGGACCCGATGGGATGGTGGCTAGCACATCAAAGTCCTTGGCGGAAGCGATAAAGCGCTTCAGGAGAGTGGCATAGCGGGCCTTGGAGGGGTGAAAGGAGGGGGACATCCTGAGGGTAGTTAATCAGTGGGAAGTGGTAAGTGGCTGGCCGATAAGATAGAGCCGGGGATCATCCGTGTGACCGCCTTCTTTTCTCAGGAAACCGCTTACTGCGTAGACGATTGGCATCCTAAAGAGGAGAGATTATCTACCCCTATAGGAATTTGTCTCTTATGTGTAGGGGACTTAGGATAGTACCAATTTGTTAGGATATCCCCTTCGGCGTGGAGTTGCTCATTACTACATACGGAATACAGGGATCTCGCATTTATCCAAGAAAGAGAGCACGGCAGACCTGTCCCACCGACAGGGCGGCCTAGACGCCACCGACCAGCCCGGATCATCCGTGCGACCCGCCACCAGGACGGCATTTTCTGAAGAGTGGGAACGTGCAATATACCGTCGAATGGCACGGGCGGCTGGTCGACCATGGCTGGTTTATGTGAAACGGGGACGGCCCAATCCAGGCGGGATGGTAGGGATAGGCAATTCTTTGGAAACAAGCGATGGAAGCTAATTTCTGAGGCCCCACTACGCTACTCTATCTGTGATGGAGGCAGAGCCTGCAACATTTTCCCTTTGGAGTGTCTATAGACAGGTACCCGACAGGGAGGGTGTCGGAGATTTAATGATTGTGTGTGTAGGAACAGCAGTGTCTGTATGCATGTAAACGGCTGCTGTACCAGGGACAGAAGAAGGCGGGAAATAAAGAGTCCCGTAGAATGGAAATGATGCGCGGGTCTGGCCGGTGCCTGACACAGTGGGGCAGGTAGGGGTACTTCTGTTGGCTATACACTGCCCATAGTGGACACAAGTACCATATAGATCCACCGCAATGTATAGCCGGGACTTAATATCGAAGGGTCTGTCCCGACTTCTTCTACCTACTTCAACCGGCCACTGCACCTTCGCTTCTGCTCTGTCTGTGTCAGAGAACTTCCTTTCTTTCTCCTTCTGCCATTCCTTCTTTTCTCTCTGCGAATCGACTTCGCAACCACCACACACTCTTTATTTTATCCATCCACTGACATTGACTGTCACTTTATTTCTTCACCATGCACTTCATCAACAAGGTCTCTGTCGCTCTGCTGGCCTCGCTGGCTGCCTCGGGTGAGGCTACCCATCAGGGTCTGCATGCCCGTCGCTTCAACCCCCGTGCTGTTAACGGCACTTCCTCGGTGCTGGTCACCCCGACTCCCCTGCACTCGTCCACCCCCTCCGTCTCGCCCTCGAGCAGCAGCGTGGTGGTGAGCTCCCGGGTCTCCACCCCTCTGGTCACCGGCAGCCATGGCTCCGGTGCTCAGCCCACTGGCTCGGGCGATGTCACCCTCACCTACACCCTGGGCACGGGTACCTCGACCAGCGTGGTGACTACCACCGTCCACCGCACCACTACGGACTACCACACCGTCACCGTCGAGCCTGTTCCCACCAGCTCCGATGCCTGCAACGGCGCTACTGTGACCGTGACCGAGACCGAGACCGTCACTGTGGTAAGTTGACTTTGGCTCCCCAGCAGCATCCATGTAAGACATCTTGTACTGACCTACTGTGTAGGGTGCTGGTCCCACTGACGCCCCCGGCGACAACGGCCACCACTGGGGTGAAGGCCACGACCACGGACACCACTGGGGCGAGGAACACCACCACCACCACGACCATGACGGCGAGGGCGAGGGCAACGGCGAGGGCTCGACTGTGACCAGCATCTCGACTGAGGTTCCCACCTCTACCCCGACCCCCTCGTTCTCCCGTCCCGCCCATGGCAACGGTACCCTTCCATCCTTCTCGCGTTCCAGCGTCGTGGCCTCGTCCACTGGCTTCGTGACCAGCAGCAGTGCCAAGGGCTCCTACCCCACTGGCTTCCGTCGCCGCTACGTCTAAGCTAGTTCGACGAATGTAGGAAATGAGACGAAAGATCTCACATCTCTCCGTCTCGCTACATACTAGCCCGTCTGTCTGTCTGTCCTTGATGCGAAAGTGAACTTTGACTGGATCTTTCTTGCGCCTGGGGCGCGGTGGTTATTGCCATTTTTCTCTTCTTGATGGTACAACCAGACCTTCTTGTTCGGCAATTTACATTTCAATTTTTCTCCATTTCTTCTTCTTGCGTGGTGATATCCTCTCTACTGGTGGGTGGATCGGTTTGCTGTCTCGACAATTTCCCACACCACATCTCATCGCACCTCGTCCACTCCAGCGAGAACCACCGACGCATTCAATTCTTCTTTTTCAATGGACCCTTGTCCCCTTTCGAGTCCCTTGGTCTCATCTCTTTTTCATCTTCTTTTTGACCTCGGAAAAAGTTCACGTATCAGCGATGGGTGTCCATGGAGGGTGGTCGACTCGCTTTTCGGATTACATTGTACAAAAAATTCGTCCTTATTCTCGTCTTTCAATCTATGTAGGTAGAAGTGAATACAGGACTTTAGATCTACTCTTTGTACTTGTAGACTAGCATTGATTTACCCTGTCGGTCACTCATTGGCTGTTAAGGTTAGGGTTGTGGTGGCTGAAGAGCTTGGCATCCTATTCAATACTTGCAAACGCCTCAAACAAGTCGAACATGATCATTGACCAATAATAATCCACTATATGCACATATTAACCTGTCTACATGCGAAGCAAACTGTAACGCGGACGAAAAATCAAGGTCGGTGCTGATCCTACGCAGGTGTCTAGGAAATTGTCCGACTTTTGATTGATTTGGCTGGTATCGAGACGATTATCATCTTCCGGCAATTAAGGCCTCAGTTTACAACTTACAATAGACATACTGTACAACCCCTGAGACACCTAGGTAATTACAGACCAAACTCACTCAAGAGCCCCCATTCCACTCCTCGCAATTCGCTCCCGCATATCTTGCCATTCAAGCCAAGTCACACCCTGCAACAGACAATCCGCCAGATCATCTAGTTTCCCAAGTGTGAGTGGCTGCTCATGCTCATCATTCTTCGAAGCTCGCGTTGTGGTCCTCTGCGTCTGCCCTTTCCACTTCCGCAGGTAGGCACCAGCAAGATTCTGTACGTCAGCCTGCTTCTCATCCAGTATGAACTTCTGCACTTCATCTCCTTCTCTGGCAGCAGCAACAGCTTTTGGTGCCGTTGCTGCGAATCCGGGTCTGGGGCTAGATGATGCAGCTAGTAACCACCGTCCCACGAGGTCAATCTTTGCCTTTTTCACCTCTCTCGCATTCATCTTTTGCTTCTGCTTCTCCTCAACCCCAATCCGAGTCCCGCCCTCAGAATCGGAATCAAGCCAGTACCTAACCACCCTCTTCGGCTCAACCCCTCTTACACAAACATCCGCAAACTCCCCACCGCGCTCCTGCCGCAACGCATGCAAGATAGCATACAACATCCCCTCAAACACACCAACCCGCAGCGTCCATTCCTGCACGGCGCTGCTCCCGCCGGAGCGGAAGCGCTGCCGCTCGATTAGGATGTGCGTTGGGCGGTAGGCTGATAGCAGGGTTGTGAGGAGGGTGTAGGCGTGCGAGGCATAGAGGGGTGGGGAGAAGGGGATTGCTATTGGGGTAGGGGGTTTTTGCTTTCGCTTTTTGGGGGGTGAGGCTGAGGTTGGGTCTTCTGGTGGTGGGCTGTCTTTTCCGAGAGCAGGTGTTGGAGATGGAGAGATTTGTTCTGAAGATGAAGAAGATGGCATGGATCTTCCTCCCAATTCCACGCTCTGCGCCAGATCTAGTCCTGCGAATTCCGAAACCGCAAGCCGGCGCCACGCTGTCAGTTCCGGCATGGCAGGAATAGCCCCAGAACCCTCCCCGCTGCGGGATTTCGGTATGCGCAGATGAGCGAAGGCCAAATTTTGAATCCCCATATCGATACTGAGGATACTCCACTGATCCCGTGGACTAGGATGGGAATGGGAATGGGAATGGGAAGTATTCCCAGTATTCCCTCCGGACACAGTAGCACCATTTCCATGTTGGGATGGCACCAGAGTACTTGCACTTGTACATGCAGACGTCTGCGAATTGTGAACGGGCAATTGCAGTTGCAGCTCCGCTTCAATCCTGCGGATCAGATCTCCTTTCGTGCCTGAGGACTGAATGCCCGTTGCGCGGGCGATGCGCTGCAGCTGAGCCGCTTTTAGGAATGTGAGCCATGAAGCCGGAGTGGCTGGTGCTATTGAGAAGAGAGTGGGGGTGAGACGCATTAGGGGGATGGGAAGATTAGTATGTGGAAAGACGGTGTTTGATTTACGGCAACAACGCGAGCGGAAGGGTGCACGGACCAGGGCCGCGTTCATCGGGGATAGTAGACCCCTTCGAGTATATATGAACAGGTGCATCTGTAGTACTCCTGGCAAGAAATTGCCTGGTTTCGATGGCATTGCAGTTCAGAAGAAAAATGTGATATGCCTGACTATCGGTACCTACACCTCTAAAAAGAATGCGCCGTCTATCGCCCCCAAAACATCCAAAACCAGACACTACTAGAAAATGAAATCAAAAAAAAAAAAAAAAAAAAGCCAGCCCGATGCCTCCCACCGTGTCCAAAACCCAAAGTAGACAATGCAAGCGCTGAAAAGCATCAATCACAGAAAACAAAATTAACTATAGTAAGCTCGAGCTCGGCGCGTCTTGCTCGGCGATCTCGTCGCGGAGATAGAGGAGCGGAGCCCAGACGCGCCAGTGTAGGATGCCCATGTGGGCGAGGCGCATGCCGACGCGCTCGATATCGTATTGTTGCGGAGATGTCGATGTCGATGTCGACGACGCAGCGGAGGATGAAGATGCGGACGTCGAAGAGGAAGAGGGAGTGGTCGAGGCTGGCAGTGATGATGGTGGTTGGGGGCTTATTCGCTGAGAGTCACAGATAGCCAAGGGCGATAGAGGCAGGTATCTGCGCGCCGAGGCCAGCGTCGCAGCCAGGATCTTGTCGCGCATGGCGTTCTGGAAATAGCGAAAGAGCTCCGACTCATTGGACAGGTGCCACTCCAGGGCCTCCTCGATAGGCCCAATGACCTCGTCGGCGACGACGGCGTCGAGACAGCAGGCCGCGCCCGCAAACCGGGCAATCTCCAGCGCGACAGAGCGCATATTCCGCAGCCAGCAGGGCCCGCCGCGGAGATCTGGGTCGTCGTCTGCGCTGGCGGTGCGTGCGCCGCCCGACCCGTCTTCCAGCAGGGACCAGATCCGCGAGCGGAAGGTGGAGTATGTCTCGGCCGGCGCGGAGAGATACCGCTTCTGCGTGTGCACGTACGACTCGAAGATGTACCAGGCCACGTCGAGGTTGATCAGATTCTGCACCGTCGAGCGCAGCTGCCACAGCCGGTCGGAGTCGAAGAGGAATGTCTCTGGAAAGGCTTCTGGCGCGTGGAATTGGAGCAGATGGCCGCTTATCCCGCGGAAGAGCGCTTCCAGCGGTTTGAAGCCATTTCCTGTCTCAGCCTCGGTGGAAGGACTCTTTTGTTCGTCTTCGTGCCGGGCTGCTTCCCGTGCGGCGAGGTACCAGAGTCGTGCGGATTCGACCTGGAATGTGCCGTTGCTGGTTTTGCCTTGGAAATACTCCTGCAGAAAGGGCACTGTATCTTCGATGAGTAGGACCCGAAATGCGCGGATCTGGTGGTTGGCCACGTCCTGTAACATGAGTCAATTGAGAATTCTCGGCTCCGTATGCAACAATCTTACCAGCTTCATTGCCTCCAAAATGGCGAATAGCGTCTGCAAGCCATCGACGATCTTATGTGGATCTTGCGATTGCGATCCTTCGGTGATCTGCTCGACCATGCAGTCCGCCCACTCGTCGCGCATCGGTGCGCAATGTGTCTTGAAGAGAGCAGCCAGCCACGTCGCCAGCGCCACCATATCCAACACTCCCTTCCGGATCTGCTGCATCAGAAGCGGTACTTCGAGATTTTGCGTGACGCTGGCATGGTCCTCTCCGGGGACCAAGGTCTTGATGACATCCTGCAAAGTCTCGAACATGGTTGGCAGCCGAGGCTCGAATGTCTTGCGCGTGCCGTCGGTCCGCTCTTCGAGGATAGCGTCGGTGTTGGCAGCGCAGAAGGAATAGATGGCGATCTCGGCGGCCATGGCATCCCAGTAGTCGGCGGCCTCTTTCCGCTTGCGTTTGCCCTTCTCGCCCTCCAAATCCGGCTTGAAGTGCAGGTCGCGGTCGAAGTTGGCGTCCATGCGCAGATTGATGTTGCTCATGATGCATGGCAGATCGAGCTCGCTTAGCGTCTTCTTCGTCACCGGCGGCTGTCGTTTCGCCTTACCCAGTAGTCGCACGTTGCGTGAGGATAGCCCCAGCGCTTGTGGGATGGTCATAGCTTCTGGCGAGGGCTTGGAGGGCTCTTGGGGCGCTCGTGGCGCAGCGACCGAGGCGGATGCATGGCGGGATGCTCTGGGGGGATGTAAGAAGGTCGGCTGCTGGCGACGGCGCAGCGGTTGCAAGTTGGACGGAGTGTCATGATGGCTGTGTGAGTCGGATCTCTCTTTCGAACGGCCGCTGCCGGCTCCGTAAGCGTCCAAAGGCCCTTCACCCTCCTCCTGCTTGCGCGCCTCTTTGGTGCCCTGAAGATCCATCGCTGGCTCTCCGGACTCTAGGATGTAGTGTCAGACGAGGGTGTTTCAGCGATACTCAACCATCACCCCTTACCACTAAGGACGTAGTGTCTAACTGCTGTTGAATTAAGCACCCTCTCAATGCATGCAACTTACTTGGCTGTGTTGAACGAACGCCTGTTTGCCTGAGGCAGGCAGGCAGCCACTCGATGGGTGAGGCGTGCGATCTGCACTCGACGGTCGCCTCGTGTTGATTGATGGGAACTTCAAAATTCAAGAAAAAGGAAAGACAAAGCACAAACAGCTCAAGTAGCTGGACGGGGTCGCGCAGGGACGGGAAGCAAACAATGACCAGAGCCACCCAGAGGAACGATTGACTCGCGGAAAAAAGAAGAAAAAGAGAGAAAAAATAAAAGTTCAAAAAGTGACGGGGATGAGGGGGCCGACTGATATAGGATCTCAGGGACGTTTTCAACATGACGGGAGCAACATCGGCTCATCAGAGTGAGGCTGCCCGGATTCGGGGGGACGCAAGCAGAGAGCACATTCCAGCTGCTGCTGCTACCCGATCGATGAACAGAACAACACTAGTTCGTGCAAATGGTACGAACAGGGGAAAAAGGAGTGGACACCGCTATTTTGTGATCGATGATGAATTGAGTTGGGTGATCCAGGAGGTGGTCCATCCCCATCCAAGGGGGTGATAGATCGAGCGACGCCTCACTTTAGCAGTGGCCCACTGGCACAACCCACGCGAGGACTCGCCTCACCCAGATCATTGCGCGGGGAACCGCCAGCAGTGACGATGCGGTCTGTTTGGCGATCTGTCTAGCCTGTCGGGATCGACTCTAGACTTGGCCAGGCTCGGGTTTGTTCTGGTTGTACACATCCAAAAGGGGTTCCAGTTAGGGCAGCGGATGGATGCCTGATTGATGCCTGAGAACGCGGGCATGAAGACCCTCCTTAATAACTAGTTGGGGCCAATATTGATAATTCGAGGAGGCCGAGATGGAGTCAGTTGATGATCGAAACTGTTTTGCTCTGTTCAGTTTCCATTCCTAAATAAAATATCGCCGTTACCTCAAGAGGAACCACCCATCCTTATTGACACCAGAATCCGGACATCCACTCGCCCTGAATAAGCACTTCGCCCGCACCGTCAAAATGGCCGTCCAAAAGGACAGAAGAAAGAATTGCTTGAATTCAGTTCATCATATCGACAGATACGCTGGTCATCCAGATCGTCCCAACCATGGACATCGCCGTGATGCTGTACGTCCTCCAAGTACTCTGGACAGTCGGAGGAGGACTATTCTCGCGATCAAAGACCGCCCAGTTTGAAGTCCACGCTTTGCCAAACAGTCCCTCTCTACCCACCAGCTGGGCTGGTCAATTACCAGTCCCAGGCACGAAGGATGGCAATGCGCTCTTTTTCTGGCTGTTCCATACAGAAGACCCCGCTTACGACGACAATCTGATCAGTGAGTTCTGCCCCAAGAAAAGACATGAAAGTACAAAGTACACTAATGATGCAGTTTGGTTTAATGGCGGGCCGGGGTGTTCATCCTTGATAGGACTAGCCAACGGCAATGGGCCGATCTCCTTCGTCGGCAACTCAACCCAACTGAAGCGGAACCCTTATTCATGGACACGGCTCGGTCATGTCCTGTACGTGGACCAGCCCGTGGGGACAGGCTTTTCGACTGCGAGCATCCCTTACCCCGTGCGCGACAACGAGCGCACGACGGCGGATTTTGCGCGGTGGCTGCATTCGTTCTTCGCGTACTTTCCGCATCTTCAATCAAAGCAAATCCACCTCATCGGCGAGTCTTATGCGGGCATCTACATACCTTACTTCGCAACCGCGCTTGTAGAAGGAGAATATGCGCTCCCGCCTCATCTCCGCTCAATGTCCCTCGGCGATGGGTCCTGGGGCAATGCGGCCGCCATGTCATCGGTAGCAATGGGGGCATATATGCGTTCACAGAACACTCTCCTCCAGATCCCGCAAGATGTTATGAGGATTTTTACAGACGCAGATCAAACATGCGGGTTTGATGACGTGCTAGCAGAAGCAGCCGTCTATCCTCCCAAGGGCAAGATTCATATCCCCGGTAACCCGGAGAACTTCAATTATCGTCGCCAACAACGGGAGCAGCGGTATGAAAGGACGCCAGCCTTAGATGGCGAATGCGACATCCAGCCCTCCACTGCAGCCGAGGTTTACACCTCTATCTTCAACTCGACCTGCTACGGGCCATGCGCCACCTTCTCCACAGCAGTGGACTACCTCCTAGCCAGGGACACAGACAAACAAGCCTGTTTCGACGTCTACGACATCCGCCACGACTGCAACACCGTCGACCCACTGCATCTTCTAGAAGCATACTTCAGCCGCGCGGATGTACAAGCCGCCCTCCACGTCGAGAACAGCGGCACATACAGTCCCTGTAACCCAACCATCCTAAGCACCCTCCTCGAAGCGCCCTCACCAATTCCACCGGACTACCATCTCCTCCCAACCCTGGTAACAAAATACAATATCTCTCTTCACCTTTATTCGGGGGAATGGGATATGCTGATCAATCACGTCGGCGCGGAACTCTCCATCCAGAACATGACATGGCGCGGTGCGCAGGGTTTCTCGCAGAACCCGTCTCGACTGTTTTATGGAGATGATGCTGCGCCGTCGTCATCTTCTTCTGCTACGGCGAGATCACCGAAGGCGACTTTCTCCAAAACTGTTAGAACCGAGGCCTTGGGAGACGTGGCGGGAACGTGGGCAGCTGAGCGAGGAGTGTCGTATCATCTCTTTCGGGGGGCAGGGCATAGTGTCTTTGCCAATAAGCCGCGAGAGATGTTTGCTTATGTGCGAGATGTGGTGATTCAAGGGAAGGCAGGTTGAACTTGAGGATGCTTGAGAGGGTCAATGGAGGCGATGCGCATTTGTGAATATTGCAATAGTTGCTGATGGTGATGAGGTTTAAAGTAGTACAGAATTGTGCCAAATTATGGACCACGGAAACAAGAAGCCGCTTTCTGCCTCCAGTGAATGATTCGAGTAGCAGTTAGCGGGCAGTATCGTATGTGCTAATTACAATCCATGTATCCTTCAGACTGCCTTCTTAGCCAAGACCCAATGAAATGGGACTTCGCGAGAAACCCCATTCTCTTCTTCAATGTCAGTTTTCACCTCATCAATCACCATCTCAAACCCAATATCACGAAGAATTGCTCTCGTTTTGTCTTCGCCCCATCCACTCCAATACATCCCGCCCTTCGTACTACCCAACCACGACTGAACAGAGGAGCCTTCAAAATCCTGCGCAGCAAAGTTGGCCAGGAAATACCCTCCAGGTTTCAGCCATCCGTAAATGCGATGCAGCATAGTAGTCTGCTCATCGCGTGGAAGATGGATAATGGAATACATAGCCAACACGGCGTCGAAGTGCTCTTTATCGAAAGTCAAGTCCATCATGTCGCCTTGGATAAGCCTCACTGACTCCGGGAGCCGCTGCTTTGCCAATGCAATCTGTGCCGCGGAGATGTCGTTCGCGGTTACACTGGTGTTTTCTCGGGAGGCTAGGAGCTCGGTAACTGGTACGCCGGCGCCGCAGCCTAGTTCGAGGATATTCATTCCGGTTGCCTCTTCATTAGGATGGCTGTGATGTTTTAACATGGCTTCGACATATGAAAGCCGTACACCGTGGGTGGATTCCGTCCAGGTTAAATATGTCGGCGCCATATCGTCGTAGGCCAGTCTTATGTCGTCTTTGACTTTGAGGGTATTGTTTGGCTCGGCCATGTTGATAGAGTGGATCTGGAGTTGGGGGTTTACCCTCTGACTGATGGCAATGTATTCAGAAGAAACACTGGGGTTCGAAAGGATGGGCTGGGGTGAGTCGGTCCTAGGATAAGAAATAATTAGTTATTTCCGGTAGTAGGAAAGTCCCTCTTAACCGAAGATTTTATAAGATGACTCATTTGGGACCCCCGGTTGTACAAGCGAGAGTAACCAAAGCTGTTTTAGCATTGTTTCAAAGTGGTATTCAAAATCAGTTTTCCCTCTAACCTAAGCTATTCTCCCTCTCGTTCTAACCGAAGGCCCCACCTCGAATGAAACCACGCAAGTGACAGTAAACACTCCTGCATTCTGATAGGATGTCGCGGATTGATCTGGAAGACCGCCCTTAATGTGGCTTGAAATTGACCCGGCATCCTTTACTTGACGTCCGGTCCTAACACTCATATTTTCTTGGGTCGGGTGTCTTGCGTCCTGCGTTTGTGAAGTGGGCAAGCGGGACAGGGGGCAGAGGTGTTGGCCTGACCACCGGGAGCATCGTTTGCTATGACCGAAAGCGAAGACACAGTCGACTCGATTGGAAAGCTCCCCAATCCGGGGGTTGGATTTTTAAATTGTAAACAGGGGCCTATGTATGCAGCGACAGAATGGCCCCGGCGGTGGGTACAGGGTGACTGGGATCCCAAAGCCCCAAGAGGTCCAGGAGACTCAGACAGACAGCGAAGTATGCGCCAAGGAGACGACCACACACACTGCTGGCTACATACCGATGAACATCCGTACCACCTCCCTATTATACACGTAGTTAGAAGTAGAGTATTTCGGAACTTCCCAGGAATAGAAAGAGGCAGGTGGGATCTGAAGTACTTTACCAAGGTAAACCTGACTTTGGATAGGACTCTATCTTGGGCATTTGTTCCTTCCAAAAATGAATATCTTTTGTTAGAAATAATCATCAAGAACAAGGGGAAGGTGAAATAAAGGATGGGCAATATAGTATGGCTTCGGACGATGTCGACAGATTTATCTCCATCACAAAATTAGATAAAAATGACTAGGCAGAATAGTCATGAATCCAGAGAGTAGGGTTTCTTCATTGGCCAACATGTGTCTTCCTTTGGGGTAGTTTGTTTGGGGCAGATATTATGTGCACATACCAATCATAGGGCTGTCTACTTCTCATACTCTAGCAACGACCGTAATCGATTCACAAGAAAAAGTAATAATTATCATTCCTTGAGCTACACATCTACATAATTCGCTATTTATACTAATTCTTGCTAGGGATACTGTGCGCACTAACTGCAATCATTGCGTGTCTGAGAGTGTGGCCGGGTGAAGGATATACTTGCTAACCACAAATCAACTATGAAACATAAAGAGTAAGAATGATATCTAACACATTCGGAATTTATCAAGTGTTATCAACATGATAGAATATGATCCCTGTCGTTGTCAAAAGGGTTCATCATGAGTCATGCATCAGGGGCAGATCACAAAAGCGGGCCAAGACTTGCCTAGGTGACTTGAGATCAAGAGAGACCACACTGTAAACAAAGAGGCTAGTCAAGACGCGGTTACGTAGAAATGAGAAGTGTCCATATCCATAGATACTATATGATGACACAAATACAAAGGTTGCCTTTGTCCCTCTCCGGAAAAGCCACAAAACGCCCACTAGTCTGAGAGCTACAAGCAGCTGGATAGGTAAATAGTACATGTCCATGACCATGATCAAAAACAAAAGGCGGAAAAATGGGAAGACAGCGCTGGAGATCATCATTCATAGAAAAAAGCCTGGAGCAAAAGCTAGATCACCGACGACTAAAGTACGGCGCCTGATGCCCCATCGAGAGTAAGGAGTCCGCGCGCTGGAAAACGTCTCCTTCAAAGAACTTGTCACTGTACGCACTGGCCGGTGTGGAGGGCACAGTAGCCTGCGCGGCCGGGCCGAGTGCTGCACTGAGCGGTGTAGCGGGGACGGTGACAGACTGCGGGGACAGGCTGGCACTGAGCTGGAAGGCGTTCGGGTGAGAGATGGCGGAGGTGGAGGACGAGGTTTGGTGTTGGGAGTGCGTTGTCTGCAGGGGCGGGCCGTACAACGTGCTTGCGCCTTGGGTGGATGCCATGTCGGCGAGGTAGGACCACGGAGAAGCCTCGATCAAGCGGCCGGCTTCCCGACTGGCTTTTTGGACGGGGCGCAAGATGATGATGATATCGCCTGGGAGGAGTTGCATGCTTCTCACTTCGCGCATGTCTGTCACGAGTTCCACAAATGACTGCATGAATGTCTTGCAGAGCTGCCAGAATTCGCGTTGATTGCGTAGTCCGCCACCTGGTTCTTTGACTTTCATCGTGGAAAGGCGGATGCCTAGTGCCTCCGATACTTCGAGGCAGAATCTACATCGGCGAATAAGGTTGTTCCAGACAATCTGTATTCCCTCGGACTCGCGTGATTGTTCTGCCACCTCAAGGCATCGGGAAAATTGCCGGCGTGCGAGAGGCAATGCTTGCAGGGCAGCCGTGTATGCGGATGTGAGTTGGTGGAAGATCTTTTCGAAGATCCGTTCCTCTTCGATCTCGTCTAATCCGGTCAAGGGGTTGATACGAGGCATGGCGGTGGTGGAAATAGGAGGGAAGGTTTCCCCAGAGCGGGGTGTTGCCATTGAAGACGGCACAGAGGTGTTGACCAAGTTCGATCGGCTGCTGGAACGACTGCGGCCATAGTTGAAGGAAGAGGATGATGTAAAGCTAGGCGACCCTGAGGCAATCTGGCTGCTTGCAGTCAACGGCATGGGTACGGACGCGGGGGCTGGGGATGTCGGATTGTGGTATCACTTCGGAGGCGCCGAGTTGGCGGGGTTTGGTCCCGTGTTGGAGTGACCATGGGGCCCTGGAACCGGTCCGTGGCCGGTGTCTCCTTAATCACCGAACGTCCTTCGCGTTTTGTGGGGGAGAGAGGCTTGTTAACAGATCGGAGTGGGACGTTTAGACTGGCACAGGCGTTTCGTAGCTCCACGAGACTGCCATACATCATCAACATCAGCGATCGTACATATCGCCCGTCACCATTAGCAACAATCTTGGCCGCTGTATGGCGCAGCTGTGTGCCAACATGAGTGTAAGCCCTGATGCAGGTCTCGCATTCACTCTTCACGGTCTCTGTAACTGACGATGAAGAGTCCGGATCCTCGGTCAACAAGGTTTCGGCGCCCTCGAGAGCCTCATTGAGCCGATCCACATGTGTGGAAGCATTGTAGAAAACGATTTCCAGGCTGTGTCGTCGTGTATCGTCGCGCTTGATCACGTTTATCAGCGTGGAAATATGGGAGTGGACCTGGAAAAGTGCAAACAGGATCCCTTTGGCGCACTTGATGATCGGTTCATCAGGTCCTCGCTCGCCCTTGTGCTCAGGAAGACTAGACATCCGATTGACCCATCCGTCCCGGAGACGCCTGCGTTCTCCTCTTGGGCTACCAGGGCTTGAAGAACCACTGCCGTTGGCAGGTGCCGGACCGGCCGGGCGTGCTCGAAGAACGGATCCATGACTGAGACCTCGCAGGTGGCTGTTTTGATAGCTCCCTCGACGCGTTTCGTCCAAGGTGCCGAGATCGGTATTCTTGCGAGTAATGACCCCCATGCGTTTGTTCCGGGCCGCAAAGGATGCTTGGATGATGCCTTCGCTGTTGCTGCGGTTACGCTCAGCGGCAGTGTGTGGAGTAACGCCAGGGCGCTGAAGACCAGCCATTTGGTAGGTAGCACCTGGCTGTCCCGACGCCATGCGATTGTGGGATTTGACGGGGATGGGCGGCGGAGGCCGCGACAGTGACGGTGATCTGGAGGACGCTGCCGAGTTGTCCCCAGTGCTTGGAATCACGGGGAAACGACTACTCAGCTTCCGTTTGACTGGCTGAGGTTTCGGGGGATCGAACGTCCCATCACTGGATTATTTGTAAGTCTATCATATATTCGCATGTCTTGTAGCACATACCTCGTGTCATTGCCGCCCTCTGGCTCTGGCGTATTTGCTTGCTGGCGAACCTTGAGGAATCTCTTCAAATCGGCAGTCACCGCCACCTCCTTCTCATTGTCTGTCATTGCAGAGCTGGCCATGTCATTTTCAGAGTCCTCCAAGGTACGCCGCAGGGGGTATTGTAATGGATTGCCGGCGACCTTGAGAATCTGAAGTTTATTCATATCGGAAAGACCGGGTGGTAGATCGTCCAGGCGATTCTGCATGATAGACAGCACCCGCAGCGAGGACAGTTTCTTGATTTCATCAGGTAGGGTAGTGATTTTGTTTCGACTGAGATCGAGAATCTCCAGAAGCGGCAACTTGTAGACCTAGTGAAGGGTCAGCAACGACCGGTAACGTAAAGGGAGATACTGCATACTCCTTTGGGGAATTCACGGAAACTATTGGCTCTGATGTTGAGGTATCGGAGATGAGAGCACTCGGCGAAGCGATACGGAATGTGGAAGAGGTGGTTGTTGGACAAGGAAATCCTGGTTGCGTTAATTAGCATCATTCTCTTGTCCAAGACTTCAGGCGAAGAGTCACCTTTCCACTTCATCTTTGATTATATCCACCACAGGCTCTGGGATTCGTACGATGCGAGAATGCCCCAGATCGATGGTCAGCTTCGGCTTGACCACCTGGCTAACAGCCTCGCTTCCGGCCAACGAGCGTTTGGTATCCTGGATTCCCGTTTCTACCGTGCGCCGCACAAGATCAATGGTCTCGTCGGGGCTGAGCAGCCTAGATGCGGCCGGTCTGCTACTGCCGCCATGGGTTTCGCTCATTGCTGTACCGGGCCTGCTCCCGTCGTCGTCGAGACCAGGGGAAACATCGTCGCTCGACAGGCGAGGCGGCACCTGCGCCTCCAGCCCTTTTTCTGTATCATCTTCGTCAGCCTCGCCGCGAAACGAGCGTGGCCCGCGTATGGTGTCCTCCGGTCGGATCATCGCGGCGATCATGCTCGGGAGCCGCCCAGGCGTTACTGATCAGCCACGCGCCCAGCGTGGGCGTTCCTTCGGTCCTGTTCACAGCAGGACAGATGACAGGAAGTTTGCGAGAACGTGAACTGTTACCCGGTTAGGACAGGGCGCGCGCACTGACACGGGGCATGGCTGGTGTGAGTCGCAGTCGCGCAGGTCCGGGGTGGTTGGGCGTGAGAGAGTCTGTGGGGGAATGAAACACCGTCCAGGAGATGGGTCGGGGTCGGTCGGTCGATCACAAGAACGAGAAGGATTCGTTCAGTCCGGTTTGGGGCAACACAAGTGGGCAGCACAGGCAAATTAAGAGTAATGGGGCAGGCGAGTTGGAGATCGGGCAAGCAGGACGTTGTTATCGATGAGACATGCCCGATAAGCCAAGCGGTGAGGCTAACAATTTAACGATGTCAACTACGCTTACTGTTATGGATTTGTCCAACCGGGGGAATTGTTTGGATGAAAGCAAGTATAATAATGTACATTGGCCTGCCAACCTCTATGCTGCCGCCGCTGGTGCCTCTTCTTCGGGCTCTTCTAGCGACACCGCTTGCTCCTCCATGATCTCTGGCGCTCCCGACAGAGCCGCCTTGCGCTGCTCGATGATCTGGGCTTCTCGTTGCGCCCACTTCTTCCACCGCTCGAACTGCTGGTTCTCCCCCTCCATTCCCATATCCAAGTGTCGCGGCCCAAAGATTGCGCCTGTGGCCTCGGCCTCCTCAGCAGCAACCCGCCGCTCAATGTCCTCCTTCAAGCGAAGTCGATAGAATTCTTGGCGGGCTTGATCATAGGCCTCGCTCTTAGTCATGTTTGGAACGGTGTTGAGGAGGTAGAGCTGCCGTTGGACAACACTAGTAGTTGATGTCAGTTCTGGGTCGTAGATAGAACAACAAGAGAAACATACCTTTCGCCATCCAATCGCTTTCCGGGCTGCTGGATCCGGCTCCAGTCATAGTTCTCAAAGTCTTTGCCAGTGCTTTCGAGGAGTACACGAGGCCGGGCAAGTTCCCACGGGTGGTCGCGGAAGAATTCTCTTCGAAGTTGATCCTCCTCGTACTTGATTTCCACGGGCTGGAAAAGACGGCTGGCCTTCTTCGGCTTGATGCGCTTCTCCTGGACTTCAAAGACGACTTGCGGTTTTGAGGACCCCTCGACGGTCTTCAGGCGCTGCCGAACGAGTTGATGTTGAAATGGTCGGGTGCGAGTAATCGTTTCGGCAGGAGGAATCTCGCTGACCGCATCGACCCATTGGGGCAGCTTGCTGGTCTTGCCGCTGGCGAATTGGCTGAGCGCCGTCTGCCGCACGCGCAGGGCTGTGAAGTTGTACTTGCCCATGGACGGCAGAAGGAGCCGACGGCGGCGTAAATTGCAAACGGTATAAAAGACACAGAGTCCGAGGACAATGTCAGCGGGCGTAAAAACTGAGCGACCGGGCGACTCGAGTAGTTAGTTGGGAGGGAGCGAGGGTGTGGTGCTGGAGAGAGAAAAAGACGACGAGGTTAGCTAATGCGATTGGCCCCTTAGCCTCTCCGCCCGGCGGCAGAAAGACCAGAAAAACACTCTGCTTTCAACACTTCTCCCCGTCTCTCGAACTGCCTCTTGAGCACTCCTCGTCTTTTCTTCTTCTTCTTTCGTGTTGCGGGCTGGATCTGCCAATTGGACATGCATGGCTGACCCGGTGCCACCATGTCAGCCAGCTCATGCCTCCTTCCACCTCATCCCCAAGCTCGTCGAGCCTGCGACATCCTCCGCAGCAGGCCGCCGATGGGCTCGTCCTTCCCCATCCCAGTCCCATGCCTAAACCGATCCGTCTATCCTACAATATCTCTTCCAGAAAACTCGCGACTCGCCCTCGTCCTCGCCCGACAGTCGCGTCAATAGCGGACGTTTTCGTCAGCTCTTTGGTGCTGGCGAGCTTCTGTCAGGAACACTCGCCGCGTCGTCGAGGGCTGTCGACAATGTGCGCGAAGGCGCCGGAGTATAGAATGCAGAGGTGTCGGGGCAAGGATATTTCTGGCAGTATGCCGCTGCCATCAAAGAAGCGATTGGAATATATGATGTCCGCAGAGAACTTTTCGCCGGCTCGGCGGTTTATGAGCAGCGGACTGAAGCCTGCAGATGAACTGGTGACAGAGGAGGATAGCCAGAATCACAAACTGGAGCATAAAACGCAGCCTGACAGCAACGGTGCACGTTGCAATTTCCCAGAAGACAACGAGTCTGAGGAGCATCTGGATTCAAAGGAGTCTTCCCGCGAAGGCAAATGGGTTCAACCAGACAAGAAACTCTATCGCTCTATTTCCAATCTCTACCGCACGACTTTCAATTTGGGCCTTGATTGGAAAGAAGCTGCAGATATCGTGGCGTTCCCGCAAAAATCAATGCGCACCACAGAGGATCACTCACACGATGCCGTCGACATTCCGTCTGTTGCAAAGCTTGTCGAAACGTTACGGTCCGATCGAAAACCATCTACCCAATATCTTTTTCGACTCTATAGGAGCATCCCTGCGCCAGGAGTTGCGCAGCTTTCCAAAAAATCCCGCGGTGCCCTTCTACGTCGATTCGCCGCGCCGCGCGATCGAAGATGGGTTGATGCCCGTCGCTTCCTGGCATTGGTGGAAGACATGATCACGGCCGGTCTCCCCATGTCTCGGACGATTTGGAGCTCGGCAATTCACTTCGCTGGCCGCGCAAAAGGCCAAGTCAGCCGGAGGGATCTGGTGCGCGCAATTGGCATTTGGCAGCAGATGGAGCATGTGGCGGGCATTCCAGCGGACGATGTCGTCTTCAACATCCTATTTGACATCGCCATCAAAGCCGGTCAGTTCACGGTTGCGGATAGGCTGCAGGAGGAAATGGTGAAGCGGAACATTAGCTTCTCCCGCTGTGGCAAAGTTTCAAAAATATACTATTATGGGTTGCGGCGTGATCTCAATGGTATTCGAGATCAGTTTGATGAGTTCGTCAGATCCGGAGAGCTCGTCGACACTGTCGTGCTGAATTGCCTGACCGCGTCATTTCTTCGAGCCGGAGATGTGCAGACGGCGGAACAACTGTATGCGCGCATGCTTGAAGCCTACGATAGGCAGAGAAAGACGACTCCCATTCCCGATCAGGCATCCATCACGAACCCTACGCTGTCGTCAGAATTCGTGATCTACCGCGCGAGGACCCGGAGCCTGGGGCGTATACTGAAGAAGTCTCAGGCTCTCAAAGACCGCCTGCCCGAATATCACCGTGCTCTCCAAGACTCGCTTCCGATGACTCCAGACACACGAACTTTTTATACGTTTCTTCGACACTACGCATACCACAGTGGCGAGCTCGACAGCTTCATGGCCGTGTTGCGCGACATGGAATATTTTTATACTGTTCCGCCCCGTCCCCTGATTTACCTTCTCCTCTTTGAAGGGTTCTCTCGTTTCGGCCGAAGAAACAAGGCATGGTCTGCAGAGAAGCTGCGGCTAACTTGGCACACCTATCTACGGGCCCTGCGTGACTCCAAGACCAGACAAAACAAGGCATATACCACTCCTCCAAAGGAAGTCTGGGAAAACCCACTGTCTGGCAAGGAGACGGAAGAAAGTTCTCAGGAGGAGACACCCGTGGCAAACGCGAGGGATGACCTATATATGCCATTACCGTCGGTAGATGCGGACGGGAACCTAGTGATCCACGAGGAGCCAGGCAATATCGCAGCCGACACCGCTCATCGAGACACAGACCCCAGAGCTTCCGAGGAAACCGACCATGATGACGACGCCGACGATGCCAAAGACGAAGATTTCGGCCCAAATGAGTTTTTCAACGACAACCGCCCACCGTCTTTCCGCCGAGAGCTGGAAGAAATGGAAAAATTCGAAGAAGTCGACTACCGCGTCGAAAACGGCGTCTTCCTCGGCCGGCGCATGGTCATTGTGATTCTGCGCGCGTTCGGCACCTGCTGTGGGCCCAAGGAGGTCCTGGAGGCGTGGTTGCAGCTTGAACGATTGTGGCATCCTGATCGGCGCAAGTTTAATGATGTCCTTGCTGTTCGGGAGGAGCTCGATAAGCAGCTGTCGAGAAAGTAGGGGGATGGTTGATACCTCCTTTGTACATTACACATAGATCTATCAGATACCAACTGTGATTCTAGCGAAATCTTTAGCCGATGACTGTGCCTGTGTTTAAGTGGTGGTCAAAATTAAACATCCTGGATATTGCTACTAATGTCTGGTGACAACCGCCTGCTCTAGGGCCATGGCAGTCCTTTCCTAAGCTTTAGACTTTGTTGAACACTATAGTCTGTGAATTGCACATGCCTTGCAATCCAGCAATTCCAAATTCAACGCCAATGCCAGAATCTTTGTGACCGCCAAATGGCGCGTTGGGTAAAGGGTCAAAGTGTTTGTTGATCCAGACGGTACCAGCATCTATTTGACGTGCAAGGCGTTCGGCTTGCTCCAAGTCACGACTCCAGACAGACGCAGCGAGACCCATATTCGTGTCATTGGCACGGATGATGACCTCGTCCTCGGAGGACCAAGGCATGATGGGGAGGATTGGACCTTTGCACTATCAGTGATGGCCGAAGAAAGACACACGGAGTGAAACTGAGGCGTATCACTTACCAAACGGCTCTTCGAGCACGATCTTAGAGTCATCTCCTGGATTATCGATAATAGTAGGGTTGACGAAATAGCCAAGTCTGCTACAAGTTTGCTCACCAACGGCAATCTTTTGATCTTTTTTCCTGGCATCAGTTAGAAACTCTTGCACACGCTCGTACTGCAACTTGTTTTGCACTGGTCCACAGAAAACGCCATCATCCAAACCATTACCGACTGCCAGTGTCTTGACATAAGCGGTCATAGCGTCAAGGAATTCGTCGTAAATACTCTCATGGATATAGACGCGCTTGATTGCCATGCATATCTGTCCGGCATTCAGGAATGCAAATGTGGCGACCTTCGCGGCTGTCGTCTGGATGTCCACATCCTTACACACGATAGCAGCGTCATTGCCGCCCAACTCGAGTGTCACACGCTTGAGCGTCCGTCCCGCAGAAGCTGCGACCAGTTTTCCAGTCGCTGTGGAACCGGTAAAGGATATTTTTTGAACGCCTGGGTGCGCAACTATCCAAGGCCCTAAGCTATCATTCCCACTCAACGCTTGAACAACACCAGGAGGGAAGAAAGACTGTGCTAGCTCTGCAATCTTCAAGCCGCTGTAGGGCGTAAACGGCGAAGGTTTGATGATTAGGGTGTTCCCCGTTAGGAGCGCGGGCGCCAGTTTCGCAATCTCAAGCAGGATAGGAAAGTTCCAAGGGACAATGGCAGCGACCACTCCAAGGGGTGTGTGTCGAACAATAACCTTCCGATCCGAGTTGTCCTCGATGACTTCGTCTTTTCCAACATCGCCCAATTCTGCTGTTGACCGAATCCATTGCACCGCAGTACTGACTTCAATCTCGGCTTGGAAGATCTATCTCGGTTATTTTGGTGCTGAGGTGCGATGCAAGTGAGACTTACCGGCTTGCCTTGCTCAACTGTGAGCATCTGAACAAATTCTTTGGCTTTCGCTTCAAATGCGTCTGCAAAGCGCAGTAGAGCTGCTCTGCGTTCTACATAGGGTGTGCAGGACCATGTCTTGAAAGCGGCCGTAGCAGATTCCACAGCATTGTCAAGGTCTTGTTCCGTGGCAATAGGTACATCTGGAAGTTGAGCCAAAGTTGCCGGGTTCATCCCACGTCGGTGTTCCTTTGTGTCAACAAGTTTTCCACCCACGATGTTTTTAAACGTTGTAAAGTTAAGAGCCTCGGCGTCACCCAAGGCGTGGGTCGTAACTTTCGTGATCGTGATTGCCATTTTCAGTGCTAGGTGCTAACAGCGTATGATAATGCAAGGCAATATACCAAATCATGGCGTATTAGTATTGGTTCGAGAAGTAGTATTAGTATGTAAGATCCCCTCAGAGTGATTTCCTTAACCCCCACCGCCACCTCCGCATTTTCATATCATGCGGAAGGTATGGGGTGCTGAGTTCAGCTTGCTCTGGAATCTCCTCCACCTCGGGAAGATACTGTAAGATGCTAGGCCCAGCTTTGAATATCTTCCCGAGGTGGAGCAGATTCACGCCTTCGCTAAAACTTTCCCCAGCGGCCTCCGCATCTCCCCGCCTGGCGTTTCACCCACGCTGTCAGCGCCTTGAAAGTAGTAGGACAACCTATCATCCATCTCCAACGCACACTGCTTTACGCTTCTTTCTCACGTCATCCGTGCCCTCAGGACTAAACCTTCAAATGGACGAGGCAAACCCTGCATGTGATCTGAATTCCTCCTAGGCTGCGCCATAACACACAACCCATAACCCATCTCAATCGTGTGATGAGTTTTGGGGCTAGATTTATAACAGGCTATTTGTTGTAGTCTTCCATTGGTTAATACATATCGGTCATTTGATCGGTGCAAGGACAAATGTGACACAGAGGTTAATTTTAAATCTAAAACTGCATCTTCTGAACCCTTTTGAGTCTCCTCATCCCGTACCGTGCAATTAGCGTAGTTCCAATCGCACACGCCGAGACAAGCACAGCAAATGCCGAGGCACTCTCCTCAAAATGGTTGATCACATTCATCCCAAACAGGCCCGCCACGAAGGTTGGCACAGCTAAACCAAGCATCCAAATCTCAAGCTGTGCCTCCAAAATCAGGATCTGATTGCGCCGCACATCTAGCATCGACTCAATCGCTCCTGCCGTGCGGCTGGCATTCCCTCCCAGAGCACTGGAAGACTCGGCAATTGCATCGGCATTCTTGTAATATGCTTCCAAGAGATATTCGACTTCTTGATGGTCCGCAATGGCATGCGGTTTTCCTGCACGCTGATCCGACAGATACATAGTGGCCAGATCTTCGTCATTGTTGAGAAGCTCTTGGAGTGCGGAGCGTACTTGGCGCGAACGTTGCTCGATGGTAACCAGCCTCTTCCGATGATCTAGCAACTCACGTAAAGTGGAATGCACACCTTCCTCCCGGTGCGACTGCGACTCGCGGAGTCGTTGTCCAACCTCCTCTCGAAGGAGGAGGTGCTCCGCTTCAAGCACTGCTGTAACCGATGCCAGAGCGGCATCGACGACACGCAACTCGTAGGGGAGGCTTGGCAAAGCGTCGGACCCTGAGTCGGTGCGTATTCTCGATTGAAGGTTCTGTTCGAATATATCTTGCATTTTGACCTCGTCGTTTTCAGAGTCAAGAAGAAAAAGAAGAACCCGGTCTGACTGGATAAGTAGCCGCAAAGAGAAAATGCTGATGAATATCGTGGAAGGCCGGACCAGGATGTGTGGAGATCCCTCAGATACGAGATCGGCGTTACGCAGGTCGCGCATGTCTATCCCGTATTGTTTTGCAACATCAGATTTGGTCATGCGAGTCTCCGGAGACACGATGGAGCCGTTCGCATTGAAGAGCGCGCACCGCAACTCGGTCCCATCGTTCATTCGGCTGTGGGTCAGTGCGAGGGATTGATTAAACACTTCCTGGGTGAAGGAGTGTTGACGGGTGATCTCGGCAACAGGCCTGATATCATGGTTGATATAGAGTCTCTTGTTTGTTGTGGTAGCTCCCCGTTTCGCCACGAGCGGAGTTATCCGGGGTTGAAGGGGACAGTGGGTGCGGAGACCGAGTGGGAGGTAGAGCTGACGGAGTGCAGACCATGCTGGTCGATGCTCTTTCTGCACAACGGAAAGAAATCTTGACACCGTACATCCCTGCATAATGGGCCTTCCTATGACGTTGGAGGCTCTGCTAAGTAGTTGGGAAGAATGACGGGGTTTGGCCGGGGATATGTTTAGCTTGAATGGCGTCACGTGGTCCCTTATGATGATACTTTTTGTCTTAAATACAAGATAATTTATCCTAAGTTACTTTACCTTGCGGGGTACGTATGAGTAAATATGGTAGAGGTACAATGGATTCCAATCCTCGTGCTTGATTCCAATAGCAGTTCGTAAGTGCAATAGCCGATGAGCTTGGCCGCGAATTCCGAACTTCACTACACTTCTCGGCATTGGCTTCAACTTCCTGTCCTGCATACAATTCCAGAGAAGGTCCAATGTAGCCAACAGCCACGCCAATCAATCTCTATGATTCCAGGTGGTAAGCACACTCTCTATAGAACCCAAACAGGCAATCCGTTTATCCTCACGTGACACCGCGCCTTCCCCCACGCGCGGTCTTCAAATAGTTACTCTTCCCGGCTCCGGCAAGACGTTGCCTTTTTTGCTTGTCTTTGCACCACCTCTGCAATGCTGCCTAATGGCCAATACAGGAGGACACCGGCGGCGCAAGCCAGACCTGGATTTCTACCTCCACCGCGTCTTCCGCAAACAGTCTTTCCGGTCAGTTGAGGCGTCGAGGTCCGCCAGATGATCGACACTGACTTGATTTCTTTCAGTCCGTTGCAACGAGAAGTGATTGACGCAGTCATCGAGGGTCACGATGTTTTCCTTCAAGCATCGACCTCGTTCGGCAAGAGTTTGTGCTTCCAATTGCCTGCGGTAATCAGCACGGGGCGTGAGTCCATTCCTATTCATTTAACTTGTGACAGAGAACTAAATCACTGATTAACTATCGTACAGTGACAATTGTCATATGCCCACTTCTTGCATTGATGGTAAGAGCCGGTCAAGCTTCCGCTCTAGAGATATTAACAACCCCACAGATGGACCAAGTCAATGCTCTCCAGGCCATTGGAGTAGCAGTGTCAACCATCAACTCCAACACGACCTTATCGGAGAGACGCAAAATCTTGGACGATATTCTTTCCGGCCATCCACGCACCCGCCTCCTTTACGTGACCCCAGAACTATGCCAGACAGACATGTTTCGGCGCAACCTCGCGATTGTCCACCGACAAGGCCAGCTCACGCGCGTTGCAATCGACGAAGCCCACTGTATCAGTGAATGGGGGCATGACTTTCGTCCCGCATACCAAGAACTGGGATGGTTCAAGAATACTCTCACCAACCCACCGGTTCCTATCAGCGCTCTCACGGCCACAGCCACGCCGCGCGTCCGGTCGGACATCATCAACATGCTGGGGCTGGACACCTCCGAGCTCAAATTGTTCAACACGCCATCTGCTCGGCCTAACATACATTATGAGGTCCGGTACCTCCAAGACGACGCCAGCGACACCACCCGGGCAGAAGGACTGCACCTGGACGACCTTCGGAAATGGCTCAAGTCCATTCAATCCCGACGCGAGGCGCGGTTCGGCGCCGACGCTGCAGCACGACTTCCACCGATGTCAGGAATCATTTACGTTGGACTGCGCGCAGCCGCCGAGAACCTCGCGCACAAACTCTCGGATGCGTCTATCTCGGCAGTGGCCTACCACGCCGGACTTGCGCCGCATGACCGAACACGTATTCAAGCCATGTGGACAGCGCCGCAAGAAGCCCAAACCCCCACGGATGAGACGCCGTCGCGCGCTTTCTCCATCATCGTTGCCACGAACGCCTTCGGAATGGGCATCGATAACCCCCACGTCCGCTTCGTAATCCACTGGACGCCGCCGCGCAGTTTCGAAGGGTTTGTCCAAGAATCCGGACGTGCAGGCCGGGACGGCCGCGCCGCCGCCTCGCTGGTCTACTACAACACCCAAGAACGAGACCGGATCTACGACCGCGTCATTCGCGATGCCGAGAACGTGCGCAATCGCGGCGGGCCTGCGCAGGTCCTCGCCAGCCGGATGCGCAACCAAGAAGCCCGGCTCGAGAGCTTCATGAAGGTTATTCGATACTGCCAGACCATTACCCGCTGCCGACATGAGCTGATCAAAGACATCTTTGGCGACTACGAGCTCGAAGAGATGGGCTCGACGCAGCCTCCTTCGTCTATGCCTATAAAAACTGAGGGTGGTGGTGCTGCTGCCTTGCCTCCTTCGCCGTGCGATTTCGCGTGCGATTTTTGTAAAGAGGGTCGAGCGGGACTAGCGGCTCGGAAGGCGAAGATGGTTACCGAGTCTCCGCCGGAGTATTTGATGGTGATGTCGGATATCATGCAGGCTATGTTTCCGCGCTTGTTTCCTGATGCAGCTAGAGGTTTGTGTTCGGATTGGTGTTGAGCATAGCTACCCACGCTTAGCTGTTTGTACTTTCTTTTCTTCTCTAATATACCCTGGGAGGCGTGTATTGATGCAAGAAGTGGGTTTAATACCCAAATATAAAATATCTCTTCGCATGCCCCTGTTTCCTGGCATCCATTCGTTCAGCTTGGAACTGCTCGTCAGACCAAGTTGCGATCTCTCTGCGCCGATTCCGGTTCTCTAGCATGTATAAACCACGGACACCTAAGAAACCAAACATACCCACCAACACGATCACCATCGTTGCCACCAGCGAAACATGATAGGTTGGCGCATAGCTAGACCTGAAAATCTGACCCGCGATGACGCCAGCAATGTTGGTCAACCCGTAGAAGCCCATGATGACGGCACGCGTGGCCTGGTCCGGAGTGTTGTCCGTCAACCATGCGGCGATCAGCGGGTTTGCCGTCCCAGCGCCTATCATCGCGATGTGCAGGAAGCCGTAGCGGAGTTGATTGTTAGAGCTCGTGATCAAGACGATATACCCGATAATAGAGATGAACATGGAAAGGGCTGCGAAGCCCGATCGCTCACGGAAGTAATCGGAGAGCCAGACAATCGTGGTCAGACCGACCGCACCTCTGTATTCTATTAGCGGGGTTCCCTCTCGAGTCGATGTACTCACACCATGAATGGAGGCACAGCCATAAGGTTTGCCTTGACTGAATCGTATCCCATCCCCTTGACGACCAGAGGCAGGAAGATGGCAAACCCGTACGAGGGTGTCGTGGCACACATATTGAAAATGACAATCAAAAATTTCTTCCAGTCCTTGAATGCTTCGACGACATTTCTCAGGGTAATACTGTGGCTGTTTGACTGTGGGCTAGCATCCGCGCCACTAGATACCGCAGCGGTGTCGGCAACCATGCGACGCGCCGCATGGGCTCGTTCTCTCTTGGTCAGGAACCATGCCGTGCCGAGGTTGGTTGGCAAGGAAACCAACGCCAGGACAGAAATAAAGAGTGTAACACTACCCTGGACGAGGAAAAGAACCTGCCAATCCTTCCATCTTGAAGAGGGCAGAATGAAGCACCCGTACGCAATCAGACCAGAAAAGGCACCGGCAAAGGTGAAGCTCATAGACATAAGTCCCATGCGGAATCCCGCTTGATAGGTAGGATATAATGTTCCAATGAAGTAGTACGCAGTTGGAACGTAGCCCGCCTCACACACACCCAGGAGGAGACGAAGAGCCATCATCTGAGCACGACTGGTCATGGCCGCCTGGGCGGTGGTCACTGCACCCCATGCAACCATGATGAATGGGAGCCACCAACGAGGACCGATAATCCGACCAAGTGCAACAGAGACGGGCATACATGGAATAAAGGTCGCGGCATAGAGGGAGACCGAGTTAGAAACATCATTGGGCTTAAGGTGCACGTCCTTGATAAACGCTGCAGCTCGAGAGGTCAGGCGATACCTCTCGTGGAGGACATGATTATTTTCACTTACACTCTGTCGTGGCTGCGTTGCCAATGTTTCCTTTATCGATTGCTTGAAACTACTCATTGTTAGTGAGTTCGCCGTTCTCCGTAATATTGGCAAGATTCTCACCAGGAATCCAGCAGCCAGCACGAAAATGACAATGCAGTCTGTCTTCAGATTGATGCGGCGGTCAAGTTGCACCTCTTCAGGTGTTGCTGCACGATACCCCTCCCGGCCGGTCGATGTAGCGGAGAGGCAGACATTCTCGATCTGTTCAACCTCGCCCTGCTTTCCAATTACATGCTCATCTTCGTCCAATGCCCCAACATCATGGTTCCGGTCCTGGGCGTTCATCAGGTGCGAAATACGAGGCAAAGCGTCGACAGTGCAGGCCAAATCGAGGTATGGTCTCGGGAACCGAGAGCACACAGGGTCAGTGGGCCAATTTGTAAACTCCTAGCAAGGGCATCGATAACGACGGATAATGCTGATTCCGTGTCGGCATGCTGTACCTATAAAGCAGGTCCTAGATTCAGCCTTTGAAGGAAGTTTGATCTAGCGGTTTCCGAGATCCGACTTCCATTTACCAGTGAAAGCCGATACTTGGCTCATTTCTGAAATTCGGCCAATGATTTATCTCGTCCCCGCAAATTCCTCCGCAGGATGTAAGTTTGCAATCGCTCCGTGCGGGGGTCCAATGAACTCTTACTAAATTTACAATTTCCGGCATCCGACATCCGACATCCATGATCCAGTCTACGTGTTGGGCCATACCACTCATTTGTAGCAGTTGCGAACAAAACTTCACGACCAGTGAAGTTGAATCGCTTATATATACTCCCGTTTTATCCTCATCATGTTTTTCATCCTACCAAGCAACAGCTTTCAACCGTGTGTCTAGAGAGAAATGGCAACGACTGACTTGGGATTCCCTTCTGACTGGGACGTCAATCAAGGACAGCTCGTCCACAGCAATGTTCCGGAGAAAATTTATCGGGAATATGCCCATCTCCGTAAGACTTGTCCGGTAGCGCACGTCAATGCGCATGGCGGTTATTGGATCTTGACTAAGTACGGTTCAATCCTTGTGTTCAATTCGGTTGAAAAATAACAAGGGAACCAGGTACGACGACGTCAAGAACGTCTCCTCAGACGGTTCGACCTTCGTTTCATCCAAATGTGCGGTTGTTCCCGCAGATCCGCGTGGTATTCGGCGCCCACCACTGAAATTCGACGGCAAAGAACATGTTCCATACCGCACTGCAGTGGACCGAACTCTCAAGCCAGCTCGGCTCAGGCGGCTGGAGCGTCTTCTGAGAAAACACGCAGAAGATGAGCTTAATATTCTGCTTGAGCGTGGCCATGGGGATATTTACGAGGAATTTGGTGCTAAATTTTCCGGCTGGGTAGAGAAAGAGTGGCTTAATCTGGACGAGGTTGACTCCCGGAAGCTCTCGGCCACTATCACTCCATTCGTGACTGCATGGCGCACGCAGGACTGGGGACTTGTCAAAAGCTCCAGTGATGGATTCTACGAGATTGCTCAACGTGTGATTGCATCTCGCAAAGAAAAACTTTTGGATCCGGAAGAAGACCCTGCTTCCAGCTTGCTGTCGGAGCGAGACGAACATGGAAATCCACTGGATGATTTCAATCTGGTGTACGTAGGCCGTGTCTTTCCCATATGTATCCAGCATCCGTGGGCTAACATGGCAAAAGAGGGTGTATCCGTCAGATCTTGATTGTCGCCATGGTCGCGCCTAGCATTGTCATCGCAGCTATGACAAAGCATCTGAGCGAAGACAAAGAGTTGCAGAACCAGCTTCGAAATGACCGGTCGCTGATTCCAGCCGCAATCGAGGAGTTCATCCGGCTCTACGTGCCTTATCGCGGATTTGCCAGAACGGCAATTCATGACGTCGAAATATCAGCCACAAGAGTGCCACAGGATGAGGTACGTTTCTATTAACAAAACTCATATAGAGCTGCTCGCTCTCTGAAATAGTCTGGAATGTTATTAATATGCGCCGAACAGCCCATTACAGTTGTATACGCGGCGGCCAACCGTGATCCGGACCATTTCCCTGAGCCGGACAAGTTCATCCTCCGCCGTGAAAACATTAATACACATCTGGGATTCGGACGTGGAAGGCATCGCTGTGCTGGGATGGCAATGGCGCAAATGATGTTAAGAATATATCTGGACACGCTGCTAGACAACACCGTCGATTTTGAAGTTTGTGGGGAAGTACACCATGCCAGGTTACCCGAAATTGGAGTAACAAGCTGTCCGATCAAATTCCACGTCGAGTCGTGATGTTATCCACTATCGGAGAAGGAACGTGGGGACTTGATCTATATAGTCGTTTCGTTACTGGCCGTTTTATAGTCTCCATAGTTTAGATGTCGTCGGGTTCTAGCCAACAGACACGACAGGAGACTAGAATATGATTTTTTTATCTGCGCACTAAATGAGCCATCGGTTCAGTGACCGGCCGCTTCATAACCTGCATAGCCAGGGCGCGTAATAAAATGTAATTTCTGAGAGGCCGGTTAATATGACTTTTCGATCTGCCGGTATAGGTAGCTTGGAAGACCGAGGCCCACCCATCCACGTACCTCCCCTCCCCGCCTTTCCACACTTTCGCGGCCCTAAATTAACAACAATCCAGTTGCTTTGGATAATTGACTTGGCAAATTGCCCAGGTATTCATAATGTCGCACGCACGGCCCTTGAAAAAGCGAAAATTCTATTCTCGGTCGTCACAAGCATGCAGAATGTGTCGGAACAAGAAGATGAAATGCGACCAGGGTCAGCCATGTCAGACGTGTATAGGTATTTGTGTAATGCCGCCAACGCTTTATAACTCATCTGAACAGTCCATAGATCGAGATTTTGATTGTGTATATGACGAAAGACGAACGCGGGAAATATTGCAATCGTCTTCTTACGCGGAAAGCAGCTTCCATCACACGGAGGGTTCTGCCCCCGCATCTGACTCTGTTGAGGAGCAGGCGGAGCAATCAAGGTTTACACATGAACATACATATCGGCGCAACGATTTGTATGCGGAAGAAGATGGAGTAAGTGCGCAAAACAAACACACCACTGGCACTGAGTTTTACGGCAACTCCTCCAATTTTGCACTCCTGAATCAGCTCGTTTCCTGCGTGCGCGGCCTGGCTGCAAAACCTGCTGGTAGTACACTGGATACAGTACAGGCACCATCGTCAATTGTGGAAATATTCTACGATGAGCAGTCGCATTTACAAGACCCTGTACCTGCTTCGCCCGTCACGGTTGCGGGGAGGACGTCCGAGTTCCGACCAAGCCACAAGGTTGACTCAGTAACCAGAGACTCACAAACTCCGGTAAACCCTGGCGAGTCAAATCCGACCGTCTCCCAAATCCACCAGATCAACCAGCTGCCATCCTCGTGGGGCTGTTTCATTGGAACTCCTATGCGCCTGGAAATGGAGTATGTGTACATGTATTTCGAAAACATCCATAACATCCACCCTTTCCTATCAAAAGCGGACTTCGTCGCGCGATGCAGGCGGGAGGTCTGGACAAGAAGCTCAGTGAAGCAGTTACATCAGGACAAGTTGCATTTTTTATCTCTTTACAACGCCGTCCTGTCTGTGGCAGCATTGACCGCGGGTACGCACGCGCTATCGGAATATCGAAATGAGCTCGATAAGCCTCCCGAGAGCAGCCCGCAAAACAAACCACCTTCGACACCACCGTCCTCATTGCTATTATCGAGATTATATTTCTGGCGTGCCCGACGGCTTTTGGGAGATATTTTCGAGGTCTCTTCGATTGACAGCGCACAAGCCTTGTTGCTCATGTCGGTATACTGTCAGCATGCACTGAAGACACACGCCTGCTACATGTACAGCGGGATGGCAGCCCGAACCGCTATCGCCATTGGAATCAGCAGGGAAGGCAACCTTGGATCCCGAAGGACGTGGTGGGCGATATATGCGCAAGATATGGAGATATCGTGCTCGTCCGGTCGATCCAGCTCTCTAGCCGAGCCAAGCGACTATCCAGTGCCCTATCCACAATCGACGAATAAAGCAAGAGAAGACAAGGCTGAGGAAACTGATGCAACTTCACAAGACTCGATCATTGCATCTCTGGTTGAGTCCTCGGTTATCTTACAACAGACATCGAAGCGACTATATCACAACCACGAAAAATTGTCCCTGAAGGACAAGTCTCAAATTGCGTTTGAATTAGACAGCAGTCTGGAGATATGGCGTTCAGGTCTGCCAGCCCTACTTGACTGGGATATGGAGTCCTTTAACGAACCGGAATGGGCAACCAAGCAAAAGCTTCACCTACAACTCCGTTTCTACAATATCAGAATGTTCATCCACCGACCATTCTTCTCAAATACCACGAGCGAGATCCAGCATGCTCACGTGAGGATATGTCTGGAAGCTGCGCAGAACATCATCAATCTTCTCTACAACGCCTATCAGCACCGCTATTACTTTAGGACGTGGTGGTATAACTCTACCTATACGCTCTACGCCAGCATGATAATCCTCTACGTGATTCTTATAGATCCAGCGGATCCATCGGTGGATGAGCTCTTCCGTCATATAAGACGAGCGCTCAAGATCCTTGATGCCATGAAGGAATTGAGAGTGGCTAAGCGCTGCGGCGACCTGATCACCGAGATCCTCCAAGTAACCACCCGTTATGTGGAAAGCCGAAGACGCAGCCGCGTCGGCGACTTTCGAGTATCTCCTGTCCCGGACGGGAACTCGGGAGCATACAACAGCAATCAGGCAGATCTTTCCCAGCCCGTTCATGTGTCTGGAATGTCAGAAGAACAACCGCATCAAATCACTGATGCGGAAGCGCACTTTTTCGGTGGTGATCCGGAAAGCCCGTATTTCACTCGACAAGATATATTGGCGTGTCTTGAGGACACTAGGATTTTAGAAAACTTTGCTGTGGGGTTGGATAACGAGGATTGTACATATTCTGATATGGCTAGTGTGGACGAGCTGCGGAGAGGGGGGGTCAGGCTGAACCCACCTTACGCTGAGGATGAGACTGAGCGCATGGGGCAATGGAGCTGGACATAGCTCTCTACGTATAACATGGCAAGTTGCTTCAATACCATCTCAACAAATGGACTATGCCGGACTTTAGTAAGACATGCCAGTGTTCTGCACACACATAAAGAGTTTCTATTACTGAATATAGAAACAGCTGAAGAAGCTATAGTGACAGCAGGAAAAAAAGAACTCCCATTGAGCAAAAGCCAGAACGCAAAAGGAAAAAGACCCACAAGAAAAACAGAATTACATCTCACTTTAGATCAGACATCTTTCATCTCTCCTCCGTCGCTTTGGACGTTTCTTCCCCAAGCGTTTCTTTCCAATGAGCCAGATACTTTTTTTTTATATCAACAGCGGATCCGGTCTCATTGTTTAAGACTGCGTCACAGACCAGGAGGCGGGGGAACCTATGAACAGGAGACAATGATCAGTCATGAAATCAAATTGATCCAAAAGCGGGAGTTCATACTGCGCTGTAACCAGCACCACCGCCCGGAGGAGGCGGCGGCGGAGACCCAGCTCCTGGAGGTGGAGGGGGAGGTGCCTCATTGCCAGGCGGGGGAGGCGGAGCAGGGCTCTGCGACTGCTGTTGCTGGGCGGCAGCAGCTTGCTGGTAGTACTGGTAGTAGGCGACGTAGTTTTGGTATCCACCGTAGGCGGCATAGGGATCGGCCCCGTAGTACTGAGCGTAGGCCGCACTGTAGTCTGTTGGACTGCCGGCGGCACCGCCTGCGCCTTGGCTATCTGTGGGCGACGATTGCTGGCGATTGTAGCCGCCGCCATAGCCGCCACCTCCTCCACCACCGCCTCCGTGGTAGCGGTCGCCGCGCTGGCCATATCCGCCGCCGCCGTAACCGTGCTGAGGTGGGTTCTCCTTGAATCGTTGGTACTGCTCTCGGACGTTGGTGAGGAGGTCTTCGCAGAGCTCCTTGGCGGCTTGGACGTCGTTGGGATCCGGTCCGCTTTGGTTGGATTGTTAGCCGGAGATATTAGATGGGCAAAGAAGACAACTCACGCTACATGCAAAAACATGGGATCGTTGCTTTCCTGTCCGGTGCTAGTTTCAATGAAACCAGAGCCACGGCCTTTGATTTGAACCTTGCAGCGGGTCTTCTGCTGGATGTGCTTCACGTAGGCACCGCCCTGTCCGACGACTTGAGCACGCAGGTTAAATCCGGGAATGGGCTCCAGATCAATCGGAATGCGCTCCTCAGGCCATTTGCGCTATATTCAATTAGTAAATTCCTTGTAACAGTTTTAGCAAAGGAAGGCAGTCTCATACACGGCCATACTCATCCCGCTCCACTTGCTCGGGCTCGCGGCGACGGAAGCGTCGTTCATCGACTAGGTTAGGGAGCTCTTTCTGCATGAGGTCATTGATCAGGACCACGGCCTTCTCGAGGCCCTCCTTGTTGGTGCTTGTCACATGCAGATACAGAGGTGGATTCTAAATCGGTATCATCAGCACCAAATCAGAGGAAATTGACAGATGGACATACCGCGGCCGTTGCCATGTTTTTGTCGGGATAATAGTTGCCTCGGGTGGTGACATCTTGAAAAGAATAAGTCATAAGCTTCTTTCGTTACCAACAGCATATTGAAGAAGGCGTACCGGCGCCAGTTTCATCTTTAATCTAGAATTCACGCAGCCGAGGTCAGCAGATGCAACAGTTTGGGGTGCTAATTTAGTGGCTTTGGGTAAGCTTCGTCCAGAGAATAAAAGGCAAAAAAAAACAAGACTCCAAGCAGAGTCCATCACCTGCAGGGGCAATGTCTGGAATATCAGCGAACGCCAACAGGAGTATTTACCATCTTCTGAGTTGACCCTTTGGTCAACGTATAACGGTTGCGCAGATCATTGATCTCTATATCTTTGATATAGTCTCCATCAGCGACATAGATTTCGTCGTTCAATTTGCCCGATGCATCGGCACTGGAGGGGGTCCCGGTTTGCGATGGGGTTGCACTCTAGAATATGGCGTTAGATCACTGTCGCACACGAATTGGGGATAGAGGGTTGTTCACTGAGCGGATTGGAGGAACATCGACATGCTGAATGCCCTTTTTCGCTTGCAACTGGGCATTGATTTTGGCAGCGGCGGCAGCTATTCGGACAGATCGTTAACTTTTTTTTTGTTTCCACACGACAAGGATCATCCCGCATACCTGCTGCGGCAGCCGGGTCCAAAGCACCAGACTGGGCCTCGCCAGGGCTTCGAGGATCGGGACTGCGAGTTCGAGTCGATTCTGAGTGTCTTGTGGATGGAGAACGAGACCGGCGGTCAAATCGCGACCGTCGGGGTTCGGGTTCGGTCTTGTCGAAACGAGAGCGCTTCGCTCGGTGATCGCGATCGTCGTCAGCCATTGCAGTGGGGACAAGGCAAACTGCGGTGAGAACTGGGTCAAAGAACGCCTGGGAGCTCTTGATCGGAGGCGGGAAGGAGAAAGTTTGAGTATTCAAGTGGAGACGGGTTCTGGCTAGCGGCGCATAGGGAGAGGGAGGATTCAGAACGAGGAGAATCGCAATAGAATCCAGCAACTGCCAGAGAGTAAATCCCACGGGCACGATGGTTCACTCTTTTCCAATCATAGTATCACTATCGAATTGTGTCTGTCGCAGACGCAACAGCAGGGCGTAGAATCACGTGTGCACTAGTCCCCTTCTGGCCTAGTGCGATATGACTCAGCACCGAGGTCGGACAGAAGAAAAATGTCCCCGGATAGTCAGTCAGTCACTTATACACTACACTCCCACCACCATAACCATGGCTTTCAGGCGCCCATTGACGCTGTCCGCAGCGTCGGCGTCCCTGCTGTCTTCCACAACGGCATCCGCTCAATCCCGAGCTGCTGCCGCGCTGCCTCGGTTCGCTTTCACCCGGGCCTCCTCGTCTTCCAGCTCGACTGCAGCTCTAGCCTACAAGGCATTGCACCGCCGGTCCCCCCTGCCCCTCCCCGTCAACGATGCCTCTCCCCAATGGGATGCCCCGACGGCCGTCTCCTCGATTCTCTACGAGACCCCCGTGCCGCCCACCAACCCACCCAAGCGCCACATCCTGAACTGCCTGGTCCAGAACGAGCCCGGTGTTCTGTCCCGCGTGTCCGGCATTCTCGCCGCCCGCGGCTTCAACATTGATAGTCTGGTGGTCTGCAACACCGAGGTCGAGGACCTGTCGCGCATGACCATCGTGCTCAAGGGCCAGGAGGGTGTCGTCGAGCAGGCCCGTCGCCAACTCGACGACCTCGTCCCCGTCTGGGCTGTCCTGGACTACACCGACTCGGCCTTGGTGCAGCGTGAGCTCCTGCTCGCCAAGGTGTCCATCCTCGGCCCGGAGTTCTTTGAGGAATTGCTCCAGCACCACCGCGAGATCACCGCCCCGTCAGAGGAGGGCCAGCCCAAGCACCAGTCGGATGACTCGAAGAACCCGGAATTCCACCCCCGCCACCTGCCGTCCAGCCAGGCTCTCCGTCACAAGCACGAGCATCTGGATGCCATCACCCGTCTGACCCACCAGTTCGGTGGCAAGATCCTGGATATCAGCACCAACAACTGTATCGTGGAGGTGTAAGTACCATCTCCTGACTCATCTTCGTCCGTCATTGACTAACGTGTTCGATAGCTCCGCTAAGCCTTCCCGTATTGACTCCTTCCTCAAGCTCATCGGTCCCTTCGGTATCCTCGAATCCACCCGCACCGGTCTGATGGCTCTGCCCCGCTCTCCGCTCTCCGAGCCTACCGAGGAGATCGAGAAGAATGCCGCCGATGTTGTTGACGCCAGCACCCTGCCCCCGGGCTAAAGTTGCCCTTCGAATATCAAGTGAAGTTATACATACCCAATATGATTCAATTGGTTTATTTGCTTCATATTGTTTCAGTTTGATTTCGGAGTTCAAGTTTAGTGTTTGACTTATTTAGCTTCTTGTAACAACCCATGAATCCAACAGTAAAGATGTCCATTAGACTTAATTGTTCAATCAAGATGAATTAAAGAAACGAGCCCAGCATTCCAAATCCAGATGCATCCATTGCTAACAGATCAGAGCAAGTCAATAATGAGAGTCAATCAAATCGTCAACCTTCCAACACCAACAGTGCAGCACATGCAGTTATCGCCCTTGTCCAGGGCATAAGCAAGGCAATTAATTCATGACCCGGAGCCTAGGCACTCGACCAATCGTATAAAAGGTTCCAACCCCCTAAACCATTTAAACCCTCACCTTGGCGGCAATCCCCTTCCCACGATAGAAGACCTCATCCCAATAATGCCCAACCTTCACCCCAATCCGAGCCACAGCATCCATGTCCAGCTCCTGGCCAAGAGCCTTCCGCAGAGCCTCATACCCGACACTCCCAAGGGCCAAATCAACGGGCAAGCGCGGGGTTTGTGACAGGCCAGGCGGCACCTCGAAGGGCTGTTTGTAGTTGATTCGTCCGACGGGCTCATCGCCCTCGTAGAAGGCTGCTGCGTCTACAGAGGTGATGAAGATGCTTGTTTCTTTTAGGGGCGAGGAGAGTGTGAATTCGGCGGTAGAGGTTAAGAGATGCAGCTGGGGGTTATATGGTTAGTATATAGGGTCCTGTTATATAGCAGAGAGACTGGTGGTCTAGTGGAATTTTGGGGTGTGAGACAGGAGACAGTACCGTTGCATCTTGAATGAAATGAGGATGCCGGTCATTTCCGTCATTTCCACCGTCTGGAATGTCTGGGCTGGGGGTCCGAGGTACTGGAATATCCATGGAAAGAACAGAGAAGGCTTCTCCAAGATCTGGGAGGGATGGAATAGTTCCTCTATGGCTCTTAATCGTGACAGTCGTGTTGGAACCTAGATGAATGTAAGACTAGGAAATGCTTCTTGTGGGCGCCTGGGTCAAATAAACCAACCTGAAATATATTCCGAAAGGAGTTTCCGTCCAGCTTCTGTCCCGTTAATCCCGCTGATATCGTGCGGGTTCCATGAGAAGTCGACTTGGACATTCGTGTTGTTCCCTGGAACAACGGACATATCTCGGGCAATGACATGAGCAATGGCCGTGCCGTTGTAGAGCACGAGAAGATCCGCAAAGGGGATCGTTGCCGCGTGTTTGGTAGGATTCGTAAAGTTCAGCCGAGTAGACACAAACATCGACGTTTCAGTTGTATTCTCTAGTTGCAAGGACACGATTCGCGGATTCAAGTGACCGAGCGCGCCATCAAACGGAGCTATGAAAGAAAGACCGTTAATTAGAAAAAAAGAAGAATCGCTTGCATTATCCTATATTCTAAACCGAGAACATACTGTTCACGCGGACTTTGCCTTCCGCAGGAATCCCGCGAATCGCAAACTGGCCCAAGACAGTCGAAACCTTCGCGTCTACGTTGGCGGCAACTCGTAGTACCACTGATTTGCTACCGAACAGCATTTCCTGGACGACTTCTGCCAACAGTCCGTCATCCGAGACCTGTAATGGTGCGTCTTTCATGGCGAACTCCACGAGCAGCGCTGTGGAGTTATCTTGGTCCTTCACGAGAGTCGAGTTGGCGTCCTGCCACTGGTCGATGTCCAGATCACCGAGCTCTTTGCCCTTATAAAAGACGTCCGCGAAGGCACGGACTTGCGGAACATCAACTTGGAAGTTCATCTGCTCTGGCAGGGCTATCAGAACTTTAACCAAGGCAGATACGGTCGGATGCGACTCTGGTGTTCCAGGCTCGGCGAATGGGTCTGGGAGAGAGAAATGCGTGTCGGTCATGCTAAAGTTCTTCACCAGATTGTCCAGAGCATGCCCCGTGAGCGGCACCGGCACCGTGACACTGCTCAAAAGTTCCACAAGCCACGCCGGGGTATTAGGTGACGGTGAGTCCGCCCCCGGACGTAGATGGTCGTCTCCTCGCCTTGGATGAAACTGGATACCAAAAGGTCCAAGGGCGAGCCTTTCTCTCCCGGGCAGCTACTGGTCAACTCCTCTGGAAGTGTCTGAATGAGGCCGGCCACATCGGCGTGTATTGGTTGGTCGGGGTGAATCTGAATCTCCTCTGTCTCCGCCCTGGCGACCAAAATGTTTGGGTCACCTGGCGAGCAATTTGGCACCAGAATTTCAAAACCGAGCGCCGGCACCGTGAGCGCAAGAGGCGACTCGACAAAAGCCGCGACGGAAACATCCACTGCCATGGCTCCTCCATTGTCGACGTCGTGTACATTGAGTTTCGTCACGTCGATGGTCGGCAGAGCCGGAAAGTCGTTCTCTGACCCAGGTTAGAATATGGTTCGACCTCCCACCGAAAAAAACTCACCTTCAAATAAAATTTCATTTTCAAGCATTTGTGACCCCAGACTGATCAATCCTGTCTTCAAATGCATCGTTGTCTTGCCCTTGATCCTGAGGCGGCCCAGTCTACCCTCTATCCAATCCATGGCTATTGAATGAATGCCCCGTATATCACCAGCGGTCAGGTCAGTCAAAAAGTCGACATGATTTATATGGCCAGGACGTATGTTCACTTTGATGGGCGGCACCGAGGCGTTTCCAATCGGAACATTTCCGTACTCTGGAAGATACACCTGGACGTCCGAGTGGCCCGTTTCCACTTCTGTGGCAATCCAAGTGACAAACCGACCAACGTCCCGAACTGACTTGTTCCGCACACGGGTCGAGTTCATCACAAACTCTCCTTGGATGCGAGCGCGAACGCCTGTGGGGGTTGTTGAATCAATGGACAGCACGGTGGGTTTAAACACCGCCGCGTCCTGTGCATACTCGTTCACAACGGCCGGTGCCGCAAAGGCAAAGACCAGAATCCCCAGAATTGCCAATATGAGCATACCGAGCGCCATAAATGTCGCCCATGGTACTCGGGTGGTCTTCTTGGTGGAGCCACTCTCGACCGAGCCGGCTCGGGATGCCGCTGACGGGGATCGTGATCGCCGCTGTTCGGTTCCGTAGGTCGCCAAGTCATCATCGCGACGATGAAGTAGAGGAGTCGACTCTGATGATAGTTCGAAGGATGGTGCAGGCCGACCGCGCGGCGTGTGACCGGGAGATCGCTCGGGCGACGAGGCCCTGGAGTCCCCGTTCAACAGAGGACGATTCGCCTCGTCAGCCATTCCGGCTGGGCTATAATGCCTCCGTTGTGATAAGGATGAAAGAGCGTGGATGAAGAAGTTAGTGACGGAAGTGGAGGAATGGAGTGGAGATGGAGGACGATGACGATAAGCCGGGAAAGATAACCAGTTTACGCTAGTCCCGGTCAGGCAGCTATCGGCCCTGAGTCACCATTCACCGTTTCTTTTTCTTCTTCTTCTTCTTCCTCCTCCCCCGTCCCTCCTTGCTACACACACTTCTCTCTTAATCAATCGCTTTTCCCTTTCTTCCCACGATGGCCAGTGGTCTCAAGGCCGCCGCCCGTGCGGGCGCTCAAAGTGTAACTCAATTGGCCGGCTCCACCTCTTCTCTGCGAACAATTCAGGCTAATGGTCTCCGCCGATTTGCCCACCAGACACAGACCACACCACCCACCTCACCTTTCGCGCCCCGGCACTTGCTCTCAATCGCGGACTTGACGCCCGCTGAATTCGCCACCTTGGTCCGCAATGCCGCGTCGCACAAGCGCGCCATCAAGTCCGGCGCCATCCCGCAAAGCCTGCTGGGCTCGCTCTCCGGCAAGACCGTGGCCATGATGTTTAACAAACGGAGTACCCGCACGCGCGTGTCCACCGAGGCCGCCACCGTGCAGATGGGCGGTCACCCCATGTTCCTGGGCAAGGAGGACATCCAGCTCGGCGTCAACGAGTCCCTATACGATACCTCCGTGGTGATCTCGTCAATGGTCTCGTGTATCGTTGCACGGGTCTCGCAGCACTCGGATGTGGCGGACTTGGCGAAGCACTCATCGGTGCCTGTCATTAATGCGCTGTGCGACTCCTTCCACCCGCTGCAGATCATTGCCGACTTTTTGACTATCTACGAGGCTTTCCCGCCCAAGTCGCATCACCTGTCGAGCCTGGGGCTCGAGGGTCTGAAGATCGCGTGGGTTGGTGACGCAAACAACGTTCTCTTCGATCTGGCAATTGGCGCTACAAAGATGGGCGTGGACATGACAGTGGCTACGCCCGCTGGATATGAGATCCCGGCCGATATGCTGGAGATCATCCAAAATTCCGGCGAGGGCGTGGCCCGGCCCGGCACACTCACGCAAACCAATGTCCCGGAGGAGGCTGTCAAGGACGCTGACATCCTGGTGACGGATACCTGGGTGTCAATGGGCCAGGAGGCGGAGAAGATCAAGCGCATGCAGGCCTTTGAGGGCTTCCAGATCACGGCGGATCTGGCCAAACGCGGCGGTGCCAAGGAGGGCTGGAAGTTCATGCATTGCCTCCCCCGACATCCGGAGGAAGTCAGTGACGAGGTTTTCTACAGCCCGCGCTCGCTGGTCTTCCCCGAGGCGGAAAACCGGTTGTGGGCGGCCATCTCCGCGCTGGAGGGATTTGTTGTGAATAAGGGCAAAATTGTCGAGTAGAGACTAAAAATCCATGTGAAGTATGATATCTCGGAAATGCATCCAAAATCCCCAATCTAGTATATAGAAGTAGGCCAAAGACGGCGATGATTATTCTTCCCGGCCCAGTGAGAGTCGAAACAGATGCGTCCTCTATACAAACCATAATCCAATACGCCCTCACCGTACTTATAAGTCTTAAATTACCTCCCTTTAAGATTAGTACCTTCTTGTCCTTGGACGAGTGCTTTTATTACACGCTCTAGTTTGCTACTTACTCTTATGTCCCTCCATCAATCTCGAAACTTTTAACATACTCCGGTCCACTTCCGAAAAATCGCCAGCCCTTCTTTCTATAAGATACAACCCACAAATAAGGAGTCGGAGTTGTTGTCACCGAAACATTGATACCCAGGCGATATTGTAGTCGGACTTGTATAGTATTAGGTTTCGGGACACAATTTAAGACTGTAGATGTAGAGGGTCCCGTTTCCGGTAACACAACCCGCACTGGTTGCCCATCCGAAGCCCCACCAGGCATCGGATGCCAGCCAGTGCACAGATGGGTCTTCCGACCTGTGTCGAGGGTTTCTATTCGGCCACTGCGTGGCACAGCAGTGCATTCTGGGGAACCAGTCCAGCATAAGCGTTTGCGCTCGGGAAGTCCGGTGATCAGGGCCACTCAGAAGCCTGGCTCTTCCCCAGCTTCGGGCGTCTATGCACGGCTAAATCGGATCGGCCATCCTCAGGCGGGGAGAGGAACCCGATCATGATCATCTTTCTGGCCTGGTCCTCCGCATTATTTCATTCATATAAACAGCTACTGCTCTGCTGTTCTTCATACTACGTGTCTAGCATCAAGCGTAGCATCTTCCATTCACATTATTATCCCTCCTCTTCATTATCTCATTACATACACACCCGCGCCTTCTATTTAACCTCCTCCCACCATGGGCTTCGAAGATAAACGGATTGCCATTGTCGGCGGCGGGCTGGGCGGGATGTCCTTCCTCAACGCCGCCCTGTACGCCGGCCTGAAGAACGTCCAGCTATATGAGCAGGCGCCGCAATTCGCCGAGGTCGGCGCTGGCGTCAACATCACCTCGAACGCCAATCGCGTGCTGGACGCCTTCGGCATGAAAGAGAGCATGACACGCCGCTCATCCCGCAAACTGCCCTGCTACATGGAGTACCACAACTACAAGACGGGAGAGTATCTGGGCCACATCGACGAGTTTTCCCACCCGCCCGCGCGCCTGCTGCACCGCGCACACTTGTTGGAGTCGCTCAAAGAGCGCGTGCCGGAATCGAGTTTCAACCTGGGAAAGCGCTTGGCTTCTATTGATCGGAATAGCAGCGAGCATTCGGCACCGTACACGCTGCACTTTGAGGATGGCAGCACCGCCGAGACGGATATCGTCATTGGCTGCGACGGAATCAAATCCAATGTCCGTCGCGATATGGGCCTGGGAGACTCGCCCAACTACTCCGGCCAAGTCGTGTACCGCGGCTTTGTCGACTACAAGGATCTACCGGAGGAGACGGCGCAGCTGCTGCGCAAGACGGTCAACTTCCGCGGTCCGAAACGCCACGTACTCATCCTGCCCATTGGCAATCGCGAGACGCAGACCGACCGCGCCGCTATTATCGCGTTCATGTCGGAGCCCATTGAGTCCTGGGACTCGGAGAGCTGGATGTCCCGGTCCGACATCGAGAGTCTGCACGAGCATGTCCGCGACTGGTGCCCGCAGGTGCAGGATATCATCGCTGGTCTGCGTGCGGGCTCGCCCGACGGCCGCATGCTCAAGCAGGCGCTGTATGTGCGCGATCCGCTAGAGAAGTGGTACGAGATGAACGCTGAGCAGAAAGATGCGGGTATTATCTTGCTCGGTGACTCGGCACACTCCACGCTTCCGCACCAAGGCCAGGGCACATGTATGGCTATTGAGTCGGGTATTGCACTGGCAACTATCCTCCGCCATTGGAAGACAGATGATCTCGAGGCGGCTTTCAAGTTCTACCAGGACCTGCGCAAACCCCGAACTGACCGCGTCACACGGACCAGCGAAGAAGCTGGCAAGCTGGCTAGCTCGGACTCCCCAGATCAGCTGACGAGTAATTTCAATCCGGAGACGTTGATGGAGCGCATGAAGTGGATTATGGAGTACAATGTCCTGGAGGACCTGCGGACCAGGGGCGCTCAGTACTTAGATTTCCAGGATTCAAGGCTTTGAGGGGTTCGGGCCCGCTGTCGTACAGTAATATGATTAGCGTTTAGATTGTAGTGTGATATAAGCATGGTTTTCATCTAGATCCGTATATATCCGTTGTTGTTTTGTTTGAATACCTGCGTTCTAGGACGTAAGTGGGAAGACTAGTTCCATACATCCACATATGACGTCGGGAGTGGAAAGAAATATATATTTCCGATATCCGCATGTCTATAAACAATTACCTTAAGCCACCACATAAAATCGCAGAAGACAGAATATCCCTAGAATTAAACTATTACGAGAAACACAGTTCTATATCGACAGAACCGGATTTAGGGCTGGGCATTTTACGGCGTGGCCAGTCCCCGATCACATGCTCACACGTGCAACACCTCCGCATTTGCTTCGTCGTTACATTTTTTCCTTCTCGACACTCAACTTACTCCCTTTCAGACAGTCTGAGACCAGACATCGAGATGGAGGTGAGTACATCATCATGCGAGACCTGTATCATGCCAGCCAATCTGACCTGCCACAGTCCACCCCCTCCTCGAACGGCTTTCGATCCCGCCGCTCCTACCCATCTCTCCACCAAGTCTCCGTCGCCCCTCTCACACCCCGATTCCCCATCGACGACGACCCAGAACCAATCGACTACTTCAGTGCCCGGGATACCACCAACGAAAATGCCCCCACCGAGAGCCTGGTCTCGCCGCGGACCTCCTACCTAACCAGTGCCTCGGTCCCCGGCACGCCGTCTCTCCTCTCCCATTCCCGCAGTGCATCTCGGCCACGACACGCACGAAGCAAAAGCTCGGGCCGTGCCGGACACCTAAGCGATACAAACCTGCATGCCAAAGATATCGCACACGCCCTGCATCACCGCCAGTCCGCCTCACACAGCAATAGCACCAGCCAACGACACAGCTCGGCGGCGTACTCGAAGCGCCAATTCAACTCGACCGGCCATGGCGCTGCGACTGCAACATCCGATGCCGAGTGGATGCTCCGTGCCGGCATCGCGCTGGCCTCATCGACGCGCGAGCAAAAGGGCCAGAGCTGGCTCTCCAAGCGTGAGAGCTCCACCAGCCTCGTCTCGGAGGTGCCTTTCGACGAGTCCCCCCATACTGCGACCCGCCATCACCACCGCAGCAAGTCCGGTGCCTCATCGCGCAAATCTCGATCTGGTGCTTCTACGCCTGGCGGCGCATTGTCCCGTCGCAGCTCGCGCTCCCGTGGCGGAAGCCGTCGCAGCAGTCGCGGGGGGCTTACCATGACTGCCATCCCGCCGCCTTTATCGTCTGTGCCCTCCTCGACAGCGGGCAAGGTCCCCACCGCTGACCCGGCGGAGGGAACTGCGAGTCCCGAAGAGGCGCGCGGCAGTGATCCCGCGCTGGTCGCGGACTTTGTGGACGAGCGGATCCGCGCCGAGATGGCTGCGCTGCAGCACCAACGCCGGGAGCGAGGAATCTCGGATGAAGACTCTGAGTTCCACATGGAAGGGGATGGGGATGGAGAAGGTGACTATGACTCCGACTCGCAGTACGACTATTCATCCTCCTCAACCCCCGACGACGACTTCGACGAAGCCGATCTACAGCGTCTAACCCGCGAGCGCGGGTTCGGGCTAGGCACCTGGCTCGACCGGCTGGTGGAATGGACGCTTTTCAGCACGGACGAGTGGCCCGGCGCCTCGGCGCCTGGCACGGCTCAGGCGCGGATCGGTTCTGCTCCCACCTCTACGACGGTTACATTCGAGGAGCCGGTGGTTATCCCCCGCGTCGAGACGGATGATCATGATCGGCACCACGACAATCTCTCGCTCGCTTCGTCGGCGGAGTATGGGTATGATGACTCCGAAGACGGCGACGACACTAGAGATGTTGATTCCCTCTCTCATACGAATGGCGAAGAGTCGACTGCCCAGGTTGAGAAACCCGGTGCAAAGGGCGGGTGGGAGGATGCTGGGTGGTTGTTCCGCTTGGTCAAGCGAGCCATCTTATAATTTCTTATATTTCTTTCTTCTCTTTCTTTATTATTTTTTTTTGGCGAGATAAGAAAGAAGTAAAAGACAGCGAGTTGCAGCGTCGGTCCGTGTGTCATTTTTAGTTTGGCTGGAGCCCCGTGGGTTTTTGGGCTTGGATACATCACTTGACCCGGTCACGCGAAGATTAATAATGTTTCGAAGATCAATGAGAGATGGAAGTTGCATTTCTTTAGAGATCTTGTTCTAATTACATAGGATTCTAAGTGTCCCATCACAGGGTGAGATTGGCACGCTAGCTGATTCCGTATACTCACCCACGAGGCAAATATGAGAGTACATAAGCCAAGGGACCTAGACCCAGGGCTGAGGGGCTTAGGCAAGGGGGTGGGATAAACAGTACAGACGGTATACGGGTTGTTGCGGATTCTGCGAACTATCTAGCTGACGAGGGACATGTCATGTTCTTCTCCCCAATAGTAATCAAATAGATAGGAACGAACACCAGGAGAAAGCACGAGGGAGAAAGCGAAGCTAGGCGATGTACACAACTCCAGAAGCGCCAAGAATAACAAGGGAAGAAAGTAGTATGCCATCGCAGGGAAAGTATCAAGAGTGGCCCAAAAGAGAGTGTGGAGGGAAGAGAAAATGAGGTGACCGAAAGCGCCTGCCTGCATCAAGAGAGACAAGAAGAACCGAAGAAAAGCAATTCTGCACAAGACAGATATGAAATCAAAGAATCAATTCAATTCGGAATGTTCGAGCAGAACAAAGGGAAGAGGCAAAAACATAAAAGCTAGGCACATCATCCATCTTCCAGAAAGTGCAAAAAAAAGGACAGGTTATTCGCCTTTGCATACTATAAAACGCCAATCTGACTGAGACCAGGGTAGTTTCTCTAAAGTGTCATGCAGCAGGTATCGTGATCGTGATATGCGTCGGGGGGTCGACCGGTTCTGGTCTTTCGTCGAAACAGCAGCAGCCAGGAGGAACCGGCGATAGGGACGTGATGAGCTTGTGTGCGACGGACCGCGGGCACAGGAGTGATTGAGTAATGAGAGAGATGCGATGCGATGCGGGTGGTCATGTGGGGCCGATGATGAGTTGGTCGTTACGTATTGGTTCAGGTCACTTTTTTTCACCAGGGGCCAACCTTGACGGGAGTCCCCAGCCCATAGGTGCCCGAGAAAAGCTGATCTCGTATCGAGCCCATTTCACTACCGCCGCCAGGGCTGTGAGAGGGCGTGTTGTCGGACCCGGCCATCCACCCCAGGCTGGAGCCCAACTCGTTCACTGCCGCCTGGAGCTTACCTCCGGAGTTCTGGTTGTGTTTGGCCAACGTCTGGTCCCAGCTGCCATACTGCAGCTGGATGCCACCGCCCCGTTTGCCTGCTTCTCGGATCACCAGGATCCAAGCCTTGCAAATCTCATCATAGGCGGAGTCCCGCTCGAAGTTGTTCTGGATCGTGCTCCATCGCGGCAGGGCATGGATGATATCCGTCGCTCCGTCGAGATAGCTCAGCGAGGTGGACACCTGCGGCTCGTTCGGGGGGAGAAAGTTGGGCGTGAAGTCGTTCAGGGCGTCGAGGAGGTTGCTAAGCGGCTGACGGACTCGGTTGTAGGCGTAGTCGGACTCGGGGTTGCCACCCAGGGGGAACGACGACTGGAGAGCCGCCTGGTAATTTCGGAGCACCTGCAGGGTCGAGGAGACGCTGGGTCGGGGGGAGGTGTGCACCACCTCGTCGGCTAGCTGGGGGTGGCGCTCGCACATGGTCCGAACCACCGCCCGTAAGGCATCTGTGTCCAGCGTTTCTAGCAGACGAGGTAGAGCCAGCGGTCGTCCTGAAATGTTCGGTCGGGAACGCTTGATGTTCCGCATGGGAGGCAGCTGGCGAGGGGTGAAGGCGGGTGAGTTGGTTGGGGAAGCAGACATGCGTCCGTCGTGGTCGTTGCCATCGTCGTCAGCTTTCCGCTTCCGGGAGGTATAGGAGGATGGTGTAGACACTTGTTCGATTTTGTCAGTATCGGACATTCGAAAGAGAGATGAAGAGGCCATCTAGTCTTACTTATACGGGAGGGAGAATGTCGAGGATGCTCGTAGAAATGGGGAGGCACAGGAGGCGTGGCCACCAGGCTGTTCATGATGACCACAGCCGGATGGCAAGCAAAGTCTCCTCAGACGGAGACCAAGAAAGGGACAGAGAAAAAAATGTGGAGGGAAAAGAGGTAGAAGGAAGGGTGGAAAAAAAGGAGGGAGAGAGAAGGGTGAAGAGGTGAGGTGAAGAAGAAGCGGAAGAAGTGGGGAGGAAGACAAGCGGTGGAGAAAAGAAAGAAATGGTAATTGTTGCGGGCGGCAACGCAACCCTGATGCGCAGTTGGCAATCACCAAAATTATTAGTAAAATATTGGGCTCTCCCTTCCTATCCGGACTACATGGTAGACATTCTGGACTGACACTACAGAACAAGAAAGAAGCTACAGGACCAACATCGTGAAGTCGTCATACCGTCGTACCGGGCTGCTTTCAGGCAGGGCTCCGCCCGGCACCCGCATTCGATACATGCATTTCGTTTGCTACTAGATATATCTACAAGTACAGAGACTGTGCGGCAACAATATCTCGCCGCACCTTGGCCAACGCCAACTCGAAGTTGGCCTCCAGCTCCTCGCTGCCCATCACCTTGGCCGCCTGGGCCATCTGCCGCAGACACTCCTCCAGCCGCCGGAAAACCCGGATCAAGCTGCCCTCGTAGACATCGGTCATTTTGCTGCAGGACAGTACATTAGCCTGGGTTCCAATAGAATTAACAAAAATACATACCAGATCTCTCCAAAGCTCTTGCCGTGCGCCCAGTCGAAAATGACTTCCATCAGTTCCCAGTGGAAGCTCTGCACATACTCGTCTTCGTTGAGGGCCATCTTGGACTCTTGCGAGACCTTGGCAATAATCCGAGCTTGCGACTGAATCTCCTTAAGAGGCTTGGCCAAATCGTCTCGGGTCAGGGCAGGGGCCTCTTTGACCTTCTCCTCGAACACGAACACGCTCATGACCGCCGCCAGCTGCTCGGGGGTGAGGTTGTTGAAGAAACCATTGAACAACAGCTCGCTGAGCATCAGTTCATCGCCAGTGCTGATCTCACACGCAACGCGGGCCTTCAATTGAACGACCTCAGCCTCGTTGATGAATCCAAACCGACGGAGCACACGCTTGCGGTTCTTCAGTTCGTCCAGCTGCAAAATCGATTGAGCCTCCGTGATTTTCTTCTTGTTCTCCTTGATCTGCGTGCCAAGCGCCACCTTCTGGGCATACTGCTCATACAGATCGCGCAGCCGTGGAGAGTTGTGCAGCGGGTTGCTCAGAAGACGAGACTCGAGGACTTCGATTTTCTAGGTGGAAAGATCAGCTTGAATTACTCGAATAAAATTCGTGTTCACATACCCGTAGCAGCTTTTTAAACGAATCATCTTCGATCCGCATATCCTCAAGCGGATCAAGGACGGCGATACCGTCTGGGAACCGCCGGTGCACCTCGTCTATGTGTTTCCTGATACCATTCCGCGTGTCGACCGAAACGAGATCTCTCGGGAGATGCAGCCGGATATGGGAAATACCAGCAATACAAGACATCGTCATCGGCACAACCTCCATACGGGCTTTCTCTCCCTCCTTGGCAGGTCGAATGCCTGCCGGGATGTCGTCAAAGGTCTTGGTGCTCACGGACGGCCCGTCAGCAATTTTTACCAGCACATCAGCGATGTGCGACTGATGCGGGCTAAAGGTTTCGGTGGAGTGCTTCGGAACCTTGCGTTCCTTGACGTTGACCACGGCACCCCAACCAAAGTCGAGCCCTCTGTGTTTGACGTGGATCAAACGACCCGGTTGGAGGAAAGATAGTGCATACTTGGGATGGGAGAGGACAATCTGAACGTCGTCGTTATACTTGTCAAGTTGCTCTCGCAGCTCGTAGTAGTCACGGATGGTGCCTTCGTCGGAGATGGTCATATTGGCCTTCTTCTCCTCCAGCTCACGAAGCTCCTTTTCCAGACCAACAACGCTCCCTGCGTTCTGGAACTGCTTGAAGCACCTTTGAAGCATGAACTCCGGTGAGATGCCCTCCACACGCATCAGGTTGAGAATCATGTTGTAGCCCAGATGAAAGGCCGAGTTGAGCCGATCCTGCTCACCGCGCACAATCTCCTTGGCCACAGCAGGCTCCATCTCCTCGCCAATCATCATGATCACAATACCTCGGTCATCAAGACCTCTTCGGCCTGCGCGTCCTGACATTTGAATGAACTCGGACGGTGTGACCCAGCGCTGGCTCTTTCCATCGAATTTGCGAACGCTGGTGAAGACCACAGTCTTTGCAGGCATGTTCAACCCAATAGAAAAGGTCTCAGTTGCGAACAAGACTTTGATGAGACCTTCCTGGAACAGAATCTCGATGGTTTCCTTCAGGATTGGAAGTAGCCCCGAGTGGTGAACACCGATGCCTTTCTGAAGAAGGGGAAGGAGGTTCTGGATCTGGGGCAATTCCTGGTCTTCTGGGGAGAGCATCTCGATGGCGCTGTGGAAGACCTTGACGACCATCGCTTTCTCCGAGTCATCATTGAATGACAAATTTTTCAAATTGAGGGCTCCCGCCTCGCATTCGCGTTTGCTGAAGCTGAAGACGATGACCGGGTTGAACTTGTTGAGCATAATCATCTTCACGATTTTGAAAATGTCTGATGGACCCTTGTTGCCGCCCGTGTTAGTCTTCTTATCCTTGCCCTTGCCTTTCCGTTTGGCCATAGCATCGGCCGGGTCATCACCCTTCTTGTTCGCAATGGCGCTCATCGCTTTCTGGAAGTTCTCCTCGCGAAACACCCCCTTTTCATCCACGACTAGATGAATACCCTCGCCATCAGCGGGGAAAAAGTAATGTTGCAACGGGGTCGGCCGGTAATTCGTGTATACAACGTGGCAGGGTTGGTCATGTGTTTTCACGATCCACTCGGCGAACTGCATGGCGTTGGGGATGGTGGCAGACAAGAAGACGTAGCGAACCTTGTCGGGCAACAAGATGATCGTTTCTTCCCAGACAACGCCACGGTTCAAGTCGCGCATATAGTGGATCTCATCGAAGACCACCCACGCAACTTCACGCATAATCTCCGAGCCCCGGTACAACATGGACCGAAGAATTTCAGTGGTCATGACCAGACAGGACGCCGTCGGATTGATCGTCACATCACCAGTCATCAGGCCGACATCTCCAAATTCGGCAGCAAACTCTCGGTATTTCTGGTTGCTGAGCGCTTTGATTGGACTGGTGTAGATGACTCTCTGGTTGAGCTTGAGACTCTGTGCGATGGCGTATTCTGCGACCACCGTTTTGCCGGCACTAGTATGGGCCGACACCAGCACACTCTCCTCTCTCTGTATTGAAGAAACCGCGACTTGCTGGAACGGGTCGAGGGGAAATGGCCATGTCTTCGCGGGCTCCGCCGGTGGCTTGTGCTGGGAAATGGGCACGTAGGGATAGTTTGGAGGGATGGCAACTTGATGGCGTACTTGATGCGATAGCACCATTGACCCCTGGTCCGGAATTAGACCCCCAGATCCCGAGATCTGCTGCTCCTGCTCGGTTTCGAACGTATCAGCGACCACGGGCGCGGGTTCCTGGTCGAGGCGTAGTCGTTTTGCCTCGGGCTGCTCGTTCTCTGCAGGCGATTTCGCGGAATCAATCTCTGCCGCCGGCGCATCCGACAGGACAACATCCTCTTTGTCCTCTACCGGTGCGCTTGCATTTTGCTTCACATCGCCGTTGACTTGACGCTTTTTGCTCCGATCCTTATCCTTCTTAGGGCGTTTGGATGTGCCCTCCGCAGGCTTGGCCGCCTGGGGCTTGTCGTCAAAGACGTCGAAGAGCTCGTCCATCTTCAGCGGGCGAATCCACAGAAGCAGTAAGGAAAGAGAGCATGGAACCTTTTTTTTCTGCGGGAAAATCCAGCGGGTATTGATCGGGAAGGCGGTATAGATCGCTGGCGGTCAAGCCGAAGAATCCACGTGACCAAATATCACCTGACCAACCACTCGCATTCCACACGAGTTTGGCCTCGTCCGTCCACTCCCGAATCATCCACGACTCTCCCCTCTGCATCCCAAGGTGGGTGGCCCCACGGTCGCAATTGTGTCAATGGACTCAGCCTAACATTCACCTGCTAGATGTACGCTTCCTCCGCTATCCGGGCCCGCATGGCCACCACCGTCGCTCGCCGTGGCTTCTCGACCACTCGCGCCCAGCTCGGCAGCCCATACCACTACGCGGAGGGCCCTCGCACCAACATTCCCTTCAACCCTCTGACCAAGCACTTTTTCTGGAGATACTGGGCCTTCATGAGTGAGTGAACCCCGTCAATGGCCAGGCGGCATGCAATCACACAGCCAACTAACTCGGGGGATCCTTCAGTTACCGGATTCGGTGCTCCCTTCGCCATTGCCGGTAAGTCTTGCTGCCCTTCGCAGCTCTCGAGTCCTTCTAATATGATCAATTCTTCAGTCTGGCAAACCATGAAGACCAAATAAGCTGTCTTCCATGCTGTATTAGTTTTAGCAGACAATCGGGGATGACTTAGGAGGTAGTCTTTGCTTCTGGGTGAAGTGAAAAGCCGTGGGATATCAATGTACAAACCTACAAGCCTAGAGAATCGTATTGGTTCTTGATTTCTTTTGTCATCTCTTCCATTGTAGCCGTGTAGGAGCTTGTAACAGCTGTGAGGCGGTGATGGGGTGGCCCTTCAAATGGCCATGAAGTCATTGGCCGAGCGGAAAATCAAAATTCTTTTGCATCAACTCCATTTCTGTCGCACAACTCCTTCGGGCAACAGACACTCGCCTTGCTGGGGAATGAAGCAAAGTGTCTCTTTCTGGAAATTCGAGACCAGAAAAAAAGACCTTTGTTTTACAATTTCTTCCCTTGATGGCGGGGTAAAAACAGAATTCCACTGAAAAGATTAAGATGCGCAACTTAAGGAACGTTCGTCTCTTAGAGACGCCAGTCCAGAGCGATCTTCCACTCACAGCCACGGCCTGGGATGTTTCCTCGGATTCGGTTGTGTGCACCTTCGGTCCTGCTGAGGGCAATGCAATCATCGAGCTGCGAAGGAAGCGCCCTGAGCAGTGCTCCGCCGAGCCTCTCACTCCCGACGCATTCGAGTGTATCGCTTCCTGGGATGCACCATGCCCTCTACCAGACTTGGCTTGTGATCGAGTTCTCTCCCTACACTACTTCGCAGACAATCTGACGGCCTGCTTGGTGCTGGAGGGCGGTGATATTATCCTTGTCCGTGAGGAGCCTCTCCCCGGTGAGGATAAAATTGAAATCTTGGGCTCAGTCGACGTGGGAATCACTGCTGCGGCATGGTCGCCCGACGAAGAGCTGCTGGCAATCACCACGCGCGCTCGTACCTTCTTGTACATGACTCGCGAATTCGAGAATGTGGCCGAGATCACTTTCACAGGCGACGACTTGCAAGCCTCGCAGCATGTGTCTGTTGGATGGGGTAAGAGGGAAACTCAGTTCCAGGGAAAGAGAGCAAAAGCCCTCCGCGACCCGACCGTGCCTGAGAAGGTCGACGAAGGGAAATTGAGCAGCTACGACGACGCCCGCACTACGATCAGCTGGCGCGGAGATGGTGCCTATGTTGCTGTGAACAGCATCGAGGCGGGAACCCGCCGAGCAATTCGGGTGTATTCCAGAGAAGGCACCCTGGACAGCGTGAGCGAGCCTGTTGACGGACTGGAAGCTGCTCTGAGCTGGCGGCCGTATGGAAACCTTATCGCCGGTATCCAGCGTCTAGACGACCGGATTGACGTGGTCTTCTTTGAGCGCAATGGACTCCGCCACGGCCAATTCTCTCTTCGGTTGAACGAAGCGGAGCGGCACTCCTGGGCCTCGCGGATTTATCTGGCTTGGAACGTTGACTCCACAGTACTCGCAGTTTGCTTCAAAGACCGCGTGCAGCTCTGGACTATGGGAAATTACCACTACTATTTGAAGCAAGAAATTCCGGTAGTCATCGACCCTGCCTCTCAGAACCCGTTCTCGTTTGAATGGCATCAAGAAAAAGCATTGCGCTTTGTTGTTGGTTCTTCAAGTATGTCGTCTTTCCAAAAACACAAAGAAAAAGCAGAACTGATAATGGTAGGCTCGATCTTGGACTTGGATTATGTCTTCGATATCAATCATGGGTCTACGGTGATTCCAGATGACGTCGGGGCTGTCGCTGTCTTCGATGGACGTGAGTGCTTCTTACATCATTTATCCTCAATTTGCCTCTAACTTGAAATTAGGGATATTGAAGTTGACTCCATTAAGACTGGCGGGTGTTCCACCCCCTATGGCACACAACGAGCTGGCACTCGACTCCAATGTCATTGATGTGGCATTCAGCAAGTCTGGTACCAGAATTGCTGTCCTCATGCAGGACCATTTCTCGGTGTTCCTGTGGCCTTTGAAGAGCCGTCCAGTTGCAGTTCCTATGTTGGAGTCAAGCTATCCTCTGTCCGATGCCTCGCAGAGTCGACCGAGACAAGTCGCTTTCTTGAATGAAAATGAGGTGTATGTGCTCAAAGACAGCAGTCCGAACACCAGTCATATTGAGAGAACAGCTTTGGAAACACGCTCAACCCAGACTGTGTACCAAGCCGCGGATGCCTCGCAGCTATCCTCCATTTTCCCTGGTATTGGACACCAAGCTCTATGGTTCTCTCATGCACCCCAGCCCACACGTCCCGCGAGCTACTCGTGCGTCAATCCATCAGCAACAGACGGGTTTGAGATTTCTTCTTGGTCTGAGAGCCCAAATATTGATACCCATTGGGCCCGCGCAGTTTCAATTTCCGAGGACGAGGTACGATATCACAGTATCTGGAATTAAAATGCGATACTAATTTCTCCAGCAAATCCTGGTGACGATGACAAGGACCGGCGTGTTGTATGCGAATAAGCGTGTACTTGCAAAGAATTGCACGTCCTTCCTTCTAACTCCGGCTCATCTCTTGTTCACAACTTCCCAGCACCTTCTGAAGTTTGTTCATCTGAACCGCGTGGATGGTAAGTCATCTTTTCAAAACCTTTCGAGCTATTCTAATTCATACCATAGACATGGAGGTTCCAGGAGACACGCCAGAGACGGATGAGCGCTGCCGAAGCATTGAAAGAGGTTCAAAGTTGGTGTCCGTGATGCCTTCCATCTTCGCTGTTGTCCTTCAAGCGCCTCGAGGCAACATTGAGTCTATCTTCCCACGCGCGCTGGTTCTGGCGGGAATCCGCACATTTATCGACCAGAAACATTACCGGGCTGCGTTCCTTGCATGCCGTAGCCAGATGGTGGATATGAATATTCTCTACGACTACGCTCCCCAGCAGTTCATGGAGAACGTCCAGCTATTCATAGAGCAAGTCAAAAAGGTTGACTTTATTGATGACTTTCTTTCTCGTTTGAAGTATGTGACATTTCTGAGATTTTATAATATTTCCATACTAACCTCTACTTAGGGAGGAGGATGTTTCACAGACCCTCTACAAAGACACACTCAAAATTTCGAAAAATGAGTCCGCTGCTGCTGGTGCTCAACCAGACGACTCTACAAAGCCTCCTGTGTCTATGCCTACCAGTAAAGGGAGTAAGGTCAACCGCATCTGCGATGCCTTTTTGGCTTTTCTTCAAAATCGCGTGGATACCAATCTACACAACTTGATAACGGCCCACGTTTGCAAGTCACCACCAGATTTGGAGGCTGGTTTGAGGCTTGTTGCTCGTCTCAGAGGTATTCTCTACCTACCTAGAAGGTTGAATTGCGACTGACATGGATTAAGAACACAACACTGAACAAGCGGAGGATGCTATTGAGCACATGGTCTTCTTGACAGATGCCAATCGTCTATACTCGCATGCGCTGGGTCTGTATGACCTGGAGCTCACGCTATTGGTGGCGCAACAGGCTCAGATGGTAAGCACTTCTGTTGTGGTAACTTTCAGGGTATTTGCTAATCATCTTCCAGGATCCTCGAGAGTACTTACCGTTTCTCCGTAAGCTGCAGCAGTTACCAGAGCTGCGACGTCAATTTGAGATTGATAACCATCTTTCTCGATTTGCGAAGGCTTTGAAACATCTACATGCTCTCAATTCCCACGAAGAGATCCAGCCTTATATCATTAAGCACGTTCTGTACAAGGAGGCTCTTGATATCTTCAAGTACGAGCGTGAACATCAACGAGAGATCACATTGATCTACGGCGAATATCTCCAAGATCAGTCCAAGTACAAAGACGCAGCGATCGGTATGATAATTTTGCTAGCCCCCAAAGAATGACTATCAGCTAACCTCGACCACAGCCTACGAATCTCTTGAGCGCTACGATGAAGCCTACAAATGCTACAAGCTGGCGCATATGTGGCGCGAGTCCCTCTACTGTGCCATGATGGTTCCTCTCCCCGAAGATGAATTGACAGCACACATGAACGAATTGGCCACAACTCTCGTCGATGAGAGCCGAGACTACGTCAGCGCAGCCACCATCCATGCCGACCATCTCCACGACATCATCACCGCAGCCCGACTTCTCTGCCGCGGCTCCAAGTTTGCCGATGCCGCCCGTCTGCTCACACTGCACGGCAAAAAGACCCATGTCACAGAGATAGTGGACACGGGGCTTGCCGAAGCAATGGGTGCCATGACCGACCTATTAGCCGACTGCAAGTCTCAACTCAACGCCCAAGTCCCGCGCGTACGCGAGCTCCGCGAACGCCGCGCTGCGGACCCACTTGCTTTCTTCGGTGGCGATCCTACTCTCGGCGACGGCGGCGCAGATATTCCCGACAATGTCTCGCTAGCTCCAACCGAGGCATCAACACTAGCCGGTCGCACCATGTTCACGCGCTACACGGGCAAGACAACCTCGTCGCGCCAGACTTCGAAGACCCGCCGGCGCGAGGAGCGCAAGCGTGCACGCGGAAAGAAGGGAACCGTCTATGAAGAGGAGTATCTTGTTAACAGTATTCGACGTCTCATTGAGCGCATCAATTCTGCCGTGTCGGAGGCAGAGAATCTGGTTGATGCGTTGCTGCGGCGTGGAATGCGTGAGCGTGCTGCTGCCATCGAGAAGGCCCTGGAAGAGGTCTTGATTATGTGCGCTGATTCTCGGGACGAGGTATTTGAGGTCCCAGCGGCTACCGTGCAGAGCGAGGAGCAGGATGACAACAACCCCAACCCCGACGAAACCCTGCCGCTGCAAGGCGGTGCTGCCGTTCTCGCAGAAAGCTTTGCTTCGATCACTGGCACTGGTGAGAAGAGGAAGGAGGCCCCTGTTGTCAAGGAAATGAGAAAGTCTTCCTTGCTTGTTTGATTTGGCAGAGCCAGGGCGGATACTAGTGGGAGGCCATGGGATATCATTTCTCCAGTCTAGGCATGCGAATCCTGGATACATACAGGGCGGATACTATTAGTTTAGCTATGTCGCATGTGGAATACCAATGATCAGTTCCCGAGTCAATCCAAGACAGCGTCCTCACAAATGCTTCATGATTATGAAGGTTAATTACAATTTCGGTACAATTTCGACCGAGACCACTAAGGAGTACGTACTTTTCCTACCAGATCTGGCAGAAGCTATCGGATGCCCCCGAAATACAACGATCCTACAATAGCCATGATGTCGATCACCCCCGCAAGACCCCGCAACAATCGTTCGAAGCATCGAGGTCCAAGCACAGGGTCCAAAGGATCCAAGTACTAGTGCCGGGTATGTCGGAGGTCTCGATTTAGAGGGGCACAGATTCTACGAAAGAGAAGATGTTCAGGCGTAGCTCGATCTCAGACGGGAAGATCGGGGTGTGATAGACCGATAACAGGGATGAAAAAACTTGCACTCCACTAGACTTCTGGCTCTTAAATAAATGATCATCCGTTGTTCAAGATGTGTCTGGCAACATTAGTCCAAGATGACTCGCCTTCTTTATTTCGCCTTGACCTTGGCCCTGTCGCCTAGGGCTGTCGCGGCTAGCCCTAAAAAGAATGTCACAGACATCGTTCCAGGCTTGTATGAGAATCAGATGGCATTTACTGCAGCCAGCTGGTACCTGCCTTATCAGAGCAAGCTCACCGATACAGAAAATGCCACAACCTGGGTTCAGATCGATTTGGGGGACAACGCGTCTCCCGTTGAGCAGGTACAAATATATCCGCTGGTTCAACCTCACTATTGGCCAGAAGCCATGCCATTCATCAGCTTTGCTTTTCCCAGCCGCTGGAAGGTTGAGGCTGATGACACGGACTCCTTTGGTAATCCAACTATGCTCATCGACCGTACCGACGAAGACCAGCCCAACCCAAGAGATACCATTCAGACAGTTCCCGTCGATCATAAACAAAGGGCTGGCCGTCGATATTTGCGGTTTACTGCCACAAAACTAGGTATAAGCATAGATGGGCAGCATTATCAGCTGGGTCTCTCAAAATTGAGCGCTCTGTCTGATGGAAATGATCTTGCTGAAGGCAAGGAAGTCGCTGTCGATCCCGTTCTGGGAAACAGCGGTGTTGTCAACCTTGGCTCAGATCCATACAACTCCGATCTGCCTATAAGCAACTCGTCGGGCTTGACTAGACCTCCAAGAGCAATGGGCGAAGGTGTGATCACTGACAATCCCGAAAATGTGATCGACCCTAAGGACTGGAAGCCGCCCCAACTGCTTGTGTCGACTCCTCTATCCAGTGTAGAGCTGGGTGATGGTGTGATCAAGGCTGCAATGGTCGACAACATCGGGTACTTGCTCAACGATTCCTTGGGCTCCATTGACAAGCTGGTGCACGACTTCCTCGCGCGCGCAGGAAAGCCAGCTCCCTCAAACCTGGACTACCCGATCGGGTACTGGGCACAATATCAGGGATCGAACGCTGCTCGGTTTTTGATGGGGGCTTCTAATACCTTGCGTTGGATCGACAATAGCGAGCTCCGCCGCCGAATGGAGGCCGTCGTCGCTACGATTGCTGAGTGTGCTGAACCAGATGGATACATAATGGGTTATCCGCAAGACCAAATGTTCCTGGGAGAGCATGCCGCATACACACGTTCATGGCTCACGCACGGGCTGATTGACACAGGTCTTACCGGTATTAAGAAAGCGTTCACTCTCCTGCGTGGTTACTATGACTGGTACAACAAGTATCCCCTACTCAAGCATTTGATGAGGGGATCAGTACAGGGTGCGCAGGGAATGGTTGCCAACACCCTGATGGCCCGCAGCCCTGTCGGAGCTCCCAAAGACGCGAATGTAATCCAACAATATTTCCAAATGAACTTTTGGCGCGACGGCCTTGCTGCGAGAGATCCTAGCATGATCTGGCAATATCCCTACGATCATCCACACACCTACCTCAGCACCAACATGGAAGCCTATGCAGATCTATACCTACTCACCGGTGACCAGCGGTACCACGACATGCTACTTGGCTACTGGGAGCTATTCTCCAAGCATTGGATCCACATCGGCGGTTCAACTGCCATTGTGGAATTCGGACAGTACCCACCAGACTCATATAGACTGGACGGCCTGACGGGGGAGCTTTGTGGAAATAGTTTCTGGATCCGCTTGAACCAGCGTTTACACTGGCTGGATCCGGATAATGAAGCCTACATGAGTCAAATCGAGCAGTCTATTTACAACGTCGTTCTCGCCAACCAGGACGGCGACAAGGGGATCATTTACCATGCTAACCTCGTCGGCCAAAAGGATTTCGAGGACCCGGCTGTGAGCCCCTATGGTAATGGCATGATCAATACCTGCTGCGAGGGCCAGGGCACGCGGACCCTGGGCTCACTCGCAGAGTTCATCTTCTCCAGCGCCAACGATCGTTCCGGTGTCTATGTGAATCTCTTCGACACCGCAGCGATTACCTGGTCGACGCAGGATAACCACAACGCAACTCTTAGCATGACAACACAGTTCCCATTTCACAACGATGTGCATATGACGTTTTCCTCGTCAAGCAAATCCCCACTCCGCGCCAACATCCGGATCCGCATCCCATCCTGGGCAGCAAGACCTATGCAACTTTCTATTAACCACAGCAACACCACCATCACGGGTCATCCCGGATCTTACCTATCAGTCGATCGCATGTGGTCTTCAGGAGACACTGTGTCATTCATTCTACCGACCGAATACCACTTGGAAGAGTACACAGGCGAATACGAGATCCCTGGCCACTCGCGTTATGCCCTCGAGTACGGTCCTGTGCTCATGGCCTTTGCTGGTGCCTTGAGCAACGCATCTATTAGTGTCTCTGGATCCAAACCTTCATCGCTTGTTGGTATGCTTCAAGACAATGGTCAGCCACTGCATTCCTCGATCCCGGGGTATGAATCATATGAAGTTATGCCGTACTGGCAGATTGAGCATCAGAATTTCACTTGTTTTCCTGTTCTTGACGTGCCTAGTTAAATGGTGAAGAGAGGACACGAAATGCAGTGTTGAATAATAATGCACCGGTCATACATATAGTAGTTCCCCGACGAAATCCCTAAAGAAGGCAACGCGTCCAAACCCAGAGCACAGACAGCACAGAGTCAATCCTTTGAGGCCTAGCATGCAGAACATCTATGTACAAAACACGCTAGCAGGCCTCCCATCTCAACAGCACCGCACATCCATATGTATAAGGGTGGGTGTCGGGCCGGATGTGTATGAGCAGAAAGACAGAAAGAAAGCCGCAATGAAAACGCACAAAGACGCGGCCTGACCCTCAGATAAAGATGAAACAAACCATGAAACCCAACCGCGTAGTTAACTATCATAGCCCATAATGACTCCACTTGATGTAAGAAATGATGCACCAGGTATACACACGAAGGTTCGCTCGAGTAATCACACGGCAAGAAAACCACCCGGAAAACTGAACACCCACCACTTCCCCATGTAAAAAGAAAGGCTAAAAAGAGATCGTGTCGCGTCGTAAATCCTGTGTAGCTTGACGGATTTTTTTCTTGTAAGGTCCCTGCTATTCTAGTTGCGCGAAGACTTTTTGATTTCGAGAATGTCTGGTCCATGGCCGACTAGGGAAAACAGTGTGAGGTTGAAAGAAAAGGCGAAAGAGTCAACCTCCGTTTGGTAGAAGAGAGGGATCTTGACTAGTTGAGAATGGGTAGAGGATGGATAGGGGTCTTGTCTTGTCCGTTGTGTTGATGGAATAAGATTCCTGCCAACCAACCCCATCCTCTTTGGTCCCAGGCGCACAAAATGCAAGATGGGACAATCTCGGCTGAGGCAGAATGGCCATGTAAGAGGGGAGAGCCTTCAATTTAAAAAAGTGTCAGACCCATTGTCATCTCTCGCTGAGAACCTCGTCAATCGTATTGGAAGTCAGTGATCCGGCTGAAGGCTGAGTAGCAGAGCCTGATCCGCTAGCGGAATGTAGAGCTTTATCCTTTCGAGGCTCGGGCAGCTGCTCTTCCTTCATGCAAGCATTCTCCAAGATATTGGTCCATTTCCCACTACTTCCTGCATGGCTGTGCTTCAAATGTTGTCGGAAATGATCGGCACGGAAGAATTTCTTCGCGTTGTTGCACTCGCCATACTTGTGCACAGTAGTCAGATGTTCAAACCGCCGGTCCCAATCTGGTTGGGGGAAGTTCGGGAACTCCTCTCCGCAGTAACCACATGTGTCGTGAGAAGGCCCAGCAGTAGTCTGGGCGGAGGGAGCTGCAGAGCCATGAAAAGCGGATTGATAGTTTGGTAGAGCGGCGCATGACCATGAATGAGGTCGGAGGTGAAGAGAATTCTGGTGACGTTCTGCTTCGTTCTTGTTCTTGAATCTGTTGTTGCAATACTGACATGAGTACTGCTTCTCCATCTCATGAACTCTGGGAAATAAATCAGCTAGGAACAGTCCGGATGTGAAGTAGTCTCTGCATACCGTAGATCGTCCGGATTATCAAACTTTTTGGGCTTCTTTGGACAGCAGTCGCAAATGTAAAGCCCGCTCATCTTTGAGCTTGCTCCTTTAGAGATATTCAAATTAGCCGGCATTGGTATCTTCCCGGTCGTGTCCGTGATCGGCGGTTCCAGCGAGTTGGACCCCGAAATGCCTCTGGACACGGCCGGATGAATGAGTGGGGCTCCAGCAGAGGCGCTTGGATTCATGATTGACTTCTCATGGAAGGTATCGAGATCTGAGCTGGGGGAGAGGCCGCCTGGAGACGGTCGATCGTAAGGTGACAAACTGGTCATGCTGCTATTTCCAATCGACAGGGTGGACGAGTACGAGCCGGAGGTGTGGATGCTCAAGGACGATCCGGCCGATAGGGTCCGGTGGCTTGGAGCATAACTGTTGTTCACTGACAGCGTGTTCGAAAAGGGTTGCCCACTCTTCCGCCGCTGGGATAGATCACTACTGCTCATGGTTACGCGCAAAGTGGGGTGTCTATCGTCGGTCATCGGTTCTCGTGGGGGTGAAGATGCTCGCCGCTTCATGCCCTGCTTCGAAGTTTCTGCGTAAGGAGGTGTCGGTTCCCGGATAACAAATTGTCGCGGGGCCGCAGGCTCATCGGTAGAGAATTCGCCCTCGAGATCTGAGAAAACCCCTTGGTCGTAGCTACCCCGGTTCGATCGGCTTGGTAGACTGATGCTATCCTCTCGTTGGGGCGTCGTTCCGCCATATCGACGCCGGTAACCGTGATGATCGTAATCCAACGCCGCGGATGGTAAGATACTCTCTAAACTCGGACTGCGGCCATCAATGTACTCTCTCCTCCAGCCAACTTTGGTCCTGGGCGACACTCCTCCGGACTGGGGGCTGTTATGCCATTTCACATCTAACGTTGAGCTCTCTGATGGACCGGGGGAGGGAATATTGCTCGTCGTTCGTGAAGGTACCGTGAGTGCTGGCACCGAGCCTCGATTTTCCGTGCCCTGGCTAATCGATCCCCGAGGGGACAACGGTTTTCCAATCTTTGATAACAGGTGCTGATCATATGCATTGGACGAGTCTTGCACACTGCGTAATGAGAAATTGCGCTCTCCTTTCAAACTATAACAGAGTTAGCGCATCGAAAAGCGTACATGTTGTTAGGTCTTGAGCAAAACTACTCACACTGGGCCAGATTGGTTAACCGACACGGAATTGGGGAATCCTTCATCGGCTGGTGGAGGCGGTGCAATCATGATTTGGGCCTCCGGGCTCCGGGATACTGGTACGCCACTCTGTCGGCCTTCGAAGTCGTCATCCACTGCCATGCGATCACTTTGAAGAACCGACTCTGCCCGTCGATGACCTCCAAACAAGCTCGAGTTCGGATTAATAGGTGCAAGATGACTTGGCTTTTCTGAATTAGCGTGTAGCCAGCCTGCATCATAGCCGTTGTCCAGATCATGGATCCTCGGAGGTGGTGGTAATGGTGGAGGAGCGGTGTTCATAGCGGTTCGTGATGGGATGGGCATCGGGCCGTGTGATGAGAATGGCATCTCCGGCATAATGTGCGCAGATCGATCGGGGAAGCCGCGGTAGCTGTGATCTCGGAAATCATGGGAGTACATGGACGGCGGCGAGATCAATCGTGGGTGATTCATTCCAGAAAGGCCGATATGGTGAGAACCGGTGGGCGTCCAACATGGGCGAGCCCAGATTGGAGCAAATCAAGCCTCTCGCGGTGTGAGGAATCCAGAATTGATAAGCAGGTTGAAATCCAGATTGCCCAGTGTGTTGTTCTCGCAGCAATAGCCCAATCCAGTTGAGCGCAAACGTCGGTCGTGGAACCGGCTTCGATTCCTAAGCGGGCCGTCAACCAGCCTCTCGCTCACCCTGCCTTTGATGCTTTTGAACAAGAAGGTCCAGCTTCTAAACTCCTGGCCGTGACTATTCGGGTAAATCGGTTTTGAGGCGGCACACACGCGAGTCGCAAATGGTGGGGTTATTGGCAACGAAAGTCAAGCCTGCGTCTCCCCGGTCAGCATGGAGAAGAGGCACTGATGCGGTAACCGCGACTTCAGCCCTACCTTGCGCAAACCCTTGTTCGTCGATCCGACAATTTGCTGCTTCATGCGCCGAGACGGTTTCCGGCTACTAGTCGCACACGGCCGAGGTGTATTGTTTCCCATAGAAACCTGGTGGATGGTAACAATTCACTGGCGGGAAGAGGGTGGACAACCATACATGGTTTGAGAAAGTCGGATGGGGACGGTGTAAAAGAGTAGGTCAATCTGCGACAGACCGACAGTTGGCGCGCGGTACAGTATAAGGGCGTGTCTCCGCTAATAAAAGCACAATTGGCCCGCGTCTGGCGGGATACAGAACCGGGTGGCTAAGGAACGAAGGCGAAAAGGGCAAAGTTTAAAACGCACAAAAATACAAAGAGATGGAGAAGTGGAATGATGATTGGCGCACAATCCAGAGGGATCTCTCGACCGGCGCGAAGGGCCACTATTAGCAAGAGTGAGGACGGCGCGCGATAGGGCAGAACAGTGATCTCATCCTCAGCTCTGGTGGCGCGGGGGGTGTGATGGGGGACGTGGGTGGTGGGAAGGGGAGAGCTGAGCAGGGACTGTCGTGTAGCTGAGGAAGGGAAGACGAGAGCCAACGAGCAACGCTGAGGCAAAATACCAGTATATGTATGGACTGTCATGGGTTACATACGGGTACGGCGGTGGGGAATTCAAGGAGAAGAAAATAGTTTACAGAAAGAGGATCAGGATCGTCCGATCTGGAGAGTAATATGTAATAACCGCGTGGAACGGTTGCCACGTTGGATGACACACGACCTGAATATGTAACTTATCGTGGTAAGGCTGGGGGGAATGGCTTTTAAACTCGAAACCCGGCCAGTTTTACCTACATCCTTACTAGTTTGGCCCGCCGAAATTAAGGCTAGACCGCTGATCGAGTGATAGTTTCGCTCGTATAGTTACTGGACGCCTCAAGAGGCGTTGAATAATAAGTTATCACTACTACTGCTTAGTATGTCCGGGCAGACTTTCAGCCAGTCTGCGGTGAAGAATCCGGCGGGTGGCGGCACTCCAACTCCACTTCTCTGACATCCGGAGCAGGCGGAACCCCCTGGTGCGTCTCACACGAGAGCGAAGGGATGCAGAGTCGAGAGAGAACATTCTTAAAGGCCGATCTATTGCCTCCACATCACCGCGGACAACGGTGAGTGGTCGTTGGCCTTGACCCACGGACAGGGGAGTCTTAGCGGGTTCCACTTAGGGCCCGGGATGCATTGCACTGCCACATTATTGTCGGTCCACTGTCATTTTGCTCATTCTGGCTGATTTCAGCAGGAGGGGCACGGTAGGGCGAGCAATGGGCGGTGCGCAATAATAGGGGGAACCCCACGGAGCAGCGAATAAGAACGTAAAAAAGAAAAAGAAGCAGCACCTCTCGAAATATAACCAGAAAACCACGGGCGATGAGTAATCACCATGGGTAAGTAAAGTTGGGGCTTGGCTTTTTCCCAAGGTTCTGTCGCCTGGAACGCTTGGAACTGAGCTACTAGTTAGTTACTCTCCGGCGACGCGGGATGAAGCAAGCGAGCAAGGAGGAACACAAACCTGGGCAAATCGCCCTCTTTTCCCTCTCACAGCCGACACTTGTCAGACCCGCGAGTCTTAGACATGACTCGGGCTAAACTCAGGCTAACGTTAGCCTTGCGAACACTACAAGGCTATGCACGTCCTAGATGCATCTCAGCCTTTCTGGCAGCTCGATCCAAATCGCTGACTTGTGGGTGGCAACGGGGGTCTTGGCGGATTGATTCGTACCCAAGCCTAGACAAGCCTAGTCGCAGTACGTACTCCATAGTCTTGCACATTTCCAATCGATCGCGGCCAGTCCAGGTCCACGGGGTGGCCGACGTTTATCCCGTATCGGTGTCGGCAACTAAGCACAAACAGGATTTGGCAGAACCACAGTCTTGGCGGGAGCGTTACTGTAAACAGTAAACAATCACGGTTTCAACCGTCCCGTGGAAACCCGTGTTGTAGCCGGTCAGCCTTAAGCCCTAGAGGGCTGCAGCGCGTGGGCGCCAGCCGCCATGTCCGAAAGGAGTGTAGTGTCCCACAGAAGGTTGGCCACAGCAACGTGTCGAAAAGTTCGGCGTGCGTAAGCCCCTTGCATCACTGATGCTGTGAAGCGTGAACTTTCTCGGCTACCTATCACACATGGTGGCTGTTTGGTTTGGCCACGCTGGGTACATTTCAGCTCGATGGTGGTGGCAATCTGAGGAATCAGGACCTAAGATGTATGTATGTACGTATGGAATTTGTTAAAATGCGGAGTGTAGTTAAGTGGATATTGTCCAGAGTCTCGGATCAGCCTGCCCCAGTGAACGGGGATCTGGTAAAGTAATTATTGCCGATGTTTTGGTCTGGGCGAATCAAATAGACGATGCCAAGTACAGAAGTTGGACAATGAACATTTCCTAGAGCGCGGCGTAGCATACGGTACAGTTGATGCCTGAGGCCGGAAATAGCCCTTGCCCTAATTCCTTATCTGGGCTAGTTTGCCTCGGCCCTTATCTTTCCCCTAGTCAGAGCCTGTCGGACGGGAGTTGCAGGGTACAGTGACTACTCTGCACGGTCCGAGATCAATTATTGCAATTATTTCGTGTCTGATCTGCATATTCTACAAGATCTACAACATCCTAACAACACACCTTTGCACATGAAGGGTGAAGGTGAAGTCCACCTCTGACCACCACCACCATGGCCATGAATCGCATCTCAGGCCATAATCTCTACATCGGAGGGTTAGTAGTATCCTAATCCAGGTCCTCCGTTGATGAAATTCAACTGCTATTGTTGTTATGGCTGCCGCTAACCCCTAGCTGCAGGATTTTCTGCCTCAAAAACAAAGCTGCGATGGCCAGGGAAAATATCACCCATGTGCTGTCCGTGCTTCGACTGAACACAGCTGAGGAGACAACATTTGCACCCTATCGCCATCATTTCATCGATGTCGATGATGTCGATGATGAGAACCTTCTGGAGCATTTCCCCACCGCCATCAAGTTCATCCAGGCCGGGTTGGATACCGGGGGCGGCGTGCTTGTACATTGGTTAGTCCATTTGTTTCTTTCACGTCTTGCCACCACCTGCCTAAAACCACTTGGTTTTCTTTCCTTTTCGCCTGTCCGAGGTGTTGTGCGCCTTGTGGCTTCATGCCTCCTACGTCATTACGTGCCTATAAAGTGCGATCTGCGCGTGGCTGGAATCCACTCTTCATCTACTTCTGGCGGTGACTGACAATGCCGATGCAGTGCAATGGGCAAGTCCCGCTCCGCTACTATCTGTCTTGCCTACCTGCTCCACCAGCAGCCTGGGACGCTCACGCCGCAATCTGCGCTGGCGCAGTTGAGGGAGTGCCGGCCGCTATGTGAGCCAAATGACGGCTTTATGGAACAGCTCGTGCTGTACCACGAGATGGGCTGCCCAGAAGATGTCACCAGCCAGCCTGCGTACCAGCGGTGGTTGTATCGTCGCGACGTCGAGGAAAGTGTAGCGTGTGGCCGGGCCCCCGAAATGAAGTCCGTTCGGTTCGAAGACGAACAACCACTTCATCCCCAGCAGGAAGCAGACCGGGCGGTGGAGATCAAATGCCGGAAATGCAGGTACATATCGCCCCCCAAAATCTATACGATGAAACGTACCTAACCGATTATCGACCAGGCGCAAGCTGGCAACATCCCCATTCATCATTCCTCACGAGTTGGGAAAGAACACTGTCAAATCCCAGGCAAATAAGGACTGCGCGCACATCTTCTTACATCCGCTTACATGGATGCGCCCGAGTTTGTTCCCATCGTCACCAGAAGATGGGTCAGAAGACGCCCCATTATCCGGGCGTCTGACCTGCCCCAACGCTGCCTGCGGGGCCAATATCGGAAAATTCGCATGGCAAGGCATGCAATGCAGCTGCGGTGGCTGGGTGGTGCCTGCGATCGGTCTTGCTAAGGCTCGAGTGGATATGGCGAACCAAGCGGACATGGCGCGAGGCGCTCCCGCCACGCTCGGCATCCGCCTGCCTCCGGGAATGCGGTCCTCTGAATCCAACGGCTCTGGTTCGGGGCGTGGGAATCTTTGAGGCCGACGCTTCGAATAATACCATGACCATTGGGCATGTAGCGCATATGCATATCCATACAGATTTACGACCCATGATTATATGTTACTTGCAAAATACCCAATCAAATTCATTATCGAGGCCATGGCGATCTCTGCCAGCCCCGACCACATACCTGAAGCAACCTGCTCTTTGAGGATATACCGGACGGGCCCACTTGCGTCATGTGGAGTGCCGGGCGCTTTCTCAAACTTTTCGAGAATCGGAAAAGAGTTATCGTGGCTGAAGTCTGAACAGATTCGTGTATCCGCAAACCCGGGCGCCACGGCGTTTCAGGGCTATTACCCAGGCGTCAACGTTTGGCCCTTGTCAGCTTCCTATTCCGGCATTAAGATTTTATTTATGAAAATACTGTAGTTGGTCTCGCCCGACTCTCGACGCGCCAGCCTTATTGCAAATACACTGGTTGGCCCCTAGTAGTCAGTTCTATATGTAAACATAAATCTAAAGCGGTGTATTTACTAGGCTAACCCTACGCCTTACGCAGCCTTGTACGACGGGGCACACAACAAATCGCTAACTCCTTCACACGGACAATTGAGACTCAATCCTCTGTGAATTTAACTATATGAAGTATACAAAGTATTGAAATTACTCTTTTAGTTAAATGACTGGCCCTGGTATAGCTAAGACCATGCACACGAACCAGCCAACCATCGCTTTCCTTCCCCTCCAGCCCACCCTCGGCCCAGGCTGTCAACAGGGAAGGAGATGACGGCGGTTGGTGCTCCAACGAGGGAGGCTGTGCAAAAGCGGGTCTGCTCCTCGCCTTCCTGATTGGACCCGCGTCCCCGGGATGTATGCGTATTACCGGTCAGGTATGGTTATGGTTTTCTATCATTTCCATGGACTTTCTTATTATGTATTTAAAAACAGGCTGCGGATGGCCTGGTGGAGCTTTTGTGTGTCAGTAGTAACAAGCCGTATATGTAACTACCTCGGCAGGTACGTCAAACTTAAGCATGGTATCTAAAACTTTCCCTTTAGAGGCTAAGACCTTGAGAGCTGCTTCCTCGTGCAGGGGAGAGCTCCGAGCTAGTAGTGGGGCCATGCCAAGTGAAACTCCGCGGCCTGATATCATCCAAGCTTCCTTCCTTCCTTTAGTTAGCTCCCCCGATAATGCTACATAACTATCCCATATAGAGTTCAGTATGGAGGAAATATAAAGAGATTGTAATTGTGACCTGCACAGATCTGTGACACTCGGCTGCGGTTTCAGATTCAGCCTACTACTGACTTGCAAGTTGGAACACTGTTTCTTATCTTCTCCCTAATCCACATCGGTGCCAAGTTATAATTTCTTGGCCATTCCCGTCGGTTATTACTGCGGTTGGATCGACTTCTTCCCCTCCAAAAACCACCATTTACATGAGTGCCAGATGCAAGGCAAATGATTGATCTACAAATCCTCCCCACACACAACGCACCGTGCAAGAAACAAATGCGTCCTGCTTTTGGGTCAACGTTCAAGCTCGGCAGCATTGCACAGCCCCCTTCCCCACTGTCTTGACCCAAATAAGCTGGAGAAAGACACGGTCCACTTATCTCAACTATAGCCTTAACGGGTGTAGACATGGATCCGTAACGCATCGTTACTCCGCATATGTATGTAGCCGGCGATCATCGGTCTTCCAAAACGTGTTATTGTAAACTCGAAGCTTTATTCGAAGGATTCCGACATCATACATACCCTCGGCTCAAGCCCGCGAGTTTTATACTTTCTCGGGGCAGGCGTTGTCCGCCTGATGCAAGACGGTGTGAGAAGTAATCTAGAAGAATGAAAGAGTGCTGTGTTGCCGACGTGCACTGTACACTATGGTATTGGAATATTAAGTGGAAGCCTATCTAAATCATGGGGACCTTACAGATATGTGGCTACCACCTGTGCAAGCAAGTGTGAGTTTCCTACCAACTACAGCAGTAGTTACTGCCTGGCAGGAATGAATCAAACTTTCGGTCCCTATTGGATTCTATCCTGCTGACCATGTCTGGTGGTCTGGATTGTGGACGAAGTACTGTGTGGCATTGCTAGGCAACTAAGTTAGCTTTGCAAAGACTTGGCTCACATTACGAATGCATAGTACGTACTATGAGTACCAGGCTACTGCGTACTGAAAACCAAGATACAGCCATATTGAAGCCTGTTGGGATTGACTATCAAAGATCGCACAACACGAACACGACACAGAACTCGTATATGGTTATCAAAAGTCCGCTCGATAGGAGCATCTCGTGCAAATCGATTGGCTTGATTCTCCCTCTATGACGTAGCCAATCTCTGCCTGGTAAGGCTGATCGAGCTGCATCAAATCAGGCATCCCGTTCAAATAACTATCCTGGCTATTGCTGCAGCATTCTCTGGCGAGCGACTCCACGTTTCAAACTCGTGCAAGCACGGGCCCGATCGACATGCGCCTCGCCTCGTATGTTCGTAAACGGCGAACACAATGCAAAATGACGAGGAGTCAATAATCTAGACGCCCACTAAGACAGAGGTGAGGTGGCCTAAGGCGGGGTATTCTCATGGTTGCAAGCGCAAGCACGCCGCGCAACTACTACTGTAAACAGCGAGAGAAAACAGCCCTACTAACTAGTGCTTATCATTCCCCGTCCGCTCCGTTTTTTGCTTTTGTACATGCAAAGATCTGCGAAATGATAGCATGGTAGCACGCAAGGCCACCGCTGTCGTGGCAGCGGGTGATTCACCGCAAATTCCCCGACGACAGGGGTGTTGGCGGGAGTAGATGCCCGCGGCATTGCCTAGAGCGGGAGATGATCGTACGCACCGCCTAACCGGAAACAGGAGGGTATATATGCCCCCTACTCCGTATATAGACAGGATGCTGCCGGGTGGGGATTTCCCAATCTAGACTGCCGCTGCTTTTATGAGGGCGCTCAGGCTCCGGCTCACTGAGTAATGTTAGCACGGGCTTGGGCTTGGTGATTATGCATAGGGTAGTCACACGTGTGATGACTAGCTCTTAGTGAGCGCTTATTGGATGAACGTTGATCACTTAGTGAAATACTCAGGCAGTCAATACTATATATTCGCTCAGAGGTGAGCAACGCAAACAAACACCATCTCAAGCACACTAAATGACACGACTTTGGATCATAGACTCAACAGCGTCAGTGACACTGGCTTCAAGACCAATGTACTCCCACTTGCCATCCTTTTTCCCGTTAGCTAGGATCGCCAGACTGTGGCGCATGTCGAATCCCGTCGGATGTACCCCCGGGGGCAAGATTTGGGAAGGGTTTCCCTCCGGGACTCGGTTCTTGAGAGCAGGAAAATTCTTGCGGATGATGTTGACCACCAATTGCGGTGTGATGAGCCCCGAGACGAGAAGAATCCGCTGGTTTGCTGCTGCGGGATTCTCCAGTGCATCAACATGGCTCTGGGCCACGTCACGCACGTCCACCTGAGCATAGTGCATTAGCCAGAGTTGCTCGATAGGGTGTTCCTGTTTAATGACCAGTCGACTGAGTTTCGAGGCCGAAGAAGGAAAACTTACAAAAAAGTAAAAAGGGAACGTCAACCCTTGAATTTCCTTGTAAGTTCCGTCAATGAAGCTTGCGATGGCAAATTGATTGGTCTCATTGATAGACTTGGGACCCTCGATCGGGTGGATCATTGGGCCGGTGATGATGTCCGGGTTTATCACGACCAGGTCGTAGGAGGGGGAATTCTGTTTCATGAACTCCCACGCAGCCGCCTCGGCTTGGGTCTTGGACACGTTGTATCCAAGAACGGTATCCTTTCTCTCGATGGCTTGCTCAGCCGTCACCTATGTCTAGGTGAGATACGTGTGACCCGATGATGAAATAGATGCTATCTTTGCTTACAGGATTCCAATCTTTCTCCGTGTACGGCTTTCCTTCCCTAGACTCATCTTCGAAGGAGTTGAGCACGGATACGGCACTTCCCAGCAGGATAAAGCGTTTCAAGACGGTGCCACCGTGGTGGTGGGCGGCCCGCAGAATCTCAGTAGTTCTGAGGATGTGAGCTACACTTCGGAAGACTACTTCTTCATTGGCGGGCCGGATTGGAATTCACTTACCCTTTCACGGCGGGCTCGATTACCTCCTTCTGAATATCAGACACCTGGAACGTCACTGGAGATGCCGTATGGATCACGTAGTTGAACGGCGCCTTTGTGCTCTGGAAAAGATTGTCGAAAGGTCCGGAGATGGTGAAATCCGCGACGATCGCAAATTCCACCTTGCCCTTCCAAGTCGGGTGGGTTTTGATGATATCATCTGCCTTTTTCTGAGAGCGCACCGTCGCGGTGACGGAGTATCCACGCTACTGGCTAGTTAGCGGCCTAGCGCGCCGGGTGCGGCCCAATATGCATACATCTATCAGAATGGAGAGGATATGAGAGGCGACGAAGCCATTGGCGCCTGTCAGCAGGACGCGTGGGCCTTCACCAGCGCTTGGCATCGTTCAGGAGCGCGTTCAAATAATTCAGAAAATGGGTTTAGTAAATTATTGGTAATTGCATGTTCATAGGTCTTTTATGCGGTAACAGTCAGGCTGGTCGCTAGAGTATATATATGTGTGTACGAATATTTTGTTTGTGTTCAGTGAGGTCATTTTCTTGACACAGGACCTTCCGGCCAATGCCGCATTTCCTGACAGGTTGTAATCTATTATTCAGCAGACATTGTCATTAACGTCATGTCCAAAAACCATTTTTTTTGATTAATTTGGCCGACGGGGACTGAGTCATCCCGATCGATAAGGGAAACGTGGGTAGATTGAGGGTGTATTGAGCGCAGGGCTCGGGTGTGTGAGACATACAGAAGATTTCCATTCCGACCATTCATTGAAGCATCTATCATAGGTCAGAGCATCATTGGACCTTGTGATATCGCTCAAAGCATCGTTGATTCTGAGATAATAATAATAATAGGTCGAAAACTGCAAATGCCTACTAGTGGCCGGCAATTTTTGCCAAGCCAGTGTCGATCGATCGACCAGCCGAGCCAACTTAATGCCAGGTAAAGTTTGTCAAGTACTCCGGGTTTCGTTTCAGCTCGGAAAAGTAGGGAAAAATTACTGACTGATGATCTAATACCATAAATCAATCCGCAGAATATCCTAGAAGTCCTGTCGGAGCTGCTCCACTGGCGGCAGAACCCCCCTCTTTTTCCAGCTTTTGAAAAGTATCTTCCAGTTCCTCCCACGTGTCCGCATACCCGGTCCATCCTAGCTTGCGAGCCTTGCTCATACTTGCTACACAGCTCCAGTCTCGGCCCATGGTCAATACGAGGAAATCCCACGTCGCCTTGTCCCATGCCTCCTGGTCCAGATGGTACTTATCCCGTAATCGACCCCAGGCGGCTTTCACATCCGCTCGACGCGCCCACTTCTCTGGGTCCACCTGCAGAAAGAGGGTGGGAGAATTATCCACCAGGGGGTCTGAAGTGAGACCTAGAGATGATGCTCTCGCCTTGATTGGTGGCCGGTTCTGCATCCGGATCGTCGACGACTCGTAATCTTTGAACCCCTTGGTGTCTGGGACCCCGCCACTCGGGAACATCGGGTTCGGAATCGTGCACCCGAACCGGGCAGCCAGACGAGGCCACAGGTTCTGAAAGGACTCCGTGTCGCCGTTTATCACGTTGAAGATGTGATTGCCCGCTCCGGGGGCCTGCGCGGCCCAAAGGCAGAATTTAGCGTGTAGGTTCGCCGATGTCCAGCAGTTGAATGTAAAATAATTGGCCTTGCTACCGGGAAATGGCAGCTCGGAGCCTGGAAGAGCCTTGCTAACCGCACAGTAGAGCCCAATTGAGGTAGCCTCGTTCATGAAGTTGCCTCTAGCGTATCCGAGTACATCCTCGGGCAGGGTAACCACCCATTCCCATTGGCTATTGACGGCGGCATCGGCGAGGACCCTCTGTTGCTCATAGTAGAATATAGGAGGCCAGGAGTCACTCCCCTCGCCATCCGGCAATAACGGGTCGTCTTCTAAGAAGGGCTGCTTGCCCTGTCCCAGATGGACGCCATACTGCTTTAAGCCACAAGTGAGAATGAAACGCTTGATCCTTCTGTCAGCCCCAGCAACAGCGAGGGCTTGGAGGAAATTGTGCAGGAGCGCCACGTTTACTCGCAACAATTCTGTCTCATCGTCTCGGGCGAGGTAAGCACAGAAATAGATATATTCGGCTGAGACCCCGCGCAGGTGGTGGGCCATGTCTTCTGCAGAGCCCTGGAGGTCCAGGGTGACATGCTGGATCTTGGGGTGCTGGTAGCCAGGGTTGCGGCGCGATAATGCGTAGATCTTGTCATAGGACGAGTCCTTGACGAGGTGGTGAACAATGGCACTCCCGGTCATGCCTGATTATCTGGTTAGATTCGTAGGACGCTGTGGCAAACGAGTGGGACATACCGGTGGCACCAGTTACAATGGCGGAAGGCATGTTGAATGAGACGGGAGGATCCCAAATTATTAAAGCTTGGATGATGGGTTGCGCTACTGTCGTGCAGGTGCCCTCGATTTATTGGCGACCGTAGGCATCTACGTCATCGTTAGATCTTTGGTGCTAGATATGGCAAGAGTTGACCGATAGAGAGTGACGTTATCTGCCGTTGCTCTCATTTCCAATTCTACAAATATTGGGAGTTACTCTATTGTATGATTAGTAGGAGTTTGATCTGCCGCGCCACCAATGAACGACAGTGCTTGTCGCCACCGCATGAAAGCTGGGAAGTCTAAAATCAAGACAATTCGAAAACGGTGTAGGGACTGATGCCGGTACAGTAAGGACCCACTTTATGATCTATTATGATTCAGGTTCTATGTCCGGCGCACGGTACCAAACAGCTGCAGCTTAGACCTAATTCTGATGATGGTGCGCTTTCGCAGCCGGTAGCTTTTGCAAGGGGCACGACAAAGTGTTTCCTGGACAATACCAGGCTGCTCAGCGCCGTGCTAATTCTACTCGGTGAGCAAGCAGCGAGCGTGAGTACGTGAGTACCCCCCAAGGAAACATAAACCTGCCATCACCAGCGAGCAAGAATCAGGCACGTAAAGGTTGGTATTCTATTATTCGGAAAGTATGCACAGAATTAAATCGGATTGACCTTTTAAAACATCTGACACGCGTATTTTGGCCGTCAATCCGACATTCTGGGCAAGAAACTCCATGAAACCTCTAGGGGTAAACCTAGCGCGGTGACAGACGAAAACTGGCATGGCCACATGGATAGAAGGAAATCAAGGAAACTCAAAAGTCAAGAGGGAATGAATGCGTTTTGAAACCGACGCGAGAACCACGACGTGTCCGGGCCGGATCATTCGGGCGTCACTGTGACGTGAACAGCCCAGAGAGGAGAGAGCATGTTTACTTGTGGCCAAGGATCTGCTGCTCGGTAGCAGCAGGTGGCAGAACTGCGGTCTCCTGGCTGCCGTTGGCATCCTTGCCGCGGAGCTCTGGGCTGGTTCGCGTGAAGTATTCATGGACGGCACCATGCGTGATGGACTCATCGACCTCATCCAAGTCAAACATGGCCTCCTTCTCATCGATGCGGCTGGCCATAGCCGTCTCCCACTCAGCACGGAATTCCTTGACCTTCATCTGGTAATCTAGCTCCGGGTTGTAGTGCTTGCCCTTTCCGGTCATGCGTTCCCACCACGACAAGTGGCGGCTGTTAACAGCGGCACCATGATACTCATGCTCACGGCCCTCACGGATGTACTGCCAACGGCGCTCCTGCTCACGGAGATCTAGTCCGGTTGTGTCGGGAAGGAACAGCAGCGTCAGCAAAGCACCAGCCAGACCGAACCACGGCACAATGCGGAACTGCGTCGTGTAGCTTGAGACATAGTTGCCGATAATGGCAATAACCAGAGCACCCAGCTTTCCTGCGGCGGCCGAGATACCATGGGCGGTACCACGGATCGGGGTTGGGAAGACTTCGGCCGCCACCAGGAAGGTGATACAGTTGGGACCGAACTGGTTGAAGAATGAGCTCAGGAAATACATGGCCTGGAAGCCAGCGATGTTGGCAGGTTCCTGGAAAAATTCGAACATGAATGCAGGAATAACAAAGAGGATAAAGCATAGCAGGAAACCAATGATCTGCATCCACTTGCGGCCGTAGAGCTTGCTATCAACCAACCACATGGCGCAGTAGTAACCAGCAAGTTCAACTCCAATGTTAACCAGGTTCCAGAGCCAAGTGAGCATCACTGTGTCCGATGCTTTCGGGTTGATGACGCTAATAAAGTTGCTCGAGAAGATTTTGTTTCCGTAGAAGAAGACATCGTTGGCGAACCAGCCACCCGCAGTGGCAATCACGCGAGGGCCGAAGTGTTTGAAGGTGAGACGGAACGACTCCCAGTCATAGCCAGTCACAGAGGCCTTCTTCTTCTGGGCGTTTAGCTGCTTACTCGCAGCCTTCATATGGTAGGCACGGTAATACACTAGCCAGAGAGTGAGAACGGCCGGGATGCCGAAGGACACACGGTAGGTCCATTGTGCAGTGACCTTGGAGATCGGGGGATTGCTGTCGCCGTGGTGAAATATCAAGAAAAAGATAATGAGTATAACCTGATTGAAGAACTGGCCCCAGCCCTGCATCAGGAACGCGCCGACCACAGAGCGACCACGGTGCAGACGGTCTTCGTTGGTGGTGACCCTGCCGGTGGAGTAACCCTTCTCCATACCAATGGTGGCGGTCATCGGGTACTCACCACCAACGCCGATGCTGTAGAAAAGGAGAGATATGGCGTAGCAAATCACCCAGCCATTCAAGGTGACGCCCCAGGCGGCAGTAAGCATGAGAAGACCGACGAACATGATGACGGCATCCTGGATGAGACCAAAGCGACGACCAATCCTGTGATTCTGCGATAAGCATGGTGGCCGATCCAACGGCTTGACGGCCGAAAAAGTGCTTACATGTCACCAAGGTAACCAACGAGGAGCTGACCGAGCAGGATACCAACAATCTCGAGATAGCTGACCGCGGCGACCCAGTTTTGACTGCATGTAGGGGTACCGGAGTCCGCGTCCCAGCATTGGGGCCAGACAACTTGGACGAGTGCTTCGACATTGCTGACGGAGAAGAGCACGTAACTGTAACCAAAAGGATTAGTGATGTCTTCCTTAGAAGGAGGGTCTCAACTCACCCTTCGAGACAGAGACCAGCGCCGGGTAGAACGAAGTTCTTGAAGTAGTAGCCAATGGGCGCCAGCGGGTCGGCTTTAAACATATCCCACAACCAGGCAAGTTCCTTTCCGGTTTCGGACGCATCCTGGCTCAGACACCATTTGATACGCTGACCGAGGGGCAGGTCAGCCCAGTATTTGCCCTCGGCCGTGTAGCTGTCGGAGGGGCGGATCAGCTCGTCGAAAGCGACCTTCTCGTGGGACTCCATGACTTCGGAGGACGTATAGTCCGTCTTATAGTCTTGCGCGAATGCCATGGTGTTTCACTGGATTATCCAGGCCAATACTGGGATGGGATCAACGGATGGTCCTGGCTCGCGTGGAAAGATGCACTAATGATGGAGATCTGCAACTTACCCTACGAGGTTGCGATAGGACAGGGAAGTCCTCTGATGTCTGACAGGAGAATCGCAATAATCAAAGAGAGGGTGCGACATCCCGGTTAATAAAGACTAAATGAACGACATTGATATTGTCCTTTTCGGGTTGCGTGTGTGTTGGGGGAAGGGGGTTGGAACTAACTTTTTTTTCCCGATGCCCATCCATTCAAAGTACATATCGAAGCTGTGCCAAATAAAACCATAAGGGTAGACTGACATATAGGAACGCAGGGAGCGATCACGTTGCCCTGATGGGTGGCTCTGAGCATTGCCGGAAGAAAACCTTCGAACTATGTGCCTGAAGAGCACCGACCCCACTGCGGCAGACTAGAGTTGGACGATGTGGGGATCTATGACCGGAGTGGCGCAATCCTTAAATGTTAAAGCGTACTGGAGCAAACTCGGTGTCCACTACCATGTGACGACAGCGTCGATCCTCATACATGGCTCCTGGATTGCAACCAAGCACTTCCACGCCTACGAGACCAGAAAAGCAAGTGAAAATAGACGCACCATCTTCCCTTGTTGCGTTCTGTCTTTAGCACTCGATATAAGTCTTAATTTCTAAGAAGACTTCGTGCCATCGCGACGACATATCGGACAAGATTAATCCTAGAACTTGCACGGACGACTTTATGGAAATAAGTGGAGGTTTGGTTAGATGGGGTTCTGGGGCCAGGCTGGGTGGCCCGCTATCTGGGCTCCGGTAGTAATTTCCTCGCCACAGTCTGGCTTGATAATTTTCCCGCATAGCAGTATATATATAAAGCGAGCTACATCGGGCGAATGAATAATACTACTACTCTAATACTACTACTCTACCTGGTGTGAGTGAGGCTTGTCACGAACTCTGTCATTTTTTTTCACTTTGTTTGAGATGAGAGAGAGGGATGAACCTTTTGCAAACGCTCACGTTCCGATCACCGTAAATTGATGACATACTCCCGCGACGTCATTGGCTGGATTGACTAAGGCCCACGTGTCTGGCAAGACCCTTTCCATTCCAGTTCATTTCGCGTGGCCAGAGAACCGTGTTGCGACTTTCGAATTGCAGGGAATGTATCCCACGTGCAGCGACTGTGGCCGGACACGCAGCCTCCGCAGTGGGTCGGACCCCTGACGTCAGTCAGAATCTTAATCAAAGGTTGGCCTCGCAGTCGCGATAGAGCGTAAACGCTTGGCTGTCACCAATTTCTGAGTCCAAGACTTTCACTGGATCACCAAGCACCCGAAAAAGTCTTCTCGGACGACCATTACACCACTCATCGACGGCAGCCCAAGGCACAAGGACCGATTATCCACCTAGGTCCCTCAGCTTACGATTAAAATTTGCATGGCAAGGACCACCCACGTGTGTCAAGCATCAGCGGCAGGGTACGATGTCAGCGTAAGCTTTCTGCATTCAGCTTCTGCGGCCATCTGAGACGTGGTGAGGGTCTGGCGCTCTCTCATATCGTGGATGAGATAGTAGATAGCAGAAGTACTATACTATTATCCTACTAAGCGAGATAGAGGTCTCCTTAAGCTTTAGAATCATATAAATTCCCCTATAGAATAGACTTAATATGCGCCTTGAGCCTAATAAGTTAGTGGGTAAGCCAACATCACCGCACAGGCTATGTATTGTTGATATTCTTGATCAACGGCTTCGTCTCATTTGCTGATTCTTGAAAAAAAAAAAACGAAGTTCAATAAGCAGTGAATGCTTTGAGGATCCCGGTTTATCTGCTACGGCGTGATCCTCACTGAACCCTTCCCCATTGCATCGAAATATGCGAACGCCAAACACCATGCTGAAAATGTTGACAACATTTTAACAAATCGAATTCAGATGTCACCTGTCGGAACAGAGGGAAAGAGAGAAGGATTCTTCATTCTCTCCTGGTTTCGCTTGGCCATTTCAATATTGCGCAGCCGATCAATGCGCATTTGATAGAAGTTTCTGTATTCCCATCAGTTCCTACTCAATCGTATCCACACAGCCAGCGAGATGAAAGGGAAACGCATACTTGTGTAAAGAAAAGACTCGCGGTGAATTATCTGCCTTGGACCCCGTCCCAGCCTTCCGGATTGAATCAATCTAAAGAAGTTTGATCAATGACCTTCTAGGAGTCTCGCCGTTATTGCAACCACATACCTTATCATCTCTCTCCTTTTCATCAGTAGCATTCGACTCCGATTCATCTTTCCCTTTTCCTTTTTCTTTATCCTTGGCGTCCTTCTCCTTTTTATCATCATCCTTCCCAGCCTTCTTTTCACGCTCCTTCTTTCGCCGCTGCTTTTCCTCATACTCTTTCTTAACCTTCTCAATCTCCTGAGCCATTGCCTCCTCCTTGCGGCGGGCAGCTTCGGCTTCTGCGTCGACTATAGGAGAGCAGAAGTGGCGGTCTTGGAGGTGTGCGGGGCACACGTAGAAGAAGTCCTAGGGAATTTGTCAGTACTTGTACAAACAGATTCTTTGACTCTGAAAATTGAATATCCCAACTCAGAAGATAGCATGTGCATGTTGTAGCCCCCTACCTTGTTATCGGGCGTGATCATCACGCTTGTTGTGGGCTTGTAGCAGATGAAACATGCCTTCTCAGATGTGTCTGCCACCCGGCGGAGGTGGTAGACGTTGTTTAATAGCACTGGCATTGTATTGGCAATGGAATGTGTTTATGTCAGATGCAATCGAGCTACCACCGACTGTCTGGGAGATGTGGCAGAGGATGAAAACAGAAGGAGCGATGTTGAAGTTGACAGTGCATCACGTGATCGGGTTCCAAATCGTATACAGCAGCGCAACATATCAGTGACACTATCCCATGACTTTCTTCATTTCAGGGACTGGAACTCCATTCTACTTCTATCCCACTACACAGCCGCGCCCCAGCAATAGAAACGCCTAACCATGCATTTATCCACTGAGACCCAAGCTGCAATAAAAACAATAGCAATAATACACAGAAAAGTTGAGAGGCTCTCGTGGCACGTTTTGCCAATTGCTCTCTTGTGGTACATGCCAGATCATTCCACAGATATGAGAACGTGGTAGATCATGATGTCGTCTCTTCCGCAGCAAAACCAGCCGCTTCCTTTGCAAGCCGCAAATCCTTGCCTCCAAGACCAATATCGCGCAAGTATGGATTGAACGCAGTCAAAAGGTCTCCAAGAGAGTTCTTCAGAGTATCCAGCACCAGTTCCACGTCAGGGACTCGACGTGCTTCAGCCTGTGCCTCGGGCTTGCTGGACGGAGGGAAGTTGACATCTGTCCAGTGCGCACTCAAGCCACCGTTGTGAACAAATGCCTCCAGAGTCATGATGGTCTGCGTGAACAGACGGACCACAGCGGGAACATCGGCCTGGACCTTGCCATATTGATCTTCCGCCAAGCTCGCAACCAAGAGCCGAGACAAAGACTCCACTGCGTCAACTATGGAACACAGGGACGATTCGGGGGTGCCCAGAACAATACTCGACGCCCGCTGGGCAAATGTCTGTCGGAAGAGCTGACCGATCGGCGACCGGAGGATCTGTGCAAGGAACGGGTTGAGATCCTCGGGCTTGTGTGTCGCCGAGGCGCCGCCGGTGAGCAACTTCAGGTCCTGGGAAGAGCCAAGAAGCTTCTGTTTCCTTTCAGGGCTGAGCATTACCGACGAGGCGCGATCGAATACATCACGGGCTCGGGCCCGTGCAGTCGGCGTCCAATCTGGTGACTGTCCATATGATTTGGCAGCTGAGCTGAAGGCCTCGCCGAATTTGTCCCGTTGTGAAGTGGCCTTTGGGGAATCTGCAAAGATGTTATCGCTTTTAGGAGGGTCGGTTAATCGTGGCAGAGTCTGGAGAGTTGGCTGAGCTGTCTCGCCCTGTGGTGCCGACGTGACACCAGGTGCGGGATTCTTGGTTGCCTCAATCCTAGCTGTAATGGCCTTGATCACATCGGTGACACACTCTAGAACCTGGGACCAAGTCGAGCTATTGTCACGATCGATCTCGTTGAAAATGGTCTTCCGACGCTCAGGCATGCCTTGACTGATGAGACTGAGTTCCCAGAGTGCAAAGGTTTTCAAAGTCGGCTTTTTCGCCTTCAGACCAGTGAGCAGGCTGCCATTAGGATCCTTGGCCTCTGAAGTAAGAGGTTGCCCCCGTTTGAGGGGCTCTTTGCCGATGAAAATAGAGAAGAAAAGGTTCGTTGTCTGCCAGCAAATAACCAACAATCCACCAGAGAAAAGTGATCGGAGGACTAGACCCACAAACCCTGGCGGCAGGAACGTGTCGGGCTCAGCAGCGGACCTGGAGAAGTTCCAGAAGAGCTTGGCAAAGTACAGGGACCAGCTCCACGCGGTCTGTCTGAGAAGCATCTTATACACCAAGGGGGTGACGCCGGCAACCACAACGCTTCTGGTTATGCCACACACAATGGCCTTAGGTAAAGCGCTTTGAATATATTTCAAAGTCGAAGGTACCGGGTGCGTACGATCATCAGCGGCCTTCGGAACACGTTTCGCAACGGGCACTGGAATGCAGTCGTAGTCGTAGTAGAGGTGAGCCATTGCCTGTGCGCATGCCACGAGGATGTGGTAGGTATGAAGATAGATGGGTCGTTCGTTCAACGTCGGTCGTTCATATGACCTGAACATAATCAGCCTAATTCCAAATCGGCAATTGTGTGCTTAACCATACCTGCCTCGATTCACCATCTCAAGGTGGGCGGTCGCCGAGGAGGACCAGAGGTAGATCTCGGTGAACCACCACGCGGAGAAGAGGTACCATCCAAAAGTTTGGACGACATGAAGTGGGAACAGGTATTTAAAAGTGGCGAGCGAGGATGTCGTCGTTCTCGAGCCGATGTGCAGTTGGCCGACGCGCAGGACGAAGACAACAAGGGACGAAAG